TATTAATGATGTATAGATACCCTGGTTTTCCGAAAAACAAAAAGGTGTTTTGAGCAAAAATGACCCCTTTGAACATATCTGACCCCCCCCCCCCCCCCCATCCCCTTGTGACCATGAAGAAAGTTTGCATTTACCAGGTACCTATTGCTAAATATCCTGCTAGATCCAAAACAGCTTTTCACATATTTTACCCATATGACCATGAAAATTGAGCAATGTTCATGTTACTGATATTCGGACAATGTGTACCTTGGGTGCACATAATTTAGATATCTCTTATCTAACAACATTGATTAGCACACAAAACTCGGACCATCTTAGATTACCTCCAGCAGCAAAATAAAACCTTGGACATCTTGGTTACTTAAATTTTGTGAAAAGATTAAGTAGAAGATGTTGATGGCATATAACACCATATATGATCACTAACCCTTCGGACAGCAGAATTAAAAACAAAGAGATAGTTGTAATAATTTCACATTTATTGCAACATGATGTCATCTTGTTTCAAAAATTGTTCTGTATTGTGTTAGTTGACCATAAAATTAGCAACAGACATTTTGTAAAAAAAGGAAATCCTAAATTTTCATAAAAGTCGGATCATCTTTTTTTCTTTACAGATGGGATAATAACATATACACTTGCCAAAAGACCATTTGTAGTCTATGCTGGTCACAGTTCCACAGTGTAGTTGGCATACGGGTCTAGTTATTAACTAGTAATTAAAAGTATTAATCTAGTAATTAAAAGTACATTCTTTTTCAAATATACCACCAAAATGAACTTTAAAAAAATTCCTGTACTATTTTATCTAAAAAAAATCTCAGATATTTGTCTACCTATATGATAAGTATCTTGATTGTCCTCAGAAATTCAAAAATATCTATGACCAATAAACATATTTATACATGTTACAAGCCCTGGTGTTAAACAAACACTGTGAACATTTTGGACATTACCAAGTACAAGTCAAAGTGTTTAACAAACACTGAACATTTTGGACATTACCAAGTACAAGTCAAAAGTGTTTAACAAACACTGTGAACACTTTGGACATTACCAAGTACAAGTCAAAGTGTTTAACAAACACTGAACATTTTGGACATTACCAAGTACAAGTCAAAGTGTTTAACAAACACTGAAAACTTTGGACATTACCAAGTACAAGCCCTGGTGTTTAACAAACACTGTGAAAACTTTGGACATTATCAAGTAGCAGTCCTTGTGTTTTTACTTTAAAAGCCTAAATGATTAAAAGTAGTATTATCATACACCAGTTATACACCAGGAGGTTGATGCCAGCACCAATCTACATCCAACAGAAATTTGATCAACTTTAAAGCAAAATAAATATAAACAAATAAGTAGATACAATAATACTTATATCTGTCAATGTGACAACCCCAACAAATTTTCTCGCATAATCAACATAAAACTTCATTGTATGTAAAACTTGCACAATCATGGAATTTCACAGAAATTTTATCACAGAACACATGTAACAGATATTTTAAGGTTCTCAATTAAATGTCATACACATTCAGCCAGCATGACAGTTAAAACAGTCGTATATTTAACAAGTTAAAAACACAAGTGAAATATATCAATATATTCACCATATATGGATAATATCTAATGGGAGACCATGAAATTTTCTTTAAAAAGATTTATTTTACAGGAGGAAAAATCACAAAAGTTCATTCCAAACAAGGAGACACTGCCATATTATCATACTGTATTCCAGCATTTAATGATAAGTTTTGCTATGAAATACAAATTGTGATTAAACAAATAAAAAAAACCTACAGCAAACACAAAAAGCAAGAGGCCCAAGGGGCCTGTAACGATCACCTGGTAGTATATATATATATATGTATGCATGTACCAGCAAATCTTACCCCTGTGACCTTGAATATATGTCGGTCATTTTTTTTTTAGCATTCTTTGTTAGGCTGGCTCCTAGAAGCATACCAGCCAAATATCATGCCTCTGAGCTTTTTAGTTCATGAGAAGAAGTCGTTTAAGGATTTTTAACAAATCTGACCCCTGTGACCTTGAATATAAGTCAAGGTCATTTCTTTTCACAAACTTTGTTGAGCTTCATCCTAGGAATATATAACCCAAATATCAAAGTATTTGGTCAATTAGTTATTGAGAAGAAGTTGAGGCTAGACAGACGGACAATGTACGTTGAGGCTGCAACACTGAAAACCATGAATTATTCAACCTGTTATTCTTTTAATCTCTGCACCTACCAAGAAAAGAGACAGAATGTTAAACAATATTCAAACTTATACCTCTATAACCGAACACATACCACATAAACGTCGGTATGTAGTGGTAAATTAGACTCCAAGTTCTCTTTTACCCAACACTACAGCAACATCAGTATCTAGAGGCAAATTAGACCCCAAGTTGTCTTTCACCCAACACTACAGCAACATCAGTATCTAGTGGTAAATTAGACCCAGAGTGTCTTTCACCCAACACTACAGCAACATCCGTATCTAGTGGTAAATTAGACCCAGAGTGTCTTTCACCCAACACTACAGCAACATCAGTATCTAGTGGTAAATTAGACCCAGAGTGTCTTTCACCCAACACTACAGCAACATCAGTATTTAGAGGCAAATTAGACCCCAAGTTGTCTTTCACCCAACACTACAGCAACATCAGTATCTAGTGGTAAATTAGACCCAGTGTTGTCTTTCACCCAACACTACAGCAACATCAGTATCTAGAGGCAAAGTAGACCCAGAGTGTCTTTCACCCAACACTACAGCAACATCAGTATGTAAAGGTAAATTAGACCCCAAGTTGTCTTTCACCCAACACTACAGCAACATCAGTATTTAGTGGTAAATTAGACCCCAAGTTGTCTTTCACCCAACACTACAGCAACATCAGTATGTAAAGGTAAATTAGACCTAGTGTTGGCTTTCACCCAACACTACAGCAACATCAGTATGTAGTGATTAATTAGACCCAGAGTGTCTTTCACCCAACACTACAGCAACATCAGTATGTAAAGGTAAATTAGACCCAGAGTTGTCTTTCACCCAACACTACAGCAACATCAGTAACTAGTGGTAAATTAGACCCAGAGTTGTCTTTCACCCAACACTACAGCAACATCAGTATCTAGTGGTAAATTAGACCCAGAGTTGTCTTTCACCCAACACTACAGCAACATCAGTATCTAATGGTAAATTAGACCCAGAGTTGTCTTTCACCCAACACTACAGCAACATCAGTATCTAGTGGTAAATTAGACCCAGAGTTGTCTTTCACCCAACACTACAGCAACATCAGTATCTAATGGTAAATTAGACCCAGAGTGTCTTTCACCCAACACTACAGCAACATCAGTATGTAAAGGTAAATTAGACCCAGAGTGTCTTTCACCCAACACTACAGCAACATCAGTATCTAGTGGTAAATTAGACCCAGAGTTCTCTTTCACCCAACACTACAGCAACATCAGTATCTAATGGTAAATTAGACCCAGAGTTGTCTTTCACCCAACACTACAGCAACATCAGTATCTACTGGTAAATTAGACCCAGAGTGTCTTTCACCCAACACTACAGCAACATCAGTATCTAATGGTAAATTAGACCCAGAGTGTCTTTCACCCAACACTACAGCAACATCAGTATCTAGTGGTAAATTAGACCCAGAGTGTCTTTCACCCAACACTACAGCAACATCAGTATCTAGTGGTAAATTAGACTCCAAGTTCTCTTTCACCTAACACTACAGCAACATCAGTATCTAGTGGTAAATTAGACTCCAAGTTCTCTTTCACCTAACACTACAGCAACATCAGTATCTAGTGGTAAATTAGACTCCCAAGTTCTCTTTCACCCAACACTACAGCAACATCAGTATCTAGTGGTAAATTAGACTCCCAAGTTCTCTTTCACCTAACACTACAGCAACATCAGTATCTAGTGGTAAATTAGACTCCAAGTTCTCTTTCACCTAACACTACAGCAACATCAGTATCTAGTGGTAAATTAGACTCCAAGTTCTCTTTCACCTAACACTACAGCAACATCAGTATCTAGTGGTAAATTAGACTCCAAGTTCTCTTTCACCTAACACTACAGCAACATCAGTATCTAGTGGTAAATTAGACTCCAAGTTCTCTTTCACCTAACACTACAGCAACATCAGTATCTAGTGGTAAATTAGACTCCAAGTTCTCTTTCACCTAACACTACAGCAACATCAGTATCTAGTGGTAAATTAGACTCCAAGTTCTCTTTCACCCAACACTACAGCAACATCAGTATCTAGTGGTAAATTAGACCCAGAGTCATCTTTCACCCAACACTACAGCAACATCAGTATCTAGTGGTAAATTTGACCCAGAGTTCTCTTTCACCCAACACTACAGCAACATCAGTATGTAAAGGTAAATTAGACCCAGAGTCATCTTTCACCCAACACTACAGCAACATCAGTATCTAGTGGTAAATTTGACCCAGAGTTCTCTTTCACCCAACACTACAGCAACATCAGTATGTAAAGGTAAATTAGACCCCAAATTGTCTTTCACCCAACACTACAGCAACATCAGTATCTAGTGGTAAATTAGACTCCAAGTTCTCTTTCACCTAACACTACAGCAACATCAGTATCTAGTGGTAAATTAGACTCCAAGTTCTCTTTCACCTAACACTACAGCAACATCAGTATCTAGTGGTAAATTAGACTCCAAGTTCTCTTTCACCTAACACTACAGCAACATCAGTATCTAGTGGTAAATTAGACTCCAAGTTCTCTTTCACCTAACACTACAGCAACATCAGTATCTAGTGGTAAATTAGACTCCAAGTTCTCTTTCACCTAACACTACAGCAACATCAGTATCTAGTGGTAAATTAGACTCCAAGTTCTCTTTCACCCAACACTACAGCAACATCAGTATCTAGTGGTAAATTAGACTCCAAGTTCTCTTTCACCTAACACTACAGCAACATCAGTATCTAGTGGTAAATTAGACTCCAAGTTCTCTTTCACCTAACACTACAGCAACATCAGTATCTAGTGGTAAATTAGACTCCAAGTTCTCTTTCACCTAACACTTACATCAATTTACTTTAACTCTTTGTATTGTTTGTTAGCTTGTATCAGCTAAAATGCCATCGGAGTCAGAGTTTTGGCGCTTAAGCCTATAACAATTCCAACGTCGACAATTCCAGTGGATTACCATGACGATGAGAGGAATAAGACATGCACAACAGATTCCTGCCATAATATAGGCCACCAATGTCAAGGTCGTCTCCTCTGCATCAGGCTTGAAATAGGCACAGTCTGTAGCATTACCTGGAAACACCAAGACAATTTTACATGTTTAGGTCATAAACTTAAAACACTGTTACCCTTTCTCCAATAAAATGCCATTATAACTTCCAACAATCATTTTTTAACTCTTGCTACCAACTAACACACTAACTAACCCAAGTGTCAGCATTGTAGGGAATAACAAGGCTTTGTTAATAGTATTGACCATGTACAAAACAACTGCCTTGCCTTCTGATGACACTGTTGATATGTATAGCTATCACCTGGTGTAGAGTTGTATAATGAACATGTAACAAAGATCCTGGTAACATGTATTTTAATGATTCACAATGTTTGAATGTATAGAACTAGCCTATGATATGATGTGAACAGTAGATGTACTCAATGTTTAGACTATAACAAAGTGAAAAAACAACCGTTTTCAAAAATTTACCAATTTACACCGCTCTGAATTTTTTAATATACAAATATTAAGATGTGTCACACCACAGGTTTGGTTACCTAAATACCTATTAGGTCTGGTGATAGACTTACCTTAATATTTATTAGGTCTGGTGACAGACTTACCTGTATATTTATTAGGTCTGGTGACTGACTTACCTGTATGTTTATTAGGTCTGGTGACAGACTTACCTGTATGTTTATTAGGTCTGGTGACAGACTTACCTATATATTTATTAGGTCTGGTGACAGACTTACCTGTATGTTTATTAGGTCTGGTGACAGACTTACCTGTATGTTTATTAGGTCTGGTGACAGACTTACCTATATATTTATTAGGTCTGGTGACAGACTTGCCTGTATATTTATTAGGTCTGGTGACAGACTTACCTGTATATTTATTAGGTCTGCTGACAGACTTACCTGTATATCTATTAGGTCTGCTGACAGACTTACCTGTATATTTATTAGGTCTGGTGACAGACTTACCTGTATATTTATTAGGTCTGCTGACAGACTTACCTGTATATCTATTAGGTCTGGTGACAGACTTACCTGTATATTTATTAGGTCTGCTGACAGACTTACCTGTATATTTATTAGGTTTGCTGATAGATGATTTCACAGCATTTTTATCACGAGTAGGACAAGTGGACTCCCCAAATCCAATTCTTTTGTGAGCACGGTCAAAAACAACATAGAACCCCTCCATTACTACAGCACCAAGAACAGTACCTGTATTAAATGGACAAAAATTTAAATAAATATGTCGTAATTGTTGTACAAGTCCAGCAAAAAAAAAAAAACCAAAAATCTGAATGCAGATTTATTGAAGTAACAATTATAACAAACATTTCATTTTATCAATATTTCATTTTTTTAATTTCAAAAAAGTTTTTGACAATGTTATCCTATCTCATGATTTGCATTTTAACTGAAAACAAAAATATAACATCCCGTTGAAAACTTCTGTACTCAACATCTACACTTCTAATAACGAGATTTACCTGACGTTGATGATGCTACTGCAAATTTGAAGCAATCCACACCTGGTGTGTCATCATTGTCTTCACCCACAGGTCGAATATATTGCTGGAAAGAGGAAAATCTAATGACCTCAAATTGGATACAAATATAGATGACGACCTAATTTTTTCTAGAAAAGAAAAAAATTATGTTGTTCCCCTTTTCATCTTGTCTATTTAGTAATTCATTGCATGAATTTGGTCTAATACCAATGCCTTTAGCCCCCTAACCAGAAAACCATTAATTAACACTATATTTTCTCACATGTAGTATTTTTCTATTGTTCCTGAACTGATTGAATTTACTTTTGGGGAAGACTTATAAACTTGTTTTTGAGATCAAGCTCAAAAGTTGTGATTATCAAAAATCATTTTGGTGTCAATCCCGTTATGTTTTTGCCAAATTTATTTTGTAGATCCGTTCCAAAAAATGATCTGACGAAATTATATTTTGAGAACTATCCTAATCATAGCACGAGAATTACTGAAAGAATAAACATGTTCCAATATAAGTATTTGTGACTTAAAATGGGATATAACCCATCACATCCAAAACAAACACTTCAAAAGAATATGAATATCAATAGAAAATTTGAAATTTTCAATACATATTCCATCAAATCAAAGATACTGGTGCACAATGTTAAATTCACAGAAACAAAAAATAAAACAGATCATATAGGGTTCATTTTGCTATCGTAAAAACCTGCATATAAACTGCAATTTTTCCTGAAAAAAGGTCCAAAATGGGGAAGATGTAACATTACATGGCTATAGGATTTTTTTTTCTATGATGGGAAGATCAAAGATTTTGCTAAGGTACCATATCTAATTTTCAGGATTATCTGGTATGCAAAAATTATGGACAAAAGAAAAAGGGTATATAAAATTTTTAATTTATATATTAATGAAAACTATCCTAGCTGGTTGATATTATCCAAAATCAGAACAAAATGTTTAAAAACATGATATTAACTAGCAAGATGGGAAATTTCCTATCCGTAAAGACAGTGTGTGGAACATTGAAAAATATTCGTTAATTTAATGTCTATATTTTAAAATTCATTTTCGACCGTTAAGAAAGGACAGGATTCATTTTGTTCAATTGTTCAATTTCCTACAGGACATCACAATTGAGAAGCCATGAGCACTTGTCTGGTTGGGTATTGGTGGATGTTAGTGTTGAAATAACAGTATGCAGAGTCTGTGTTGGGTCTTATTTATTCATCGTTTACACCTTTTGATGTCGCTAACTTCTCTGAGTATTTTAGGCAATTGAGTGTTTGAAGATGAATCGTGGTTACCTATGGTATTTGTATAAAACGTATACACATGTGTCAAGCTATGTTTGCTAACATCATTTCAAAGTATAAGATGTTTTTATAAAATACATTGACAGCTGATTTATCTTATGTCATGTATGAATGCTGTCTACATGTTGTAACTTTTCTCCCTACAATTTTGTTGAAATATTTATCAGTATAAAACAGCTAGCCTGAATCCTGTTAATATTAAGTTTTGTTATCCCCTCACCTTAATTATCAAGACAACAAAGTTCAGGTAGAAAGTCCTTGAGCTATCAGTAAATTATGTTGCATATTGAAACCTTAATTAAATCAACAACTTTCCTTAGGTGTTTGTATGTCTTCAACAACATGACACGGTAGATAAAAAGTGAAATAAACATGACAAAATGCCATGCCACCTTCTACTACGATAATCATTTCTAATATTACAGCTAGACATCTGAGTAACTACATAATCTATAGATAAATTGGACAATAAATGGTCATGTCATTGTCTTTTAGAAATACTGATGAGTAATATAATGTATTGTTGAATCACCTGTGGAGATATGACGAGATTAAAAGAAGAGTTTTTGGTTTGAGGAAATGAGATGGTGATGGATGGAAAGTCGTTGTAAGGTATTTTGCCCTCCTCCCAACAAATATGGTCAGCACCCTCCCAAAATTTTTCTCCTGGTATTGCCCCAGACATCTGAAATAAGACAAAACAATGCTATTATAACTGACAATGAAAACAACATTAACTGCCTATCACATGTAGTTTTACAATCAATATCTGAAGGTCATTGTTTGATTACTTATAATTATTGTTAAATCAGTTTTACATGTCTAAAATGGAGGAATTACCAACATTTTTCCTCTAACAGCAGCATCAGTAACAGACAAATTAGTACATTCTAAGCTTTCAAATCCATATATTTTTATCAGTTACCAGTACACAGGACATGTTTTTACAATAACTAGTACATAGGACATGTTTTTACAATAACTAGTACACAGGACATGTTTTTACAATAACAAGTACACAGGACATGTTTTTACAATAACAAGTACACAGGACATGTTTTTACAATAACTAGTACATAGGACATGTTTTTACAATAACTAGTACACAGGACATGTTTTTACAATAACAAGTACACAGGACATGTTTTTACAATAACTAGTACACAGGACATGTTTTTACAATAACAAGTACACAGGACATGTTTTTACAATAACTAGTACACAGGACATGTTTTTACAATAACAAGTACACAGGACATGTTTTTAAAGTGATTATCAGTTCTACCAGTATAAAAGTCCTATTTTACAATGATAACCAGTATGAGGGTCCTGTTTTACAGTTATTGTGAGTGATATCAGTATATAGTATCTGTTTATACAGCAATTTCCATGGTTATAAAGGACCTGTTTTTACAGTGATTTCCAGGGTTAACAGTGATAGGACCTGTTTTACAGTGATAACAGTTATAACCATGGTTATCAGTATATAAGACTGATTTAACGTGATTACCATGGTTATCAGTATATAGGACCATTTTTTACAGCGATATCCATGGTTACACTAATACATTAATCCTGTTATACATTTCAAGTGTTTCAGTCTGATACTAAGAAGAATAAAACACATTGAATTGGATATTTTGTTCTGTTCCAATGGTAAGGACAGTCCTACGAATAATAAACATTCTTACAAATTATAAGACATTATCGATTTTCATACCAATTTTGAAGTTGCTATGGTTTTCAATCACAGGGAAAACTCACCACTAAATGTTCCTGAACTTTTGTGACCAATGCATTGAAAACTTTGATTGGAAGGCGAAGATTGGTTGTCCCACTGTCCACAATTGTCTTACCAAAATTATACTGAAATCAAATGTGTAAATATTGTCATACTTTACATGTGTAGACCTCATCAAATACATACAAAGGTCCCATGAGACGGTCTTAATCACTTGTTGGTCATCTACTCTGAACTTTAATGTGAGAAGGGTAAAATCCATTGTAATAATTTTTCATAATTTGTAATTATAACTCCAACATGACAAAGTTTGTCAGAAGTAACTTTATATAATACAATCCTTTCTGTATACAAAATATTAAGTAGAATGCTTAATTTCCGTTTCCAAAGAAATCTGACCCCAGAACCCTTATAACTAAATTAATTCAAATATTTGCTCTTTTCTCCCTGCAGACCATTACTTTCTTTTCGTGAATTTATATCTAAATCTCTTGGTAATTCGAAAAGCAGTTTACACACAAAAATTCTACGACTTGTAATTTCTACGACCGAAAATGTGTTGACCATGCACAAAGGGCATTTTGAATAACCCACCATCTAACAATGATGGGCAAAAAAATCATACATAGAAACCTTTAAAACGTAATTCTCAAAAGTTTTAAGCACAATTTATACAATAATTGACCAGAAAAAATTATCAAAGAAATCATTCAATTATCAGTCTTTTCTGCACTAAAATGCCACTTCTATATAATAATTGTATTTCAAATTAGAAGCGTGTTGGACATGTATTTTTGAATTTAAAAGTATTGAACATATCTAGTCAAACAACAATGGTAATGGATAGTTAATGATAAAAGGGAATCACATTACCTTAGCATTACTAGTGAGCTAAAACTTCTACAGAATTCTTACCATACAGAATAAGATTAAACTGTGACCTACCTCCTTACAGTCCATGTGAAGGCTAATACCAGCTACCATTACGTCTACAATGATCACCTCATAATACCATTCCTTATGTATGGGTGTGTACAACATCTCGCCTTTGTAAAGGGAGGTGTCCACTCCCCCTAAAACCTGGTCACAATATAAAACAGATGGTACAACATAGTCTCTGTAGAGGAAGGTGTCCCTCCCCCTAAAATCTGGTCACAATATAAAACAGATGGTACAACATAGTCTCTGTAGAGGAAGGTGTCCACTCTCCCTAAAATCTGGTCACCACATAAAACAGATAGTACAACATAGTCTCTGTAGAGGGAGGTGTCCCTCCCCCTAAGACCTTATCACAAAATATACATTACAACATCTTGTCTCCATAGAAGGCAGCCTCGGCTCCCCATATGATCTCAACATATACACAGATATACAATTTAGCATCTCTGATCAAACCAAACAGACCTTTCTCTAACCTTATCACTTATCCCTGCATCAAACCTTACCAGACTACCGCCCATCTCTGTGTCTTTGGTGTTGTCTTTGGATCTATACACTGTTCCACACAGCTGCATAGAAAATATGTTATCCACATCAGCCTTCCTTACTAATGAGTCGAAGAATGGCACCACTGATTTGTCGGGCTGTGAATATAAAAGAATATCATTATTGTATAACATCTCCGGAACACAGACTGACATTATTGTGAGGCAATATCCGATCATTCTGAAATGACATGGGGCAAAATAATGTCATTGCAAAATGCTGTGTGGGGCAATATACCATCGTTGTGAAATATCGCCTGGGGCAATAAACATTCTCCCCGTTTTATACTAAAACTTAATAATTCTTTTTGACAAACCTCTACCATACCCTTTAGTAAGGAAATTAGGATACAGTTTAAGGCACCAGTGGTCAGTGACAGCAGTATCAATGGCAATAGTGGTCAGTAACAGTTACATTGAAAGCACCAGTTGTCAGTGACAGTTGTATTGATGGCACCAGTGGTATGGCCCCACTCCTAAGGCCACTGAGAACCAATCCTTACACAAAATTTGTTCTCTTTCACCCAAGAATACTTCTGACCAAATTTGAGGAATATCTATCATCCCTTAAGGAGAAGCAGACTTTAGGATTTTAAAATTTCACCTTTTGGTCCCTCCCCTGCAGGCCCCTTGTGGCCAAGACCCATCAAGTTATACAAAATTTGTTTCACCTTCTCTAGGGATGCTTTTGTCCAAATTTGGTTCAAACACTCTAAGTGGTTTATGACTAGTAGCGATGATTTGTATGAAAAACGTTGACGGTTGAATGATGGATGCCGCGATATGCCATAAGCTAACTTCACCCTTTGGGCCAGGTGACAATTTCATGCATCCCAAATCAAATGGAAATGAATTTGTCCTTTATAACACATGACCGATTTTTCAGTCAAATATGGTAGGAAACAGACATTTCTATGCTAAAGAGTTTTATATCTATGGTTTCCATTGTTATATATCTCAATATATGACATGCCATTGCAATAAATATATGTAAAATTAATTCTTATAAATAAATATTTCTTTGAGCAAAGTCTTATGCAGCTAACTATGCTTTGGCTGTTTCTACATGATACCAACACAAAATAGCATAAGACTAAAATTTAAACTCTATGTGCTAAAACTACTTACCTGTGCTATGGCAGCATAGCCCATGCCAAGAATACCCTGCCAGTTTGAGCCATTGATGAAAAAGTCACTGGATTGAAGAATGAAGGCAATTTGAGCGTTGACAGAAGAGTTTGGCATGGAGGATAGAGCTACAAAGTCAGTTGCCAGGACACCTCGCCAGTTGCCCTGTGTGTATGGTACATATACCTCTGTTCCTACATCCTGGTATGTACTTGACCTGTACGAAATCAAACCATTTCTTGTCATACCATAAGCTTAAACATTTATTACCTTTACAATTTTTACTTTACAAAACGTTGTGTGACAGAGAGAATGATAAAAAGATACAATCCTATTTGACTCTAAGAATACACTTTATGTTAATGACAAGTTGTAGAAAAAGTTCAAATATGTTTTTGTATGAACTGTGCAGTTAATGATCTTATGTCAAATAGAATAATTAAGTTGGATGGCGTCAAAAACTTCATTTTTACTCTTTTAATGACCTATTTCTTGTCATAGCAGCTTTCCTAAAGAACAATGGAAATAGCAAATAAGCATAGCGTTATCATATCTAATACTTCCCATGCATTAATCATAATGGACATTTCGTTTGGGCTTCCAAAGCCATCTCCAAATCGGTGGATCAATTTGTGCTCTGACTTAGATTTGGTATTATAATGTTATGAAATGCAGGTAATTGAAAATCACAGCAACTTACTCATTTCTGTGGAACCAACCCTGCCAGTTTGAGCCATTGATGAAAAAGTCACTGGATTGAAGAATGAAGGCAATTTGAGCGTTGACAGAAGATATATCAGGATTTGGGTTGGCAGCCACAGCAAAGTTACTGCTGCCAGTGTCAATTAATACATTCAACTGAAAATAAACAAACTTATATATCATTGGTCACAACCATGAAAAGCAAGACCATCACCTCACTAGAACTAAACAGACAGATAAGCTGATTTCAGTACGCCCTCTCCCTAACTTTAATTGTAGGGGGTGGGTGTGGGTATGAGAAAGTAACTCATAGCATCATCCCAGAATACCCAGGTCATCACTTAATAAAGTCACTCATAGCATTATCCCAGAATACCCAGGTCATCACTTAATAAAGTCGCTCATAGCATTATCCCAGAATACCCAGGTCATCACTTAATAAAGCAACTCATAGCATTATCCCAGAATACCCAGGTCATCACTTAATAAAGTCACTAATAGCATTATCCCAGAATACCCAGGTCATCACTTAATAAAGCAACTCATACATTATCCCAGAATACCCAGGTCATCACTTAATAAAGCAACTCATAGCATTATCCCAGAATACCCAGGTCATCACTTAATAAAGCAACTCATAACATTATCCCAGAATACCCAGGTCACCACTTAATAAAGTCACTCATAGTATTATTCCAGAGTACCCAGGTTGTCACTTAATAAAGCAACTCACACTTAATAAAGTCATTTATAGCATTATCCCAGAATACCCAGGTCATCACTTAATAAAGCAACTCATAGCTGATAAAGTAGGTCATAGCATTATCGGGGTATTTGAATACAATGCTAAATTCTGTAGGTCACTGGTGTTTTTAAATACATGTATACACAATGGAATCGTAAGTCATTCAGTTGACCCAATATTTACTATCCTACGTCTGATAAATATGTAAGTGTACCTGTTGAGGTGGAGTGCCCATCAGAACCTCCACATAATATCCCTGTCCAGGCTTTCCCTCCAGATTTCCATTCTGATAGTGTGATAAGCTACGTCTACTTCGCTGGTGATTTAGATGAGGTGAAGCCTCCTTTAATGGTAACTTTATCACCGTTCCAGACAGGACCTCGTGAAGAAGGAGACCAACAGCAAAAGAGATGATTGGGATTAACTTAGAAATTCTAAATTTTAAAAACATTTTCTGATTTTTCACATTCTATTCCATAGACTGTAGCAATAGGCTGTTCTTGTATCCATTGACCTCATGTTCTGCTGGAAAGGAGCAACATATTTCCTGTAAAGCAATAAAATCACAAATCAATGACAAATATACTGTAGTAAAAATATATACAATATACACAAAACTATCTATATATCAAATGATTGGCATATTACCTACATCACTTTCACCAGAATCTTGAATTAAGTATATTCATTGAAAAGGTGTAATTGTGTTACAGGACTCTGACGATGAATCGTTATAACAAAGAAAAGTAAAATAAAACATTTGCAGTTGACACCTAGTTACAGTAACCAGGATTTTAATATTGTGGTGAAAACAGGAGGAATTTGTGATGTTCTGCACCTACATTACATGGTAAATATGTACAAATTCCCAACTCTTCTATTTTTGCCTTATCAAGCAGGGTTGACAGGTACCACTGGTTAATCATATAAAAACCTTACTACATCTTAAACATAACAGTGTTAGTTGTGCATGCTCAGCATCAACTTCAATGGTGTAATTCAATAATTTTTGATCGGTCAAACATAACGATTTTTGCATGTCAATAGACATTGGTGTAAAGTATATGATACAAAAAGAATTATTAAGACATATTGATTAATGAACTGCTGGGCGCTAAATATGTCCTAGGACAACCATTTGGTACACCGTATGCATGATATTTTCCCTATTATACACCAAAACAGCATACGCCAGATTCCTACATACTGTACAGGGTTGAACCTTAAATATTCAGGTTTTCAGTGCTCCTAAGAACATGGGGTAAATATCTTCAAACCTCTGTGCCTACGTCTACAAAAATACTTAGGTGGTAGCCTGTGTTTAGTAGTTTCTCAAATCAATGACATATTGTGATGTCCAAGCTAGTACTTGACTATATTTTCTATGTAATAAACTGTAATTAATATTGACATGTCTTTTCCGTTCATGTATATTTCATTATTCTAGCAAGGAAATTTAGTATCTTACCTACCAACACCTTAAAAAGTCGTATTAAACCCTGTTTATAACGATGTTTTGATAAAAGCACCTGTCACCTAAACATCCGGTTTGAGGTCATGACCTCACGTTGCATTGAGATTTAATTCTTTTCCTTTAAAATTTGATAAAAATATATCTGTAATAAGTTTTAACTTTATTTTTCATATTTATCAAATTCCTTAACTTTTCTGACTTTTTAGAGGGTCAACTCAAATAAATTTTCAAATATGCAAATAAGACGCCAAGTAGCAACATGCAAACAATATGGACGACACCGTGAACGCTGCACTGTGAATCAAAACATAACGAAACACAAAGGCGATGTTTTGATATGAAAATACTTTGACTTGAGACCCAGCGTGATTATGTAAGCACCTAACTATTATTTCCTTTATTCTCAAATGAATTATCCATGCTTTGCTCCAATGTCGGAAGATTTTGTAAGTTTTAAACAAATGCATGTGGTTGCTTAGAAGCACTTTTCAAACTTTTAAGACATTAAGAAAAACTTGGGGGCAAAACGCGCGGAACTATTTTCTTTTACCAGATCACACGTGATTTAACGGTGAATGCTTAGTAAATATCACCAATGTATTTAGAATAAGGTGTCGCAGTATTAATTTGGTTTTACTAAATCAGTGCAGATTGATCTTCACCAGACATCGTCTGATATGACAGGTTTTCAAAGTGTACCTAATACAAAGTTTCATGTGTTAATTTTCTTGCTACCCAACCACCCACTTTCAATAAGTTGTATTAACATATAATTTTCTTGTAAATTTGAAATTAATTAAAATTTAATTATTTACAATCTAGGTATGTTTTTTTTTTAAATATGAATTTAAATATCATTGCTCTCTGTACATAGATATTTTCACAATATTGCCAAGAAATGGAAATAAAGTTGCAGATACTGTACTGCATCATTGTCACTGGATATATAATTTTATTGGACACACCTCTATATCAGATTTTATTCATTATTTCAACTTTAAGCTCCACACATTGTCCAAAGGCTTTAACAACCTGCTTTTTCAATTTTGATCATTGTACAGTCCTAGGGGTGTAACAATATACCATACTGGTTAGCAGATGGCAGTGCAGAATCAGCTCCTATTTTCAAGATAATTATTAATACATTGTACATCAAATGTTTTTACAATTATGTGTAGATGAAACTGTTCAAAAGCATTATATATAAATATTTTGTGTGCTTTCCTGTAAATATGATTGCTGTATTTGTGTTGATCTTTGATAATTGTTTTACTTTGATAGTGTAGATTGCTTAGCAAATAGAAAGTCATTGATTGAAATAGTACAGGCAAAATAGTGCAATCCATATCACAATACAATGAAAGGCAATATGTTTTGGTTAGCTAAAACAACATCTTTTCACCTCAATTCAATCCATCACATCAGATTCCTCCAGTCAGGATGTAACCAGAAACTAAATGACATGCCTCAAATATGCAGGAATTAATTCAAAATGACTATTCAATTTAAAACTATGATGTGATAAGTTTATACTTAATAGATTTAATTCAAATTCAGGAAATCATTGTGTTTTGTGGTCTTTTTCTCTGTAATAATTGACAGCAAAAAATCTTATTTTCAGAACAAACAGCCAAAATGGATGAACGGTTGAAGTGGCTGGAGGGGAGAATCAGCTCTTCCCTGAGACCAAGGAATGAAGAGCTCAAAAACATGTTTCTCAATGATGAGAACAGGTAATAATAAATAGAAAATACACCATCTCATAATGATTTTAGATAAATAACAAGCAGTTTCTTGAATCATCTATTCATGTACATATAGTACCAAATCTTTACAGAATATAAGATGGTGATTTTTTATCCTTCCTATCTTAGATCAGAGGAGGATATTGCAATCCCATTTGTCCATCTTTCCTTCAGTCTGTCCTACTTCTTTTTCACCATGACTCAGAGCTAGAAAGAGCTTATATTTACTTGTGATTTATGTTTTAAGATGACATATTCATTATTCACCATGTCATTTATATAAGCTCCTATACAATATTTTTCTTTCCTACCTCAGCTTTGACAATTCTTTGTAACGCTTGGAGTTTGTGTGGATAACTGGTTAGCTATCATAGATATCTATAAAATTAACTGAAATATGGTAGTCAAATGTTTCATTATTAATTATCAAACTTTTAACTTTTTGGTGTACTTTCCAGTATCATTGTGCAAATTAAATTTGTTTTTGAAATTGATTTGATTAATTTTTTTCTTCAGACTTGCCTTTTATGAGTTTATCAATAATGAGGATGTACGACGCCTGTTTGTGTTTAGTCGCCCGTCCAAACAAATAACAGCCTCGCTTATCCCTCCACATGACCTCAAATACAAGTCAATCTTCTTCCTGAAGTGTAAAGCTGGCACCAAACTGACTAAGGAAAATATAGGTAAGGATGCTGTACACTTGGTCAGGACTGCTCCATCACAGATCCCTAATCAAACGAACTGTGTATTGCATAGGTTATAACTTATTGACTATTGCCAGATATATTTCATCTGTTACATTATGTAGATATTACAATGAAACAAAAATATACAAGGTGTTCTTTCAAAATTCTTTTGTCACACAAAGGTCTTGAAGAAGATCGCTATTAGTTGAAAATAAATTGTTGTTTTGTTGACTATATTGATGTGTTACAGGAAATAAGATGTTCTTCGTTGACTGTATTAATGTGTTACAGGAAATTAGGTGTTCTTCGTTGACTATATTGATGTGTTACAGGAAATGAGGTGTCCTTTGTTGACTATATTAATGTGTTACAGGAAATAAGATGTTCTTTGTTGACTATATTGATGTGTTACAGGAAATAAGGTGTTCTTCGTTGACTGTATTAATGTGTTACAGGAAATTAGGTGTTCTTCGTTGACTATATTGATGTGTTACAGGAAATGAGGTGTCCTTTGTTGACTATATTAATGTATTACAGGAAATGAAGTGTTCTTTGTTGACTATATTGATGTGTTACAGGTAATGAGGTGTTTTTCGTTGATTGCACTGATGTGCCATTGGAACACCTAGAGCTGATTGTCAGGGAGGTTTACCTGCCTTTATTGTGTACAAACCAGTCTAATCTGGCTGCTTCTGGAGGAGACAAAGTGATGGATGTGTTACACAGACTCATGTCTATTGTGGAAGTATCACAAGGTCATGTTGAGGTAAGTAGTCAACAACAGCAACAAAAATGGGAAAGCCCCAAAGTTATATATAGATTGTGGAATTCCTCATGCCTCATTCTTCTAGGTTTCTCTCTCATCTTCTGAGACTGTTTCCAATCAAACTATTATAGATCAAATGACATCTGAGGTCTATATATAACTTTATTAAGACATAATATGGGATAACGTTTTTTTCTTGAGTACAAAATAGTTAGCCCCCTCACCTCAACTGCACTATGTAAAGTAGATAGCTCCTGTCTGCGTAGTAAGGCTGAAATGTTTACACATGTACACAACTGTAGTGTCACTGTTTCACAAATCTAAGAAATATTTTAAGGGAAATTCTTACTTTTTCTGTAGGATTCAATTAATCTTGATTTTTCCTCGTAATGGTCTTATTTCATCTCTGACTGTCTTGTATCATAATTTCATTAATATTTGGTCAGAAGATGAATCGGGAATACATTTTCTTTTAATCAGAATTCCTTGTAAACTGGCACTTATGCGTAAGTGAGATCATAAGCAACTTTACATTGCTAAAAGTGACAATTTCAATAGAAAATAAATAGAGTTTCCCAATTGGTTTATGAGCAAAAGATCTGATACATGTCTTTTTCTACTGCCAATTGTAACAAGGCAATCAGAAACTGCTGACAAACTTCAAAGATCAAAGAAGGTTGGATATGTGACAGTCCTGTACCACACCATAAATATTGAAGCAATTTTGAGACAATGTAGTTTTGTTGTCATTGCTTAAATGCTCTAAGTACTGTATATAACTTACAGTTTACATTATAGTAGTTTTTAGCATATTGTAAGTATGTAATGTGACAGTACAAGATCTGTTAAATTACATGTAAAATTTGTCAACACCTGCTGTCTAGGTTTTGTTTAGATTCCTTGTACACATTTATGTTTTGTTTAGTATGTACTGTGTAAACATCCTCACTTCTAACATCTACCCTCACAACTGGTTGATGTCATTATAAGGTGTTACAGAATATTTATGATTCTGCTTCAGTATTGTAAAATATCCAGAACATTATTTATTACATTTTTTTTCTGACCTTGTTTTAAAAAATAAGTCTAGTTTGGAAATAGTAACAAGTCCTTCTGTCGATATCTGAAGACTTTTAACAGAGACTGTGTTTGAAAATATAGAAAATTGTGTTATACTGATGCTATATGTGCAGCAAAAGATAACTACAGATGCAGTGAGTCACAACTGTACAATTTGTTTCTACAGGGTCGTATCATTCTCAGCCTGCCATCAATAGAAGTCTTAGCTGAGGCAGCAGCTACACCAGCACGGAGAGGATCTGTCCTCCATGTATTGGAAACTACAGTCCTGGCATGGATAAAACAAATCAAGGTAAACATTATACTCCTTTATCTCAAGGTAAACATTATACTCCTTTATCTCAAGGTAAACATTATACTCCTTTATCTCAAGGTAAACATTATACTCCTTTATCTCAAGGTAAACATTATACTCCTTTATCTCAAGGTAAACATGACACTCCTTTATCTCAAGGTAAACATTATACTCCTTTATCTCAAGGTAAACATTATACTCCTTTATCTCAATGTAAACATTATACTCCTTTATCTCAAGGTAAACATGACACTCCTTTATCTCAAGGTAAACATGACACTCCTTTATCTCAAGGTAAACATTATACTTCTTTATTAGGGCCCCGCATCGCGATGCGGGTGCCCTATAGTAATCACCTTGTCCGTCTGTCTGTCTGTCCGTCTGTCTGTCCGTCTGTCTGTCCGTTTTGCTTTCCGCATGATATCTTGAGAAGGAATGATGAGGTAAACTTGCTTATGATACTTGGTACATAAGTCCCTCCTTTATCTCATATTTAATGAGGGTAAACATGACTTGAGAAGGAATGATGGGATTTCGATGAAACATGCCTTTATCTCAAGTTCGAAGGCATATTTAATAAACATTGGCTGAATGTTTTACTCCTTTATCTCATGGGGTAAACTTGCTTATGATACTTGGTACATAAGTCCTTTATCTCATATTTAATGAGGCTGCTGCAATCTGATTGGCTGAATGTTTTACAGAGAATATCTTCTGAAGGAATGATTTATTTCTTTAAAACTTGCTTCGTGATCTTGGTACAGTTCAATGGTCCGTCTGTCTGTCCGTCCGTTTCCCTGTCCATTCCATATATCTGTCCATCTGTCCATTTTCATTGGATTTTGATGAAAGTTGTAACACCTGTCCATATATTTCTTAATATTAAGAAACTCAATCATAAGGGGTAGGTATTATGCGGGGCCCTTCCTCGACAATGGTCTAGTCTCAGGGTAAACATTATATTCCTTTATCTCAAGGTAAAAATTATACTCCTTTATCTCAGGGTAAACATTATACTCCTTTATCTCAGGGTAAACATTATACAGTGTTACATCTAGGTATCATCTAGTCATAATTAATGCCATATTTACCCACTAATAAACCCACATTTAGTAATAAACAAACCCAAATATAGCATAAGTTTTTTAGAATTAGAAATAAATTCTGTTTTTTGGTTCTATGTGATAAGCCTGTGTTGGACTCCCAGACATACAGCAGGATGAATGCAGTGTCTTCACTACAATTCATTAAAAACACATTTACAATTTCACAAAACTGTACTTTGAAAAACTGAAAGTGAAAAGAGTAACTGTTTTATTCATGTCAGTTAGTATGTGTATTTGATTTGTTATATCAAGGAGTTGGTAAGTGACAGGTTTTGTATCTAATTTTCTACCTTGTACATTCAGGGTGTCTTGCGACATGACCCAATTGCTGACCTTTTCCACCACTATGGTCCAGAGCCTGGACCACTGGATGAGATAAAAATGTGGGAGAGACAGCTAGGGCGCCTTCACTCAATTCTACGCCAGTTGGAGTCACCAGTAGCCAAAGACATCCTTCAGAACCTTGACCAAGCACAAAGCCAGTATTCAAGCTCCTTTAACCATGTCAGAAAGGATGTGAACAGGGTAAGGGAACTACAAATGGCCAATAGCCATGGGACACACCTTACATCCACACACAAGTGATGGAAAGACCTCATTGTCCCCACACCCTAGAGATAGAACCTCCCCAACACCCCCAAGCTACTTGTGGTGGAAGGTCACCACATTCCCACACTATGGTGGGAGTTCCTTTACACACTTACACAATAGCAGTGAGATGTCCTCTACACCCTTACACACTGGAAATAATTTTCAAACTTAGAATTCATCATCATCCTTTATCATAAGTCATGACTTAATATCTTTTTGAATTTAGTGAACATGTGATGTTCTGATTTATAATGATATAGAACTACCAGGTATGTATTAATTTGACTAAGCAAAAACAATTCTTAATGAAAGTTTTTTCTATAAGATTTAATGTATCATATGAAGTATGCCCAAGATTGTCACATATGTCTAAAATTTCACCAAGTGTTAATAAAGTACAGCAGCTTGTTTGTTTTTCATACTTGTTCTGACTTACAGGCAGTGACAGATGTAAACCGCACACTGAAATTCCTCAGCACGATGCAGTGGTTGTTCGAAGATCTCCATAGTACGGTAGACCCAAGACAAATGCTCAGACTATTCCAGCCTCTCATGCAGGTTCTCTTCCGTGTCTGGCAGAATTCTGTGTAAGTCTAGTCACCAATTTTCTTTATATGCCTGTCAAAAATTCTGATGGGACCTTTTATGGTATAGCATTGTCGATCTGTCTTTCCTTCACAAATTTTCACCTGTTCAGAGATCCTCGCCGACAATTTTCAACCAATTTCTTTCATCAAAATTAGCATTTTTATCAACTATTTTTAGAAGAGGTACTATTCTGGTTTTTTTCGTGATCTAAATCTTGTCCATTTTTTTAAAACTAAGTATGTTTTATCATCAAAACTGTTTTTCCTTCTGACAATTTTTGAAAAGCTATAGCCACCTTTTTAATTGTTTTACATTTCTTTTAAACTTTTAAAATTATTGTTTCATTTTCTCATTCTTTTCATCTGAATGAAATAAAATATTTCTCTCTGTTATGGTACAGGTGTACAGTATTCCACCCTACAGTACTCTGACTTATAAATCTTATGGGATGTGTGGAGTGACAAAATTCTGTGTAATATTGTAAGTTTTTTGTTACAGATACTACCACCAGATGGACAAGTTCCACAACATCTTGCGTATGTTGTCTAATGAGGTTGTCCATCGAGCCATTGCTTTAGTAGGAGAGGACATCCTTAGGGAACCACTTGAGGTAAGTCACACATCAAATGTAGTCATAGGTCAGGGGTCAAGCTTAAAGAAGATTAAGAGGTCAAAGTTGAAGTAATAATTTATTTCAATATGCCTGTTGAACCAGAAAGCTTTCATGCCCAAGTCGTTATACCTCATACTGGTGGTATACCAATGAATTTTCATATAGACTTTGTTAATGTAATGATATTTTTGTTCTTATACTTTAAAATGAATAACAGGGGTGATGTCAACTGATAAATCCTGTTGTCAAAAGCAACTAGGAACTGATGAATGTTTTGAGAATGAATATCATGATTCTTAAGCTTATATTGTTTGTTACTCTATAGAATTGTTTATTGATATTTTGTGACATCGTTCATACCAGGGTCAATATAACTAACAGTGTTCTAGGAATTATAAGGCTATAGATACATCGATTTTAGTAATCAAAAAATAAGATTAAAGATTGCCTATCATTATCAGCCTGAAGGGGACATTTTGTCATGTTTCAGAATACTTCTTCTCAGCATGTGATTTTCAAAATATAGAAAATTGACATATGTATGTAATTAACACATTTGATCATGACTAGCTCACAGCCTAAACGCCTGTGTTGTTTTTTGTTTTCAGTCTTACACTAAGCTGAAGGATGCCTTGCGAGTATGTGCAGCATTCCGAGGCACTTATCTTGATTACAAGGACAAAGCCGATGATCAGAATGCCAGAAATATCACTGAAAATGCTGAAAGATTGTAAGTTATGGGAAACTGAATGCTTTCAATACCAATGAAAATATTGGGAGATTGTAAATTCGAGGAATTAAGAACTTTCAAAAACCAGTTAAAATGTTAGGAGATTGTAAATTCTAGGAATGGAGAACTCTCAATTCCAGTTATAAGAAAACTGAAGGATTGTGTTAAATAACACTTCCAAAACAAAATTGAGTTTATCTAGAGAAATGAGCTGCTTTTGAAATATTTTAATTGTTTTTGTTTTTGTACGTGCCTTTCAGAGCATCACAACCACAGGGAACCCTGTTCCTTACAAAGATGTACGGGCCTCATGCCTACACACCACGTTATGGTATGAGGCATCAGGACGGTAACTCCAGCAGTAGTTCTATTAACGAGGATGAGTTATGGACAGACAGTCCATGGCCCCCACGTAACGCCCCATGCTTTGACCTTCTGAACAACTTCATGGAACGGTAAGGCTGTAATCTGTCATTGTCGTTTAGAGGTTGTTCCATGTAGATTCTTTTTTATAGTAAAATATATTTGATTGCAGGTTGGCAACTCAAAGTCATTTAGTGAGGTTTTTAAAAGTTATTTTTAGAATTTGTTGCCTATGTATAAAATAATGTTCATGTAGTTTTTGATTTCTGCATTTTTGCATTAAATGGAAAGCAAAGTAACTTTTCTTCCTTAAGAAATGTTCTTATATAATATTGAATTGAAAAATGAAATATAGAACAAGCTGTAAGCAGGTTTTTTACTTATTCAGTCAAATGTTTTCCTGAAATCTAATGTATTTCTAGACTAAATGAAGAAAAAATTTGGAAATGTTGGTATAAGTTTGAGATTTAATATAACATGGGCTGAGCAATACTGTATATAACAGTTGTGGTATATTGTTCAGGTATAATGATATATATATAATAATAATAATAATTTTACTGATCATATTTAATAGTTTTCTGTTTGATACCGTAAATATTTCTCTCAAATGACAGACCAAATATTCATGAGCTTATTTCTTCATAGTGTATTTTGTAAATGAAATAGATAAGTAAAACTTGATGGAAACATATACAATTCCTTGTCTAAATAAAGTACAGGAAACATTAAGCATATTTCTTTTACATAGGATAGCTATGACTTGACATTGCCTTTTTCTATTTGCCATCATACACAGCATTCTAACGTTTTATGCTATTCATTGCCAAGAATCACTTACAAACGAAATAATTAGATATGAATTTGAAGAATAAAAACCACAATGCGTATAAAAAAAGATCCGGTATGAAACCCATTTAAATTATTTCTTTGACAACTTTCCCTTCGTTTGCCTCTTAAAAGAAAAAATGGCAAATTTTAAAACTCAAAAATTCATCGAGATATTTAAATTTTTTCTGTTTGCATTTAAAATATAACTTTACTTCTATCAAATTAATAAGTTATTATAGATATCATTGGAAAGAAAGGTACAATATACAAGAAATTTGTCTTATCATGAACATAAAACGTTAACTCTGAAGAGTTCTTATGATGACCAAATCTAATTATAAATATATCACAGAAATTATTAAAACAATACTTAACCAAAAACTTTCACTTTGTAGTATATTAGATATGTTAATTTATGTTAATTTATGCACCATGATCATAAACAGTATGAATGAAATTAAAACTATATAATAAAAAAATCTGTTTTTGTCAATAGTGATAAGATCATGCATTATCAATTTTTTTTTGATGTTGTAGGTGTAATGATGTGTTGGAGTTAGTGGAGACAACGCGCCATTTCCGCCTGTTGGCAGATGCTGCAGAGATAGGTGGTGCTGGTAGCATGAGTCTGGATGCACTAGTCAAGGAGATACATGCCAAGTACACACATTCAATGCGAGAGTTTTTCAGTGTTGTTGGAAATGTCCTTAATATTGATGGCACACAGAACTTTGAACGTTCATTCTTTAAGTTTAGAACAGTAGTAAAGGTGAGTTCATGACTAAAATTTACTTCTCATCATTCGAATATAAAGATTTAGGTAGATATAAAGATTCATACAAATCAAGGACATTGTAAGTAATGAATTTTATAGACAATTTTTTTGTCCATATACTTGTCCAAAATGAAATGTCTTATTTTATGTGAAGAATATATTTGTATCAGATGATATCATAAATACTTTTTAAAGCCACATTTATAATTTAGTTAAAAATTTTCAAGTAAATATAAATGTAAGCAGCCTGTAAGCCTCTCTTTTGATTTATGTCATGTGTTTATAAAGAAAATAGATTAACATTAATGGTATTTGAAGGATACATGAAAGAATGATAATCGCATGACTTGTTGTACTTGTTTGTTGCCAGGCATTAGAGAAACGTCTGTCTGAGATTCTACGGCTATCGTACAACCAATGTCCAACAGTGGATGCCCAGCTCCGTCTCCTTGAGGTGTTTGAGGGTGTCAGTAGTCGTGAGCTTGTCCAGGTAAGCGTGTTCAGGTGATACAATGACGATGTGATGATGTCAGTTCGAAGTTGTCCACTCTGTCATCAGCACATAACTTCCATAAGAAATAAAATTATTTGTCGTTTGTTATCTGGGATAAGGTTTATTTATGGAATACATCATATGTGAATGTTTTTTCAGGAGATGCAATTTACTGTGATGATATTATAAACAGTGACCTTATACTTAATTGTTACTAGATACACCTCCGAGACAAGGATGCCCTTCTCATCAAAGCATTTAGTGCAGAACTCCGCAATGTACAACTAATGTTTGAGGAGAATCAGCACCACCCACCCAGTCATGCAAACATGCCACGTATTGTGTCCAAACTCATGTGGATACATGGACTCATCCAGCGCATTAAGGTCAGATATTCGCTCTAAAGTCCAGATCAATCAGGTCTTTGATAAAGTTTTGAAAACAACAGTTTCTAATTAGCAATTAGGCCATGAAAATTCTCTTTATGTCAAAGATATTCAATTTTATTTAGCCTCAGTTACAATTTAGGATCTTACTTAAGTTTTCATTTCACAGGAAATCTTGTAATGAGTATTTTTAGATTGAAATTTTAATTACAGTAAGCCTCTTTAAAGTTTGAATGATATATGAAATTGAAACAAATTTAAAGATCATTTATTGTTACATTAAAAAAAGTGTACATAAATTTAATTTATTAATGAAAACCTTTTTTTTATTAAAATTATCTTTGTTGTATATCTGTTATCTCCATTGAGACCTCAATGATATATACACAAACATGTAATAACATTTTGTGACCATTGAAAATAATGTATTATGAGTTTCAGATACAAAAAATTGACAAATGGTTCTAATCTGAGACTAAGCTGACAGTTATGCAATAAAATATTTTTCACAAAATACTGTATACTTTGGGCTGTATGCATTTGATTTCCAATCTGAAACCCCTGGTTTTTTCCCGTACAAAAATTAACATGACTCATATTATGAGGACAATTGTAAACAAGCAGCCATATTGCAGTTATTGGATTATTAAGTGCCATGTATTACAGCATCCAATGGAGAAGATGAAGAGAGTGAGTCCACACTCCCTAGAGGGGGACGCTGGCTGGCAGATGAGGGACTTATATAACGACTGTCTCCATATGTTAGAAGACTTCAAGAAAGGGCTTATGATGGAGTGGCGCGAAAATATCACTGCTGAACTGACTCTCCGTCTCAAGCAGCCACTCCTGGTAAGGAATGTGATATAACGACAAGTTGTCGATATAGAACATGTATAATTCTGAAACCTCTGTAGTCTGGACCTGAATGATAGTCTAAAACTCTGGCGTCATTCCTGGCGATTCAAGCATCTGGAATTTGTTTAGAAAAATTATTAAAAATGAATAATTTCCTAAATGCTTTTTACTAATTTTGCTCATACCATGCAGCTATGCAAACAGCTGACTGATCGACTAAGAAAAATTGAATTCAGAACAACAGTAGATAATTATCCCCCCACAAAACGCGGAATGATAATTTAAGCTCTGTCCGTCCGTCCGATGGCTTTTCCAGACTAAATCTTCAAAACCATTCAACTCAACTTCACAAAACTTGCTGTATATATTAAGTTAGTGCCCTAGTTGTGCCTTTTGTTACTGACAACATTTCATTTTTTATATTTTATGTTACCATGGAAACATAGTCAAAAAACTCAAAATTAGTGTTAACTTTTCTTTTTCGGGCTATAACTTCAAAACCATTTCACTCAACTTGACAAAACTTTTTGTATATATTAGGTCAGTGCCCTAGATAATTTTTTTTCTGTTAACATGGAAACAGATAGCACTCATCACAAATTTCAGTTTTGCTGGACCACTGCTCTGACACTGTTCACAATAATTGCTCAAAACTTTTTAAACTTAATAAGAGAGTAGTTTCTTCAGCTATAGGGAAGTTTTCCATTTAACTACTTTTCTGTTACCATGGAAACAGATAGGCCAAATCACAAAGCCCAGTTTTTTCAAACCGTTTCTCTTAAACCATTCAAAGTAATTACCTGGTACTCAAAACTTTGTACAGGCATCAAGCTAGTACTCTAGTAGAAGTTCCCCATTTCAATACTTTGTATGGAACAGTTAAAAATAACAAATAGAAATTAAAACTTGTTTTGATATTAACATATATATGAATATATATATGATTGTTTGTCTTTCTTTTAAACAGCGGGGTGCGGGGGATAATGTTTGTGTTATCTTGTTTATCCTGCAGTAACGCAGCAGACTTATAAACTGTAGCCACAGTGATCCAAAATGAGGCACTGATTACAGAACAAATATAAAACCAATTGTTGTAATTTCTGTTGAAGATGAAATGGCTATGGGTGAATGCAGTACGTGTAGTTTTCTCATAAGATACATGCTGGAAGGTCTAATTATGATATCATGTCGATGAACCTTTTCTACAGATAGCAGAGGAGTTTGACGAGGATGTGGAGGTGCGTCCTCAAGTTATCCATGTGAATCTCGACTCACAACTGTTACGGATACTTCGAGAAATTAACTATCTTAGTCAGGAGCCATTCAACATTCAGCTGCCATCAGCTGCTAAAGAACTTGTACGTAACACCAATGCGTTTGAGCTGCGTGTGACGGCCACCCGTCTGGAGACAATAGTGTCCAAGTATAACACAATTATGAGAACTATCACAGAGTTTGAGAAGCCGCTGTTTGAGAGGAAACTTGCAAAGATTGACACAGTAAGTTCAATGATTTTTGTTAGTTATCTGGATGGTAAAATTCTCAGTTATTATGCAAATGGTGTATATACTTATTAATTTTTTGTTATTACATTACTCCATTCTTACAATTAGGTTTGACTTCTAAAAATTACACATTTACCTTTATTTTTTGTTAAGAAACTGTGGAATGAGGAATATTTCTTGCTGTAATTACTGAATATTCCAACAACTACTACTACTGCAGTTATATCCTATAAAGGTTTTAATAGTCATATAACTGTTAAGGTTTCTTGTTTGATAGTCAATGAGCCAAATGCTGTAAAAAATCAATCATCCTCTACTCATCATACGGTCATGATATTTGACCTGAAGCAATTTTGTATTGAAGGATTATTAAGTTTGCTGAGATAAATGACCTTGACCCACTATAAAGGTGGCAAGGGTAAGATTATAGAGCAGTGTAACTCAATGTCACAACATTGCTGTGCACAAGATTACCCATTTCATGCTTTCCCCGTAAGACATCGTCATGCAATACAATAATGCAGCATTCGATACAGGACCATGTGGACTGTAACCTAGATAGTTGCTTGACCAAATTTCATTGCTTTTGTGTAACGCTTTCACAAGATATTACAGATAATGTCATCCTGCATTTCTTTATCCCTTGAGTATTTCTATACATGCAAAAATCCCAGATAAGTTAACTGGGTCACCAGGTCAAAGATCATGCAAAAATCTCAGATAAGTTAACTGGGTCACCAGGTCAAAGATCATGCAAAAATCTCAGATAAGTTAACTGGGTCACCAGGTCAAAGATCAAGGTAACATTTTAACTAGAATGTATTTTGTTGGCATATATATTGTTATGCAATTATTAAGCCAGAATCAAATGATCATAAGTTGTAGATGAATGATATTTACTTTAAAGACTGAACATGTTAGTTTAGGAAGTTGCCAGTTGTGTTATTCAGACAAAGGATGATTTGATTTCTTTAAAGCAAACTTTCACATCTCTCTTTTATATCTAGCAATATGTAAAAGAGCATGACCTACATTTGTGATATGTGCTACATATTACCAGACATATAAATGTAAACAATCTTGATACCAAATATATATATATAAACAATCTTGGTACCAAACCTATATATGTAAACAATCTTGATACCAATTATTTATATGTAAACAATCTTGATACCAAACCTATATATGTAAAAAATATTAATACCAAATATTTATATGTAAACAAACTGAATACCAGACATATATATGTAAACAATCTTGATACCAAATATTTATATGTAAACAAACTGAATACCAGACATATATATGTAAACAATCTTGATACCAAATATTTATATGTAAACAAACTGTATACCAGACATATGTATGTAAACAAACTGTATACCAGACATATGTATGTAAACAAACTGTATACCAGACATATGTATGTAAACAAACTGTATACCTGACATATGTATGTAAACAAACTGTATACCAGACATATGTATGTAAACAAACTGTATACCAGACATATGTATGTAAACAAACTGTATACCAGACATATGTATGTAAACAAACTGTATACCAGACATATGTATGTAAACAAACTGTATACCAAACCTATATATGTAAACAAACTGAATACCAAACATATATATGTAATATAAAGACTCAAGAGGAAAGAATTGAACCATTTTAGAAATGTTCCTTAGTCAGGTGACATGAAATGACTTGGAAATGTTACTCATATTTCCTGTTTTTACATCTATTATGTAACTTCCATTGTTGGTAATTACAAGACAAAATTCCTACTTGTACTGTTCCACATGTATATAATGTTGGTTCTGATCTACATAGAATGATATATGATAATTGAGTGATTTTTGTAATTCAGTTGTTTGAGCAAGGTCTTCAGCAGTACACTTGGAAGATGAAGGAGTCAGCTGACTTTATTGAGCAGGCGATGGCCCTCGTCTGCATGGATGTCCATCAGAACCTGGACATTGTCCAGACCAACTGTCATGAGATCGCTGAGATTACCATCTCCTGGTCAGCGGGAACTTTGGATGTGTTCTCTGCTCGCACTATGGACACTTCCTACTCCATGGAGGAACTGTTAGAGATGCAAAAGTAAGTCAGTTATTACAACAGGTTATAATATATGGTCTTTTTGGTCAGAATGACAAAATTATTACTTTTCTGGTAACAAAATGCAACAAAAGAAAATAGGCATTGGTGGTGTTATAGGAAAAGCATGTACTCACCCCTTATGCTTTTTTATCATAAGCAATTATTAAAAACTTTGAAGTCAGAATTATGTTTTTTTTCATTAATGTCCATATGCCAGTTTTTGAGGAAGACAATTGGGTTCTAACACCAAAATCAAAAGTTTCTAGCTGTGATTGTCTTCACCATTAATGACGAGCTATCAAGCAGCTGTTCCTTGTGTTCTCGAGCTTCTGATGGATAGTTCCAATCACAATGTGATATATCTTCTAATGTAATACCAACAGAGTATCACTATTGACTACTGATATACTGTGTTACTGACAAACATAATGCAAACATTTGGTGTTGGAATTTACAATGAATACAATGCATACTTAGGGTAAAAATCAGTACAAAAAATTCAAATTACTTTTGGGAATCTTCTTGCTGAATTTCTCAGGGAATAGCAACACATGAAAAGTTTAAAAAATGATTTTGATAATTCTCAGCTTATATAATATTACTGTCTGTATTATTTAGTTAGTTTTGAAGGCCACTATTCAAAAGTAATCCTTTATTTTTCTTTGACACAGAAATTTGACAGAGGACCATGAAACACTGGTGCTGCCATCTGGTAATAAGATCCATGCCCTGGTTCAAGTGTCTTTTGAGGTGAGCATGCTCCTATTAATGACCTATGAACTCAACCTAATGATGTTTAAAATATGAGAACCTAAATATATGTTTATAATTGTATCACCTCACCAGCCTGGGTTGATTATATAGACTATAGACTTCAGTAGATGTTAATACTTGTATTTACAGGCTGTACAGATCAGTCAGGCCTCACCAGCCTGGGTTGATTATATAGACTATGGACCTCAATAGATGTTAATACTTGTATTTACAGGCTGTACAGATCAGTCAGGCCTCACCAGCCTGGGTCGATTATATAGACTATGGACCTCTGTAGATGTTAATACTTGTATTTACAGGCTGTACAGATCAGTCAGGCCTCACCAGCCTGGGTCGATTACATCGACTATATTGACGCCATTGTACTGGACGGTTTAAAACATGCCACACTAGCAAGTCTCAAATCCATGCTTAATAACTTGGTGCAGGCTAACATGGATGAGGTAAGTTATTTGTAAACAACCTCATTAACATTTTGACAACATTCTTTCAAATTAAAAAAGTTACTGATATAAGGAATTTTGAAATTCATCTAGCTTATCTGAATTCCACTGAAACTGAGGGTTCCTTATGTATCACTGCTTTTTGATTCCATAGAATCTTCTTTTAGAAAAAAAAAAGAAATTGGTTTGAGAGCAGTAACAGAAGTTAATGAATCCTGTGTCACCAATGATGATGTTGTATCTTTTTTAATCAGGACAATATCATTATGCCAATATTGACCATCCGTCTGGAACTCATTGACAACAGGGTAGCATTCCGACCCCCACTCGATCAGTCCTCCTCCGTCATCAGTGTTCAAGAACTTGTCCAGAAGTGGTTGGATGGATATCTTGCCAGAGGAAAACTTGTGAAAATGTTGGGACCAAAGGTAAGCTGTACAAATTCATTAAAGCTAAGTGAGATTATTAAAAAGCATTAATGTTTTCTATGCTGCTCACTTTGAAAATAGGGCCAGAGACAGATATAGCAGAAAAAATTATAGTTCTACTGACATAAGTTTTAAGATATGACATGTCTGTAAATTTGTATACAAGGTATAAATACCTATCTGATAAAAACTCTATATCTGTATCTCTGCATCTGTACATGTGTACCACCTATATCTGTACACTAACTGTAGCTGTGACTGAGTACCACTGTAGCTGTGACTGTGTACCACTGTTGCTGTGACTGTGCTCTGCCTGTATCTGTGACTGTGCTCTGCTTATTGCTGTGACTGTGCTCTGTCTGTAGCTGTGACTGTGTACCACTGTAGCTGTGACTGTGTACCACTGTATCTGTGACTGTGCTCTGCCTGTATCTGTGACTGTGCTCTGCCTGTATCTGTGACTGTGTACCACTGTAGCTGTGACTGTGCTCTGCCTGTATCTGTGACTGTGCTCTGCCTGTATCTGTGACTGTGCTCTGCCTGTATCTAGCTATGACTGTGCTCTGCCTGTAGCTGTGACTGTGCTCTGTCTGTAGCTAGCTATGACTGTGCTCTGCCTGTATCTGTGACTGTGCTCTGCCTGTAGCTAGCTATGACTGTGCTCTGCCTGTAGCTGTGACTGTGCTCTGTCTGTAGCTGTGATTGTGTACCACTGTAGCTGTGACTGTGCTCTGCCTGTAACTGTGACTGTGTACCACTGTAGCTGTGACTGAGCTTTGTCTGTATCTGTGACTTTGTACCGCTGTGACTGTGACTGTGCTCTGCCTGTATCTGTGACTGTGTACCACTGTAGCTGTGACTGTGCTTTGTCTGTATCTGTGACTGTGCTCTGTCTGTATCTGTGACTGTGCTCTGCCTGTAGCTGTGACTGTGTACCACCTGTAGCTGTGACTGTGCTCTGCTTGTATCTGACTGCATACTACCTGTACTTGTGACTGTATACTGCCTGTAGCTGTGACTGTATACTACCTGTATTTGTTCCTGTGTACCAACTGTAGCTGTGACTGTGTACCACCTGTAGCTGTGACTGTGTACCACTGTATCTGTGACTGTGTACCACCTGTATCTGTGACTGTGCTCTGCCTGTAGCTGTGACTGTGCTCTGCCTGTAGCTGTGACTGTGTACCACTGTAGCTGTCACTGTATACCACTGTAGCTGTGACTGTGTACCACCTGTATCTGTGACTGTGCTCTGCCTGTAGCTGTGACTGTGTTCTGCCTGTAGCTGTGACTGTGCTCTGCCTGTAGCTGTGACTGTGCTCTGCCTCTATCTGACTACATACTACCTGTCATGTGACTGTATACTACCTGTATCTGTACCTGTGTACCACTGTAGCTGTGACTATCTGATTATATACTATCAGTATCTGTGACTTCTGTACTGCCTGTATCTATGGCTGTGTTTTACCTGTATCAGACTGCATACTATCGTTATCTGTGACAGAGTACTGACTGTGCTTTGGCTGTAGCTGTGACTGTGTACCACCTGTATCTGTGACTGTGCTCTGCCTGTATCAGACCGCATACTATCAGTATCTGTGACAGAGTACTGACTGTGCTCTGCCTGTAGCTGTGACTGTGTACCACTGTAGCTGTGACTGTGTACCACCTGTAGCTGTGACTGTGTTTTGCCTGTAGCTGTGACTGTGTACCACCTGTAGCTGTGACTATTTGACTATGTGCTTTATGTTATGGTAATTTTTATTCAGGGTACTTACCAGGATTACATCTCTGCAGATGAGGAAGTCAAACAGCTGCTGGAAGACATCAGTTCCATGGTGGACGATAACAGTGAGGAGTGCAAAGTAATTTTTTGGATATTATTAGATAACAGTAGTGTATTAAAAAAGAGCAATTTTCAACCTGCTTATGCAAAAATTAAATATAAAACATGTGCTTTGATTTTAGAAATCTTTTACACAACTCTGCTAAGACATTTCTGTAGACCATTAAGTCACTGAGTTGTTTACAATACAATTTGTCCTTTATATTTCAGAAACTGATAGAGATATTTGGAGATTATGCATTTTTATGGCTCCAAGATGTGAACATGACCTTTGAGGAATTTTTGCGTGGGAAATTGTCTCCAAACCCTCTACGTAGCCCCAATCGGACAATGGCTGGAAATATTCGACAGATGGCATCTGAGAGGTCAAGGTCAAGGAGTTCCTCAAGGTAATGTCATAATATTAGGGATGTCAATTTAAAAGAAATTACCATTCAAATTTTCATCTGATTAAGTATTAGAATATTTATTTTCAGGTCAGTTCCATAGTACACAACTTTCACTATAAAGGGGCAGTTGTTACACACTAGGCCTTGTGTACTGTAATGATATCATTTTTACCAGTACAGAACAGAATGGTACATACAATGACTCAATGTTTTCAATATGATGAATGTAAGAATCTTCCAAACATCGATATATTACAATTGTGGAAAGCAATATTTGAATATCAATTTCGAGTTTGAATACAGCTGTACCAAATGAATATAGAAATATCAAATATTTGTTGACATCCATACATAATAGTGGTCACCAAGACTACTGTTATCCACTTACATAATGCTTGGCATCTTATTATATATTTAGTCTCAGGGGATCAAGTTTTTAGGATTACCAACAAATTATTTTGGGGTGGATTGTAAAGTAACTAGATTATTTGGGGTGGATTGTAAAGTAACCTCATTATTTGGGGTAGATTGTAAAGTAACCGGATTATTTGGGGTGGATTTTGAAGTGTAAAGTGACTAGATTATTTAGGTTGGATTGTACCTCATTAAGTGAGTACCTGATTATTTGGGGTGGATTGTAAAGTGACTAGATTATTTGGGGTGGATTGTAAAGTGACTAGATTATTTGGGTGGATTGTAAAGTGACTAGATTATTTGGGGTGGATTGTAAAGTGACTAGATTATTTGGGTGGATTGTAAAGTGACTAGATTATTTGGGTGGATTGTAAAGTGACCTGATTATTTGGGGTGGATTGTAAAGTAAGTGGATTATTTGGGGTGGATTGTAAAGTAAGTGGATTATTTGGGGTGGATTGTAAAGTAACCTGATTATTTGGGGTGGATTGTAAAGTAACCTGATTATTTGGGGTGGATTGTAAAGTAACCTGATTATTTGGGGTGGATTGTAAAGTAACCTGATTATTTGGGGTGGATTGTAAAGTAACTTGATTATTTGGGGTGGATTGTAAAGTATTTGGGGTAGATTGTAAAGTAACCGGATTATTTGGGGTGGATTTTGAAGTAACCTGATTATTTGGGGTGGATTGTAAAGTAACTTGATTATTTGGGGTGGATTGTAAAGTAACCTGATTATTTGGGGTGGATTGTAAAGTAACCTGATTATTTGGGGTGGATTGTAAAGTGACTAGATTATTTGGGGTGGATTGTAAAGTAACCTGATTATTTGGGGTGGATTGTAAAGTGACTAGATTATTTGGGGTGGATTTTTTTAGATGTTTCTAAGTCACTGTGATGAATTTAGCAGTCTCATCTGTTAACCATTATTGTAGTTATATTTTTACTTACTTTCATGTACCTTATAGTTTAAAATTCTTTATTCTAAATTGTCTTCCTAGAGACAGTAAAAATTATTCACATATATTATACAGAGCTTCATCAACCAGTAGCATTAACTCTGCTGGTCTGATGGGAACAGCTGAACGCACTTTCCTTACCCCCAAAAACCTGACAGAGGATGCAGACACCAGCATTCCTAGCTTAGATGAGTTTGATGCTGAGATAGAGATTTACAGGGTGAGTAAAACTGACTGATGAACACGGATGGTAAGGTTGATATAGAGATTTACAGAGAGAATAAGACTGAGGCAGAAGTTTTCAGGGAGAGTTTGACTAATATGGAGATTTACAAGGAGAGTAAGACTGAGACAGACACTTAAGAAGAAAATGAGACTGGGACAGGGATTTACAAGGAGAATAAGACTGAAACAATGACATACAGGTGAAAAAAAAAATTACAGGTATATTCTACTGCTATACAATAAATCATTATGTTGTGGTTTAATGGTGTTGAGAATATTTAATGTCAAATTTTCTACAGACGGCTCGTGATGAGGTACAGAGCCTTGAAGACTTTCACAATGTCGGCTGGCTTCGTGTTGATCTGCAGCCAATAAAACAGGTCCTTACAACGTACGCCAGCAAATGGATGTGGACGTACACAAAGTATTTGTCTGACCAGGTAAATATGCATTGAAGTCTTAGTGCCTTATTTAGTTTTGAAACTGATCAGAAAAGTAAAATAGCTGACATATAGCCATCTTGAATTTCAGTGCTTAGTTGTGCTGTTCAATATTTTGACTGCCTTGAAAAATAAGATGGTTGAGCTTGGTAGACATTTTGGATAAGTCGCTAACATATTTTTTTTTTTTTTTTTTTTTGGCATTTGCAGTATTCGTTTATTTTCGTGTATTCTGCCTCTATGTTCATTGCATTAAACAATAATTAATTGTTTAGTGTTAAAATGATCCATATAATCCATACAAATAGTATTACTGTTTTAAGCATGTGTGAATATGGCAAGGTGATAACCAAGGGGGAATAATGTAATTATTAAGCATGTGTGAATATGGCTGTGATAACCTTGTGTATCAGATATCAGATGTAACTAAAGAAGGACAGATTTAGTTCCTTTTTACACCATGTATCACTACTCTTTTATGTTAACACCAGTCATAGTGATTAGATTCCAGTGGTCGCTTGTCAGGTCAAAGGTTAAACGTCACTGTTGACCACTTTTAAACTATAAAGCTTAATAACAAGATATATATTAAACCTGTCAATAGATTAATCCCATGAAAAGCTTTAGAACAGATGGAAAAGATAGGGAATTTGACAGTATATCTATGTGTGCCCCTGCTCACATGAATGTCATTTTTTAAGGAAAGGAATTGGAGAAAAAATTAGAAAAATGAAGCCTGCTCTAATTAGATATTCCATTATCTAGGTGAGTCACATGCTGGGAAACCTGGACCTGTTCCTGAAGAGGATTGAACCAGAGATTGAGAGTATTACTGGAGAGGAAAGAGACACAGCATCATTCATGAAGATGATGAGGCTATTTAATGAGGTAGGTTGTCTCCCTTCATTTCTACATGTACCTAATGTTGGTGAGCTAAGCTGTACAGTGTGCATGTATCTACCCAGAATGGATGTGCTTGGTTAGAGAGTGTACATGTATCTTCCCAGGATGGATGTGCTTGGTTAGAGAGTGTACATGTATCTACCCAGAATGGATGTGCTTGGTTAGAGAGTGTACATGTATCCTCCCAGAATGGATGTGCTTGGTTAGAGAGTGTACATAAATCTTCCCAGAATGGATGTGCTTGGTTAGAGAGTGTACATAAATCTTCCCAGAATGGATGTGCTTGGTTAGAGAGTGTACATCAATCTTCCCAGGATGGATGTGCTTGGTTAGAGAGTGTACATGTATCTTCCCAGAATGGATGAAGTTAGGGGATGTTCCTCATGTTTATGATAGCTTGAGAGATATTTATGATGTCCATTGGAACTTGTGGGGTTGCCCTTTCTATGCTAAATTGGGAGAAATTCCAAATACCTCTGGGAACTTTTAGGATTTATTTCACTTGTCTATGGTAACCTAAGGAATATTTCCCACGTCAAAAAAATATTTCTAAAATATAAGAACTAGAAAGCCGTTCCTCATGTCTATGGTAACTTTAATTGCTCGTGTAAAAGCTAACTTGAGGAAAATAGTTCTGTCTATTCTAATTTAAGGGACATTTCTTTTGTCTATGCTAATTCAAGGGACATTGCTTTTGTCTATGCTAATTTAAGGATAATTGCTTTTGTCTATGCTAACTGGAGGTATATCATGTTTTAGGTGTCTGCTCAGCAGTCTGAGATGGATGGAAAGTTTACAGCCATGCACAGGACAGTCCTTCTGCTGAAAAAGTACGGACAGAAGCTGCCAGACCGTACTCAGCAGCTTTTTAACGCAGCCCCTGGTCGCTGGAATAACCTCAAAACCAAAGTGTCCCTGGCCAAACAGAGGCTCGGGCCACGAATTCAGGAAGAGTCGGTCAGGATCACTCAGGTATGGTTCTAAGATAATGTCTCATCTTGTTCAACTGTCACTGAGAGTTTCATCCAAATACTTAATCATAGATGACTTTAAGTTCCTTCCAGAAGAACTCCTCTCTAGTTCATATCAATGTCAGACAAAGTCAGAAAAGACATGAATTGAGATATTTGTAAACAGAAGATGTACCGGGGATAAGTGTTCAGGTAATTTTGATATTGCAATTTTTATTACAGGACTTAGAAGCATTTGGTAACCGTGTGTCAGCACTATACCAGGAGCTAGAGAACTCGGATGTTTACCAGCGAGACTGTATCATTGGAGATGCCTGGGTCATCATAGATAACTTTGCCAAACGTCTGACAGTGCTGGAGAATGAAGCTCAGGTATAGAATATATGTTAATGTTTTATTGGCACTAACTGTCATTGCTGTTAGATGTGATAGAAATTTTACTTCGCACTAAATCATATTTTTCTTACCTTGATAAATAGGTTTGTATGCTGAAGGAAAATATGCGTAACTAAATATCATATTTATAATTTTATTAAGTCTCACTAAAACTCCTGGAATAAGGTTAAGATATGTACAACTTTTTTATATTTACAGACCTTGTAGGCTTAATATTGCTCAACAAGACTAAATGTTTAGAAGATAATAAATGCAGCTTTGTTTTTATTCCCAGGATCTTATCGAACTACAGGAGCTACTGGAAACTTCAGTTGTTAACTTTGCCATCTTACCTCAGTGAGTATAGAACTTTTATTACAGCAGTATATAAATACTTAATGATTCCAGCTCAATAGCTTGGTTGATAAAGCTTCCTACTGTGTTTCTGACCATGAAATCTTGTTTGGAATCATTTTAGTTACATCTGCACATTGACATGGCTGCTGGTTACTATATCTTTAAGTTTGAATAAAAAAAAAAAAAAAAAAGTTTGTAAACCAATTTGCTGTGAAAAGCCTTCATATGTTACATGGAGGCAGGATGTTACCCACCTTGGTAATGAAATGTGAAATCAAAAAGAAAGAAACATTTATAATAATGCTGTAATGATAATTTGTGGACAAAGTTGCTGAAACAAGTTGGTGAGGTTTACAGATGCACTGGGCCTCTTGATTTTGTTATATAGTATTTGCAGAATGTAGGAAACTTGCTCATGTAGTCCTGCAATAATGTTTTCTAAGAAATGTTGTATAAATACAAAGGAATTAAAAATAATGAATTGCTATTTCATTTATAACCAACTATAAATCTATTATATGATGCCTACAACAACTTTTATCACCATTGTGAGAGTTTATTTCCGATCTCTTGGTGCATTTCAGATGTCGTCACGAGCTGAACAACTTGAAACAAGTGTGGGAGACAGTAAGGTAAATATTACGCTGAACTTGACTACTAATTGTTGACTGTAGGTGTGGAGTATGTGTCATTAATAGACTGTAGGTGTGGGATAGTGGATTATGTGTCATTTATAGACTGTAGGTGTGGGGTAGTGGATTATGTGTCATTTATAGACTAGGTGTGGATTATGTGTTATCTATAGACTGTAGGTACAGATTATGTGTTATCTATATACTGTAGGTGTGGATTATGTGTCATTTATAGACTGTAGGTGTGGATTATGTGTTATCTATAGACTGTAGGTGTGGATTATGTGTTATCTATAGACTGTAGGTGTGGATTATGTGTTATCTATAGACTGTAGGTACAGATTATGTGTTATCTATAGACTGTAGGTGTGGATTATGTGTTATCTATAGACTGTAGGTGTGGGGTAGTGGATAATGTGTTATCTATAGACTGTAGGTGTGGGGTAGTGGATTATGTGTTATCTATAGACTGTAGGTGTGGGGTAGTGGATTATGTGTTATCTATAGACTGTAAGTGTGGGGTAGTGGATAATGTGTTATCTATAGATTGTAAGTGTGGGGTAGTGGATTATGTGTTATCTATAGACTGTAGGTAGTGGATTATGTGTTATCTATAGACTGTAAGTGTGGGGTAGTGGATAATGTGTTATCTATAGACTGTAGGTGTGGGGTAGTGGATTATGTGTTATCTATAGACTGTAAGTGTGGGGTAGTGGATTATGTGTTATCTATAGACTGTAAGTGTGGGGTAGTGGATAATGTGTTATCTATAGACTGTAAGTGTGGATTATGTGTTATCTATAGACTGTAGGTGTGGATTATGTGTTATCTATAGACTGTAGGTGTGGATTATGTGTTATCTATAGACTGTAGGTGTGGGGTAGTGGATTATGTGTTATCTATAGACTGTAGGTGTGGATTATGTGTTATCTATAGACTGTAGGTGTGGATTATGTGTTATCTATATACTGTAGGTGTGGGGTAGTGGGTATGTGTTGTGTTATCTATAGACTGTAGGTGTGGATTATGTGTTATCTATAGACTGTAGATGTGGGGTAGTGGATCATGTGTTATCTAGATACTGTAGTTGTGGATTATGTGTTATCTATAGACTGTAAGTGTGGATTATGTGTTATCTATAGACTGTAAGTGTGGATTATGTGTTATCTATAGACTGTAGGTGTGGATTATGTGTTATCTATAGACTGTAGGTGTGGATTATGTGTTATCTATAGACTGTAAGTGTGGATTATGTGTTATCTATAGACTGTAGGTGTGGGGTAGTGGATAATGTGTTATCTATAGACTGTAGGTGTGGATTATGTGTTATCTATAGACTGTAAGTGTGGATTATGTGTTATCTATAGACTGTAAGTGTGGATTATGTGTTATCTATAGACTGTAGGTGTGGATTATGTGTTATCTATAGACTGTAAGTGTGGATTATGTGTTATCTATAGACTGTAGGTACAGATTATGTGTTATCTATAGACTGTAAGTGTGGATTATGTGTTATCTATAGACTGTAAGTGTGGATTATGTGTTATCTATAGACTGTAAGTGTGGATTATGTGTTATCTATAGACTGTAAGTGTGGATTATGTGTTATCTATAGATAAGTGTGGATTATGTGTTATCTATAGACTGTAGATGTGGGGTAGTGGATCATGTGTTATCTATAGACTGTAGGTGTGGATTATGTGTTATCTATAGACTGTAAGTGTGGATTATGTGTTATCTATAGACTGTAGGTGTGGATTATGTGTTATCTATAGACTGTAGGTGTGGATTATGTGTTATCTATAGACTGTAAGTGTGGATTATGTGTTATCTATAGACTGTAGGTGTGGGGTAGTGGATAATGTGTTATCTATAGACTGTAGGTGTGGATTATGTGTTATCTATATACTGTAGGTGTGGATTATGTGTTATCTATAGACTGTAGGTGTGGATTATGTGTTATCTATAGACTGTAAGTGTGGATTATGTGTTATCTATAGAGTGTAGGTGTGGATTATGTGTTATCTATAGACTGTAGGTGTGGGGTAGTGGATTATGTGTTATCTATAGACTGTAAGTGTGGATTATGTGTTATCTATAGACTGTAGGTGTGGATTATGTGTTATCTATAGACTGTAAGTGTGGATTATGTGTTATCTATAGACTGTAGGTGTGGATTATGTGTCATCTATAGACTGTAGGTGTGGATATGTGTTATCTATAGACTGAAGTGTGGATTATGTGTTATCTATAGACTGTAGGTGTGGATTATGTGTTATCTATAGACTGTAGGTGTGGATTATGTGTTATCTATAGACTGTAGGTGTGGATTATGTGTTATCTATAGACTGTAGGTACAGATTATATGTTATCTATAGACTGTAGGTACAGATTATGTGTTATCTATAGACTGTAGGTGTGGATTATGTGTTATCTATAGACTGTAAGTGTGGATTATGTGTTATCTATAGACTGTAGGTGTGGATTATGTGTTATCTATAGACTGTAGGTGTGGATTATGTGTTATCTATAGACTGTAAGTGTGGATTATGTGTTATCTATAGACTGTAAGTGTGGATTATGTGTTATCTATAGACTGTAGATGTGGGGTAGTGGATCATGTGTTATCTATAGACTGTAGGTGTGGATTATGTGTTATCTATAGACTGTAAGTGTGGATTATGTGTTATCTATATACTGTAGATGTGGATTATGTGTTATCTATAGACTGTAAGTGTGGATTATGTGTTATCTATATACTGTAGATGTGGATTATGTGTTATCTATAGACTGTAATTATGTGATTATGTGTTATCTATAGACTGTAGGTGTGGATTATGTGTTATCTATAGACTGTAGGTGTGGATTATGTGTTATCTATAGACTGTAAGTGTGGATTATGTGTTATCTATAGACTGTAGGTGTGGATTATGTGTTATCTATAGACTGTAGGTGTGGATTATGTGTTATCTATAGACTGTAAGTGTGGATTATGTGTTATCTATAGACTGTAAGTGTGGATTATGTGTTGTCTATAGAACTTGAATTGTTTGTTGTGTTACAGAGTCATCGATGAGCAACAAGCAGAATGGAAAAGACATCGTTGGCAGAAGATGAACACCAAGTTTTTACGGGAGGAAACAAACAAACAGTTGGACATTGTCCGAGCTTTACCAGAGGATATTTTTACCTGGGATGTTTACATGGGACTCCATGAATCTATCACAACAGTTCAGGTAAACAACATCACAAATCTTATAATGGTCTAGTTTACACAACCATATATCACAACAGTCCAGTTCACACACACCATATATCACAACAGTCCAGTTCACACACACCATATATTACAACAGTCCAGTTCACACACACCATATATTACAACAGTCCAGTTCACACACACCATATTTCACAACAGCTCAGTTCACACACACCATATATCACAACAGTCCAGTTCACACACACCATATATCACAACAGTCCAGTTCACATACACCATATTTCACAACAGTCCAGTTCACACACACCATATATCAATCGCAACAGTCAAGTTCATAGTTCTATCAACACAGGGCACAAGTCAATCAACAGTCCAGTTCAGACACAGCACAGGTCTATAAACAGTTCAGTTCATGTCTATCAACAGTCTAGTTCACACAACACCTTTTTAGGTCATCTGATGGAAGGGTCTGATGACCTGTTGCGATCGCCTTTTGTCCGTCGTCGGTCGTAAACATTTTCAACTTCTTCTCAAGTTCTACATGTCTCACTGAGTTGAAACTTACCTGAAATGATTGTGACATGACCCTGACCAAAGTTTGTTGATTTCGGGTTGGTCCGAAATCCAACATGGCCGCCATCTTGGAAACACATTTTCGACTTCTTCTTAAGTTCAGAATTTGAAATCTTGTATTTTATGTCAGATGACCGTTAAGGCCCTTGGGCCTCTTGTTCTTTATGTGCTTATGTTTTGTTTATATTCACTATGTTTGCATGTTTTACTCTTCCTTTGTCAAAATACAAACTAATAAGACCAATGTTTATTGTTTATAATATTCTTAGAAAATATAAAGTTACTTGTATTTTCTAGACATGCCTTCCATTGATTGACGATCTGTCCAATCCGGCTATGAGAACACGTCACTGGAAACAGTTGGTGCGAGTGACCGGTGGTGCCCTAACTATTGACAATGACACACTGAAGAGGATGACCCTCGGGGAGTTACTCAGTCTGGGTCTTCAGAGTGAGTCATTATTGATATTGTTGTATAAACTGAGGAAATCAGAAAAAAACAAAACATAGATTGTCTTGCTTATGATAATGCGTCTGAACAGGGTCAAAGATGTTAATCTACTATAATGAGATAAGGGAGATAATCCTTACTATGTTCAATTTAGTTATTACCTCCCCTGTACATCACTCTTACTGACTGAAGATAATTTTGTCTCAAGTAGTCTGTTAATAAAATGGTGGACAAAGAGAAGCGTGTGATTGTCACAGTATTATAATGGCATTAACAAAAGATGTCAGCAGATTTTTGAAAGAAATAAACACAACTGTATTATTTTGACAACATGTCAAAAATTCTGCTAACCTGAAGACAAATATCTGATATCAAGTCAAATCACATTCATATAAAAGACCATAATATTACAGATGCGTTTGAGTTATAGGGTTGTAGGGTCAAGGACATGATGCCAATAATTTAACCCTTTGTAACCCTTTGTAAGAAATATCTGAAAAGAAGAAAAATGATAAAATGTTCTTAAACTTATTTTGTTCCTACAATTTTTGTGTTATGAAAAGTTTTTTTCTGTGTTTGATGATGACATAATGTTTATCAACAGAACATGTGGATGATGTTCGTGTAATAGTTCAGAAAGCAGTGAAGGACCTCTCCATTGAACAGTCCCTCAAGACTTATGACGAAATTTGGCTCAGTAAAATCTTTGAGACACGCCTCCACACACGTAGTCGCATGGATCAGCAGTTTGTGAGTCAGGTAGGCAAATATCCTCCACACTTTGTAGGGTTTATCAACATATATCACAAATTGTTACTTTAGAAAAGATTGAATTTTTTGAGAGATGTTTACTCCTCCAATTGAGAACTTGAGATATATATAAAAGTTAATGTCTATATTAATTATTTACAAGGTGTCTTTTTCTATCTTATAAAAATGCAAAGTTTTGAAAGCTGTAAAATGCTCGTGGTGAAAACATATCATGTATGCAAATAAGATTACAGTAACCAATATTTTCTGCTTAGCTGAACAGCAAAGCAAATGTTCCCAATGGTTTGCTATAGTATAGCAGAATGGTTGTATTTTCAATTTGCGTATTTTTTCTAATGGTTAAAACCATAATTTCTTGACTCATATGTCCAAAGGTTTTTAAGATAACTTAATAACATACAAATGAATTCTGTGTTCAAGTAGTACATGGAATTGCCATTATTTCTCCTAAATTCAAATATTTGCCCCTGAATGTGTATTTTTCAATGACTCCCTCAGTAGGGTATGTATAACTATACTGGCATTCTGACCATACATAAGATTCACACTAATCCTATCACCAAAATAATTCCTGGTTCTTCATAGCTGATTAAGCCATGCTTTAGCTGTCTCTAATGTTTTACAGGATGCTCACAGTGAGTCCCAGAGTGAGGGGGGACAGTCTCTACAACAAGTAGCCATCCCTAGTCGCAGTCAAGCCCGCACCACCAGCCGAATATCCAACCAAAGCTCGCATAGCAAAAACAAGCGAAGCAGCATTGCCTCCCTTCCTGCTTCCCTCTTGAACTTGGGAGAGGTAATCGCCAATGTATGTATTCTGGGACAGGTATACTAACACAAACTCTAGAACCCACACGGACAAATACAATGCATTTGTAGGATAATGCACAATTAGAGTAACAAAATTTTGATATCAAAATGGATAGATTGAATTTTGTATATTGAATACTAGTAACAAATTCCGGATAAAGGTATTTCAGATTTTTATGAAATTTTAGAGATGTTAACTAAAAAACACACTATTTGATATTCCTTTGAACACATTATTATTAGATAATTAACAATCATTTTTTTTTTAATTTGATTGTTGACTTTTTCAGTTTTGTTTTTGAAATTAACAACCTGTTTGAAGTAAATCTATTGTTTGAAACAGCTGTTTACATGGAGTTGTAAATGTATTTGATTGACAAAGATATGAAGACAAGTGTTGGCAGTGTGGGAATCTCTAGAGGTAGTTCACCATGGCCTCCAACAAACAGCAAACCAGAAAAATTAAAGTTTTTATTCCGATAAAGATTCACAGTCAAAAGCTACGATACATCAGTATGATAAAGCAGTACATACCTGTTACATCTGTTTCTATTTCATAGGAGATTTATTTAAATAAACCTTAAGTTCATAAATCTCAATATATTTAAGATAAATATCTTCTTCATAAATATGCATTTATTATGAAATAATAAAGAACATTTTTTCATATTTCAGTTTCTGTTCAAATATTTGAAAGATACCATGCATCACAGAATAAAAACTAGAAGGCAACCGTGATGATACAAAATTAAATAAATAGATATTTACTATTCCTTGATGAACAAGGATAGATTTTGTCTGGTTTCTGAGTGTTTTATGGATGTTGGTGAGGTAATTTTTACTGTATTACTATATATACCGGTGGTGGTAGTCTGTTCCTACTTATAAAACAATTTATTCCATCCGACTAACAAGTTTAAAAAAAATTATATCTACATGTGTATACTTATCTAACTTTTGCATTAAGCAAGCTTATTTTATGTGATATATTTATTTAACAGCTGTATATCACAAATCATTTGCTTCATCGGACAAAACCATAGTATCACAGTGATGAATTCTGTTGATACACCAACAGTAGTAAAAACTAATGATACATTGGTGTTTGCTTTATATGATACTTGATATTATCTGAAGAAAATACTGATAATACAGGGACGTTTGTTTGATAGGATATTTGATATTATCAAAAGAAACAACTGATTATACATTGGTGTTTGCTTTATGATATGATATTACAGAAGAAAATACTGATAATACAGGGACGTTTGTTTGATAGGATATTTGATATTATCAAAAGAAACAACTGATTATACAGGGACGTTTGTTTGATAGGATATTTGATATTATCAAAAGAAACAACTGATTATACATTGGTGTTTGCTTTATACGATACTTGATATTATCAGAAGAAAATACTGATAATACAGGGACGTTTGTTTGATAGGATATTTGATAATATCAGAAGAAAAAACTGATAATACAGGGACTTTTGTTTTATAGAATATTTGATATTATCAGAAGAAAAAACTTTGAAATGTGGTTTATACTCCTGTCAGTACACTGTAATCTTACCTTACAATAATATCTGGTTGTCATTATCCCAATTTATAATCCTTTGTCATCTGGAAATAATCAGCAACATTGCTGTAGACATTTTGTGAATTTGAATTTTACTTATACCTGGGTAATATACGACTCAGAAAAAGATTATATCGATCAGTTTATAGCTGTTAAGAAAAGCCTTTCCATTTTTAGGTCATTTGACCTGCAGGGTCATGATGACCTATAGCCATTCTGCTTTGTCCGTCATCATTCCCAGTCCTCTGTGCATAAACTTTTTACGTTTCAATCTTCTCAAGTTTCACCCATGGGATTGAGCTCTAACTTGTATGAAATGATCCTGGGATGGTCCTGACCAAGTGGTGTCATTTTTCAGGTCGGTCTAAACTCCAAGATGTTGGCATGACAGCCATCTTAAAAAACCTATTTTAAACTTCTTTTCCAATTCCACTGGTGCCATTGAGCTAAAAATTGGTGGGAATGTTAAGGAAAGGTAGCCAACGAAGTGTTGTTATTTTTCGACCTTGTTAAAACTTTGACATGGCAGCTAGGGAAGCCATTTTGTGACATGATTGCACAATCATGGTTTTCCTGTGCAACACCTAAGTCAAACTTCTTATGTTTCACCACTTGGATTGAGCTCCAACTTGTCTGAAATGATACTGAGATGGTCCTGACCAAATCTTAATTTTTTGCTTGTTTCATTTGTTGAGGAAACAAAGAGAAGGTCTGTTGTTATTTTTCAGCCTGATCAAAACTTCAACATGGTAAACACAGTAGTCATTTTGTAACATGATTGTGCAACTGAACAGAACCTTCCATTTATGAGTTTCTGATACTTACAAGGAATGCTCAAAATTCGAATTCCTCAGATCAGCAAATTCTGTGGTTTGTCCATCCAGTTGCCGATTGACAGATAACCATTAAAGGCTATGCCCTTATTGTTCACCTTTCTTGACATCAGAATTTTCATTATGATTATAACTTTGCCCCAAACATATTGATTTACAAATACTTTGTTCCAAAAATTACCTTAATTTTGTGTCGTACTGTAGTATCATGTTTTAATTGTTAGTTTAACCCCTAAATAAAACCTGTGTAGTAAAAATGTCTGTTTCATAAGAATGGTTCAGCACTGCATAGGAACACTATATTAATCAATAGGTTTGTATGCTTCCTGCTCTTTTGTAATTAATTTTCTCTTTGTTACCAGGACTATGGGACACTGTCCCTCCTCACCAACACTGACCCAATTTTCCAAGAGTTGGAGCACCACCAGGTGTCGCTACAGGCCATGCAGGCAAACAGTGCTGCCGGGTCCTTTCTGGATGATGTACTCAAGTGGCAGAAAAAATTGCAAACCATTGAGGCTGTACTTACAACCTGGCTGGACGTTCAGGAAAAATGGGTGGAGCTGGAAGAGGTGAGGGTCTCTGGATGATTTATGTAATGTAGAGGTTAAGGGTGAAGCTGGGGGAGGTAAGGATCTCTGGATCATTTCAGTATTGTAGAGGTTAAGGGTGAAGCTGGAGGTGGTAAGGGTCTCTGGATCATTTCAGTATTGTAGAGGTTAAGGGTGAAGCTGGAGGAGGTAAGGGTCTCTGGATGATTTCAGTATTGTGGAGGTTAAGGGTGGAGCTGGGGGAGGTAAGGATCTCTGGATGATTTCAGTATTGTAGAGGTTAAGGGTGAAGCTGGAGGTGGTAAGGGTCTCTGGATCATTTCAGTATTGTAGAGGTTAAGGGTGAAGCTGGAGGAGGTAAGGGTCTCTGGATGATTTCAGTATTGTAGAGGTTAAGGGTGGAGCTGGAGGTGGTAAGGGTCTCTGGATGATTTCAGTATTGTAGAGGTTAAGGGTGGAGCTGGAGGTGGTAAGGGTCTCTGGATCATTTATGTATTGTAGAGGTTAAGGGTGAAGATGTGGGAGGTAAGGGTCTCTGGATGATTTCAGTATTGTAGAGGTTAAGGGTGAAGATGTGGGAGGTAAGGGTCTCTGGATGATTTATGTATTGTAGAGGTTAAGGGTGAAGATGTGGGAGGTAAGGGTCTCTGGATGATTTATGTATTGTAGAAGTACTTAGATAAGAAGGATAACATGACCCTCCATATGGTAAGTAAATGGTTCCCACTCACTGATAGGTAAACTCCATAGTTCTTACTCCTCAATAGGTAGTTTTTAACTTATGACTAAACGATATGTGAAATAAGATCATGTTATGTCGATTTTAGGTTTTCTCTGGTGCAGATGTACGTACCTCCCTATCACATGATGCCAATCGTTTTGCTGTGGTAAACAAAGATTTCCGTCTTCTCATGCGTGCCACAGAGAAAAATCCCAATGTTCTCCAGTGCTGCTCCAGAAAGAGTAAGTAATCTGATTTAAGCTCGTTAATAGAGACAAGTAACTATTGATGCTTTAGTTGAATGTTAATGTTCAGAGTTGAGGGTGAAATATTTATGAATACATAAAGTGGTGAATGGAAAATTAATGTATCAAATACATTTATGAAGTTAAAGCTCAGCTGTGTGCCTATGTGTAAAGGGGTTAAAGGTCAATTCAGCCTGTATGAGGGTTAAAGGTCAGCTATATCATCAGATGCGTACAATTAAAAGGTCATAATTGTCTCCACAGACATTCTATCTATCCTGGAACACATGAACCACAGTCTAGAAAGTTGCCGGAGATCCCTCCTCAATCACCTGGAGCGACGGAGACAGATTTTCCCACGATTCTACTTCTTGTCAATGGAGGATGTACTCCACCTTGTTTGTAATGGTAGGTATCTGAAATCTCTTGTAGTATTTTCTACCCATGTAAAGTAGGAATATTACTGTAAAATCATTCATTTTTGTGGGGGGTTATTTTTGTAGATTTTATTGGTATTCTTGCATCCACAAAAATGATAAATGGAAGAAAGTTGAAATCGGTTATCATATGACTTAATTTGGTGTTTTTTGATCAAGAAATGTTTGAGGGAGGGTGGGGGGTTGGAGGGGGGGGAGGGGGGGTATATTAATGTGAGCCCCTGCTCACTTTATTTTTGTTGTAACTAGACATTAAATGTAAAACTGTTCCTTATTTCTGTTATTTCTCCCTAGGCTACGACTTGAAACAGGTGAACCTGTTTATAAGTAAGGTGTTTGAAAATGTTGGCAGCCTGGTATATGAAGAGGTCGAGGACAATGAAAAATACAGTTTCATGGTCACTGGTGTGCTTAGCACGCTAGGGGAACGACTTGACTTCTTACAGGTATGACTACTGCAGAGTGCCAATTACTTTTTTAATCAGTTACCATGGAAGTGAAATATGATCCCTTGATTGGCCAAAAACCACAAATTGTGAGATTTCTTTGAGATTTGGTATAATTAATACACCTACAACTTCAGTTTCTGATTTGACAAAATTATTTCCATTGCTTTAGAATTGGTTGTCTTACAGGTGTGACATTATCACAGATAGATGTGACATTATCACAAACAAGTATGACATCACAGATAGATGTGACATTATCACAGATAGATGTGACATTATCACAGATAGATGTGACATTATCACAAACAAGTATGACATCACAGATAGATGTGACATTATCACAGATAGATGTGACATTATCACTAACAGGTGTGACATTATCACAGATAGATGTGACATTATCACAGATAGATGTGACATTATCACAAACAAGTATGACATCACAGATAGATGTGACATTATCACAGATAGATGTGACATTATCACAAACAAGTATGACATCACAGATAGATGTGACATTATCACAGATAGATGTGACATTATCACTAACAGATGTGACATTATCACAGATAGATGTGACATTATCACAAACAAGTATGACATCACAGATAGATGTGACATTATCACAGATAGATGTGACATTATCACTAACAGGTGTGACATTATCACAGATAGATGTGACATTATCACAGATAGATGTGACATCACAAACAGGTGTGACATTATCACAGATAGATGTGACATTATCACAAACAGGTGTGACATTAACACAGATAGATGTGACATTATCACTAAGAGGTATGACATTATCACAAACAGGTATGACATTATCACAAACAGGTTTTAAATCATCATTATTATCATTGCAGCCAGTAACATGTGAAGGGCAAATTGAGACCTGGCTTACCAGTTTCATTCTTGGTCTGAAGAATGCTTTACAATTCCAAATGGCTACTGCTATGGGTGTGGAGAAACCAAAACCACGCACCAGAACAATCAGGAGTGCTGGGTCACGCAAGGTTACAATTGGTGCACGTGCCTCCAGCTCAATGAGTAAAGGAAAAGGTAACATTTCTGGGTTGAAATTACATACCAAATTGCATTGAAACTTATGACATTTTCATTGTAGAAAGGACACATTTAAGAGCTTAGATAAATGAAACACTCTGAAATTTTCACCTTCCACTATTAAAACTTTACATGTATGGTTACAAATGTTCACTTGCATGTTCCTTACATTATCATAAGTCAAAAAAGTCTAAATGTGTTGTCATATGTCTTACTGTGTAATCATAGGTGTGTTAATGGGTAATCATAAATGTCTTAATGGGTAATTATATGTGTTTTAATGGGTAATCATAGGTGTCTTAATATGTAATCATAGATGTCTTAATGTGTACTCATAGATGTCTTAATGGGTAATTATATGTGTCTTAATGAATAATCAAAGATGTCTTAATGTGTAATCATAGGAGTCTCAATGGGTAATCATAGATGTCTGAATGGGTAATTATAGGTGTCTTAATGGGTAATAATAGGTGTCTTAATGGGTAATTATATGTGTCTTAATGAATAATCAAAGATGTCTTAATGTGTAATCATAGATGTCTTAATGTGTAATCATAGATGTCTTAATGGGTAATCATAGATGTTGTAATGAGTAATCATATGTATCTTAATGGGTAATTACAGGTGTCTTAATGTGTAATTATAGATGTCGTAATGAGTAATCATATGTATCTTAATGGGTAATCATAGGTGTCTTAATGTGTAATCATAGGTGTCTTAATGGGTAATCATAGGTGTCTTAATGTGTAATCATAGATGTCTTAATGTGTAATCATAGATGTCTTAATGGGTAATCATAGATGTCGTAATGAGTAATTATATGTATCTTAATAGGTAATCATAGATATCTTAATGTGTAATCATAGGTGTCTTAATGTGTAATCATAAATGTCTTAATTGGTAATAATCGATGTCGTAATGAGTAATCATATATATCTTAATAGGTAATCATAGATGTCTTAATGTGTAATCATAGGTGTCTTAATGGGTAATCAGCATTATATATGTTACATTATTATAATCTATAGTTATCTTAATAAGTAATGTACTATTCCACCCTTCCCTGTTAACTGCTTTTATTTATAATTTTGCTTTAATGTGAATAGTTTATTTTCTGCAGAACAACATGTATACATATAAACTAATATGTAATGATCACTGTACCAGCCTTCTAGCTTAGTATAATATCTGATTTGTATCACATCACAACCTTACAAATATATAAAGAACCTTCCATGGAAACCATTAGACAGCATAGTTGGTAATAACCATCTTTATAACACTATCACGGTAAAACCATACATACTTGTACATTGACCTAGATCTGATGTACATTGACCTAGATCTAATGTACATTGACCTAGATCTGATGTACATTGACATAGATCTGATGTACATTGACCTAGATCTGATGTACATTGACCTAGATCTGATAGCTGACAACTTGTAATCTGTGGTGATGATCTTTATCCACTGCAGGCTGGGAGTCACTGAAAAAGAGATTTGGAATTATGCAGACACTTCAAGGTTGATCTGTCCTAGATACCGAAAAAATATTTATCTTTGTTTTTTGTGCTCAGATGGGGTGGTTTGGTCCTAATAACTCTGTTCTGTATTGTCAGGAGAGTGGAACTTCGTTACTTTTCAGATAAAAGTTCTCAGACTTATTAAGTAGACTTGTCTTAGACTACATTGTTGATTTTCCATTTGGATGTTCTAACGATAATCAGATGATAGGAGTCAGACTGGTTCATATGTAATTTAGTTGGTAAGGAACATCAGTGTACTCATAATAAAATGTAGTGGTCAAGCATTATGGCTGTAATAAGTGGTCAAGCAATACAACTTTTGTGGTCAAGCAATACAACTTTTGTGGTCAAGCAATACAACTTTTGTGGTCAAGCATAAACGAAGTTCTGCTTTATCTCTCTTCTCACTCAGATCATTGTATTTTTAAACTCTTTTCTCGATAATCTTTAATCAATCATATTTAGAAAATCAGTTTGGACTTTGTTTCTAAATAAATATCTGATTATATTTGATTCACCAGGTTTAACTCTGACTTGTTTTCACTGTTATATCTTTATTGATTTCATAAATTACTATCAATATGAAATATCAATTTGGTAAATAAATACAGGGAATCTTGTTACACTGTTTTAAAACATGTATAATGATTTCTAAATCTAACAAAGTTACATAGAAATGAAATTACAAGTGACATTTTAAAAAAAAATAAACTTGTCCAAACTGAAACTTGTAGTGATTTTTGAGTGAGGTTTGCTTAAAAATGATGTTATTGCATGAGAATATTGCTACAGAGATATAAATAGAAGCAATTTCTACAAAAATGTTACTATAGTTATATTACTACAGAAATGTTATTATAAATGTTACTATAGTTATATTACAACAGAAATGTTACTATAGTTATATTACTACAGAAATGTTACTATAAATGTTACTATAGTTATATTACAACAGAAATGTTACTATAGTTATATTACAACAGAAATTTTACTATAAATGTTACTATAGTTATATTACAACAGAAATGTTACTATAAATGTTACTATATATATATTACTACAGAAATGTTACTATAAATGTTACTATAGTTATATTACAACAGAAATGTTACTATAGTTATATTACAACAGAAATGTTACTATAAATGTTACTATAGTTATATTACAACAGAAATGTTACTATAGATATATTTCTACAGAAATGATACTATAGTTATATTACAACAGAAATATTTCTACAGAAATGTTACTATAGATATATTACTACAGAATGTATATGTATAAGAAAGAAATAATATATATATAGATATATTTCTACAGAAATGTTGCTGTGGAATATTACAACAAAATTGTTCCTACAAAAATATTACTAAAAAAATTTCATCTTTATTTGTTCAAATTTCAGTGAGATTTCCAGACCTAGATAGATGTTTGATCTATTTTATAATTGATATTTCATTGTTTGTCAGCAAAATGTAGCTTTCTGATTCATCAATTATTCTTTTCATTACTTGATGAAAAAACAATCTGCCCACTTGATAATGATTGAAGGAGTCAATGGCAACAGGCCACCTTGCGACGGACGTCTTGGAACTCCATTTTTTGTATGAATGGAATAATTGTTTACCTGGCATGTAGATCGCTGTCATTCAATGATGTAAAGAAAAACGGACAACATAACGAAATATCAAAATATCTTACACATTTCTGTTTGGAAAGTGACGGGCCCATTCATGAATTAAATTTGAATGACTGAAAATACCATGAATTTGCTGTCAGTGGCATTACATTATGTCACGCAAGCTGTTATGTGTAGTGAAATAATCCTTCATGAACTTATCAAATGTGTACATCAATGTGTTATTCTTGGTTTTGAACCCTACCTGAGAAATAGATTATAAGCTTTGATAGGAATGCTTTTCTTATTTCAAGCTGGTAAGAAAGAATAAATTTTTTGCAAACTTATCATGAATGTATTCATTCAGTTTGCAAAAATAAAAAGAAAATAAAAAATATTCATATCAAAGCTTAATAAACTTCAGTAGAAATTGTAGCTGATGTACAGTATACATGGATATTTCTTTCCATGGAAACTCCAAAGGTTCACAGAAACTTTGCTAAATACTTCTTAATACATTTATACCACATCCCATCCTGACCATCAACAAATTCCCTCCTAACCATCAACATGTCCCCTCCTAACCATCAACATGTCCCCTCCTAGCCATCAACATGTCCCCTCCTAGCCATCAACATGTCCCCTCCTAGCCATCAACATGTCCCCTCCTAGCCATCAACATGTCCCCTCTTAACCCTCAACATATCCCCTCCTAACCATCAACATGTCCCCTCCTAACCATCAACATGTCTCCTCCTAACCCTCAACATATCCCCTCCTAACCATCAACACATCCCCTCCAAACCATCAACATGTCCCCTCCTAACCATCAACATGTCCCCTCCTAACCATCAACATGTCCCCTCCTAACCATCAACATGTCCCCTCCTAACCATCAACACATCCCCTCCTAACCATCAACATGTCCCCACCTTACCATCAACATGTCCCCTCCTAACCATCAACATCTTCCCTCCTAACCATCAACATGTCCCCTCCTAACCCTCAACATATCCCCTCCTAACCATCAACATGTCCCCTCCTAACCATCAACATGTCCCCTCCTAACCATCAACATGTCCCCTCCTAACCATCAACATGTCCCCTCCTAACCATTAATTACCATCAACATGTCCCCTCCTATGTCCCCTCCTGACCATCAACATGTCTCCTCCAAACCATCAACATGTTCCTTCCTAACCATCAACACATCCCCTCCTAACCATCAACATGTCCCCTCCTAACCATCAACATGTCCCCTCCTAACCATCAACATGTCCCCTCCTAGCCATCAACATGTCCCCTCCTAACCATCAACATATCCCCTCCTAACCATCAACATGTCCCCTCCTAACCATCAACACATCCCCTCCTAACCATCAACATGTCCCCTCCTAACCATCAACACATCCCCTCCTAACCATCAACACATCCCCTCCTAACCATCAACACATCCCCTCCTAACCGTCAACATGTCCCCTCCTAGCCATCAACATGTCCCCTCCTAGCCATCAACATGTCCCCTCTTAACCCTCAACATATCCCCTCCTAACCCTCAACATGTCCCCACCTTACCATCAACATGTCCCCTCCTAACCATCAACATCTTCCCTCCTAACCATCAACATGTCCCCTCCTAACCATCAACATGTCCCCTCCTAATCATCAACATGTCCCCTCCTAACCATCAACATGTCCCCTCCTAGCCATCAACATGTCCCCTCCTAACCCTCAACATGTCCCCACCTTACCATCAACATGTCCCCTCCTAACCATCAACATCTTCCCTCCTAACCATCAACATGTCCCCTCCTAACCATCAACATGTCCCCTCCTAACCATCAACACATCCCCTCCTTACCATCAACATGTCAGTTATGGTGTTCCTCTATTCTATTGTATCAATTAAGTATTTGTAAGTATAAATTGAGTGGATACTAGGCCCCCTATATATAAGTACCTGAATGTGTATATATGATAATTTCATTTACTGAAAACATGTTATCAAACAGGAATATTTGCAAGTCACTTACCTTGCAAAATAAAGGTGCATGTTTATCAATATTATGACTTAAAACCGTTTGTGGTTACTGACTTCCTAAATGCATGACTAAATTGTCGATATTAATTAGCATGATATGTGTGCATGTGACATGCTGTTTGTTTCGTCTAAGTTTGATAAAATAAATAAAAGCTACTAGTTGTATTGACCAAAGCTGAGACTATAAATTAATTTAATAATTAAAGATATACTATGATTGGTTAGAAGTGTTATTGATCATTTTAGGTCAAATTTTACGAAAGATTAAAAGTTGTGGTAATGAAGGTTTTCTGTAGAGACAACTCAGTATGTTTAAGCTTTTCTTTCTTTTTTTTTTCCAACTATTTGACAAAATTTGGAAATTTTTATTTATCAGATCATATTGTTTCTTAATTGTATAAGTAAAATATTTTGATTAAGAAACTATATTGGGACCTTGGACTTAAAACAACCAACATTAAATTAAACCCGCAATAAACTCCTGTCTGGTAGTAAGCCTTGCTATATCTATTGCTGTTTAGGAAAATTTCATTGCCCTGTTAGGACTTTGAAGCAGGGTCTGTATGCTGGTCCCTGGTCTTATTGAAGGACACATATTCTACTACCTCAGTTTATTCGGGCTGTCACATAATTTGTTTGTAATTTTCATCTACAGAAAAGAAGGAGGTAAGCAGTAGAACAAGTAGCCGTGCTGCCAAACGTGAAACCAAGGAGCCAGCGAGTCGTGCTTCATCTGTGGCAGAGCAGCTTCTCACTGAGAATGACAGGGGAGACCAACAGAAGTCGTGGACACTGGATCACGTGACCGAAGTGGTGTATCTGGCAACACGGGTTCAGATGACTGAGAAGATGGAATCAGCACTGAAGGAGTTGGAAGGAGGCAATAAGGATAGCCTACAGGTAAAACGTCTCTCATTGACAGGATTGGAAACTGCTGTTTTGGGGAATTTTTAAAAACTTTTTAAAAATTTTAAAAATTTGAATAAACTTTTTCAGGAAACTTATTAATTAAATGTGTTTGAGAAATGATGGAAACTGATATTGCATCTTTAACCAAAGTTAGGAGGACAAATATTTATTTTCCACACTTGGTTATTTCTGTTGACTCAGCAATTGATGATAGAGATATACAAACATATAATTATCTTTATTCTGTATGACATGATATTAGGTCATACAGCCTGCATAGACTTGTATTTTAACTCAAGCTATTGTTTAGAAATACAAATACACTGTTACAAGACTTGTACTTGTATACGACATAATTGTGTACTTCAAATTTATATATAAACATTTTCCTTTTTTGTGTGCCAGAGTAATAAGTATGGTATAGTGAGTTGCATTTTACTATTTGCTTGCAAATTTTCTTATATGTGTGTAACAGCGGTCGTTTTTCATCTCAATGCCTCCGCTAGGAATCGAACCCGGGACACCTGACTTACTAGTCTGACACTCAACCAATCGAGCTTAAGAGAAGTTCTCCCTAGCCGAGTGTTGTATTGTGGCTAGTATTTTACCAGGGTTACATATGAATAACGGAAAACAAGGTGACATGATGAACAGTCAGTAAAATTTATTTTCCATCGACAATTCTTTTCCTATCATTTACAGAGTGCCTTACAGAAAGTGAACCAGAGTATTCATGCAACTACCGTCCTACTGAAGGGTCTAGAGGGGGAGCGTGAGACCAAAGGTCGTAACGAGGTCAGCGAAGGAGGTATGCTAGATATAAAACTGTCAATTAATGATATTGTATATGATATTAAAATGTTTCGTGACAGTATTGTGAAATTTATCATTACTGTAAGGGTGCTGCTCTCTTGTAGGTCGTTCTGCTAGGGAGGGTGACAAAGAGGAGTTCTCAGAGTCAGCATCAGTGGCAGGAGCACGCAGTAGTTATGCTGCGTCATTGACAGGCGCGTCACGTAAGGGGTCAACCTTAGATGTGGGTGGCGGTGAAACAGCACGGACACCCATTCCAGAGGAGGAAGGGTCCACCAAAGGGGACGAGCAGTCCTGTAAGTGTGGCTTGGTAGTGGTTAACCGGCAATGTCACTCCTGATCCCTGTCACATCCTAGTCAACTGTCCCACCCTGATCACAGTCACAGCCTAGTCAACTGTCCCACCCTGATCACAGTCACAGCCTAGTCAACTGTCCCACCCTGATCACAGTCACAGCCTAGTCAACTGTCCCACCCTGGTCCCAGTCACATTCTGGTTAAAGTTTCACTCTTGTCCCTGTCCCACCTAGGTCCCAGTCACATTCTGGTTAAAGTTTCACTCTTGTCCCTGTCCCACCTAGGTCCCAGTCACATTCTGGTTAAAGTTTATCTCTTGTCTCCGTCCCACCCAGGTCCCAGTCACATTCTGGTTAAAGTTTCCCTCTTGTCTCTGTCCCACCCAGGTCCCAGTCACATTCTGGTTAAAGTTTCACTATTGTCCCTGTCCCACCTAGGTCCCAGTCACATTCTGGTTGAAGTTTCACTCTTGTCCCTGTCCCACCTAGGTCCCAGTCACATTCTGGTTAAAGTTTCACTATTGTCCCTGTCCCACCTACATCCCGGTCACATTCTGGTTAAAGTTTCACTCTTGTCTCTGTCCCACCCAGGTCCCAGTCACAATCTGATTAAAGTTTCACTCTTGTTTCTGTCCCACCCTTGTCCCAGTCACACCCTATTCTATTTTATAGGAGTCTCACCCTGGTCACAGTTACACTCTGATAACAGTCACATCCTAATTACACTGTCATGCCTTGGCTGAATATCTACCTTAATTCTTGTCTTTCACCTATGGTGTACAAGTACGTATTTAATATACTGTAAAACGTAACACTAACAAAATCATAGAATGCAATACTTACCACATTTAATAACTGGTTATGTCAAGTCCATATACTCCATATATATATGTATAACAGTTTTGGGCCCATGGTAAATTTACTCAAACCCTGTGCACAATATTTTCTGTATTATATGATGAATCATGTGATGTGACTGGCAGTTAATGGCTCATTGAAACCAATTAAACAATAACTAATATCATTATCAATGCATAATTTTCATCACAAGCAATCAGAATTAGAATTTTAAAAATGGTATAAATCCATATTGTTGTAAAGGTTTGTACTGAAGCATTAAAACCTCATGCTGATTAGTCCTCATCATGAAAGGTCACTATGGTGTATGTGAGTTGTTGTTGTATGAAGTGTTACAGTCCACAGGATGTGAGTTGTTGTTGAGCATTTCGTGTAGATGGTGTTAACATTTTAATAAGTATATAAAACCTGTTTATGCTGATTGATATGCAGCCCTGATGGAGCCCCAGACCCTGGAACCAGTAGATACTATGAACATTCTTGCAGCGCCCCCCATTACCACATACAGTAAGAAAGAAGAGACCAAGGAGGAGGCTCCACAAGGGGAGACTGCAGATATGAAGCTAATGTTGTTCCCTAGTCAGATACAGAAGCTTACCTCCCTTCTTGCTCTTCTCGCACATGTACGTGACTTCCTGGAGAGAATGATTGAAGCTGACGACACAAATGCTGCATCAGGATTTGACTGGCGATCACACCTACGTTTTTATTTTAGTAAAGACAACAGGGCAGTCAGTGTCAAAGTAAGTACAACGTTTTTTAGCCCCATATTCAACGTTTATATTTGACATATGTATCATTTTATATGATTTAGGCGAATTAAAAAAGTCTGCTTGAGCACAAAATCTATGCTTGAGCATGAGAATGGTTTCATGAATACAGGCAGATGTCAGAAAAAAAATTGGATACTAAACTCACGGTAGTGGTAATATATGTTGTTAACTTTAAATGACAAGACGATATTTCTGGTTCTGTTTGATTTAAACATATATTCTGTTTACAGACGCTTGACTCACAGTTTGACTATGGTTATGAGTACATTGGCTCCAGCCCAAGGGAAGTAATCACTCCTCTCACAGAGAGAGTCTTTGTATCCCTCACACAGACAGTCAAGGCTCACATGGGTGCCATGTGTGTTGGACCTATGGTAAGTAAGGGGAGATAAGTGCTATAAACAAAGTGGATATTTTCAATTTTTTCAGTATCGTCAGTCTAGTATTAATTTTGTTTACAGCAACATCAGCGTTGTTCCGAACTGCTTTGTTGATTGCGTTCATAATGACAGTAAGTTTTATTTGAATGTTATCTGAAGGTCACACACTGGCTATCATGACTATTTATAGGAGTCACTTGTATTTACAGGATAGTGGTAAGTTTGAGCTTGTCCATGAGTTAGCCCGATGCCTTGGTTACCCCATGTACAAGTTCAACTGTACATCCACCATGGACTACACTCAGCTGCAGGACATATTCCGTGGCATGGCCTCTACAGGGTGCTGGGTGTGTTTCAATAACATCAGTCATCTAACACCTGCTGTCCTCAGTGTGTACTCTCAGCTCATCTCGGCAGTTATGGGTGCCCTCCGAGCAGGCAAGGCAGCTGTACACCTTCAGTCTGATGACATACAGCTGAATGCAGCAGGGGCTTGCTTTGCTCTTACTGATAGTGCAGTACAGGTAACTCAATCAGGTTTCTCAATGTCTCTTCTATCATTTTTAGTCCATAGTGAAACAAAATCAAATTACTGTTGATAGTTTTGCCCCCAAAAAAGTTTTATCTTTAATGTTTTAAATGCACTCCTGTTTATTTGACATAAGTATGTGGTATTGTGAGGTACATGTGATAAAAATTATATGGCAATTTGTTCCTCTCCATTGTGAGGTATTTATTGCAAAAGTTTGATAACCTGTTCCTATCTAGCACAAGATATTTGTGATAAAAGCATGATAAGTTGTACCTCTCCATTGTGAAGTGACAGAAGTATAATAACTTGTTTCTCTCCATTGTGAGGCAACAGAAGTATGATAACTTATGCCTTTCCATTACGCGATATTTGTGACAAAAGTATGACAACTTGTTCCTCTCCATTTTGAGTTGACAGAAATATGATAACCTGTTCCTCTCCATTATGAGGTATATGTATATGTGACAGAAGTTTGATAATCTCTTCCTCTCCAGGTACAGCCAGGAAACCCTGAGAAGTTGTTGCTATACTCCTCATCCACTGCTGCTATCCCTGACTACATCATGGTCCAATTCCGTACAATCTCTGTTCTGCAGCCTGACCTTCACCTTGCCCTAGAGGTCATGTTATCCAGCCAAGGTCAGGATCATTAACATAATTTATTGAAATAAAACACTGTAATGTGAAAATAAAAAAAAAGTTACAAGTGGTTTATAAGATGGTAAAAACAGTATTGATAACAATGCTATTTTTAGATCACAGAATAACTTGAAAGAGTTATTGATAATTCTCATAAACTTTACAGGTTTCGTGTCAGCTCGTGCATTAGCTAAGAAGACAATGACGCTGTATCAGCTGTGCAGGAAATTGTTGGGAACAAATGTATTCATCACAGAAAATGTCATCCTGGGTAGGTAAATGAAAGGTGTAGGACCAGTGTGTCCATCACAGAAAATGTCATTCTGGGTAGGTAAATGATAGATGTAGGACCAGTGTGTCCATCACAGAAAATGTCACCCTGGGTAGGTAAATGATAAGTGTAGGACCAGTGTGTCCATCACAGAAAATGTCATCCTGGGTAGGTAAATGATAGGTGTAGGACCAGTGTGTCCATCACAGAAAATGTCATCCTGGGTAGGTAAATGGTAGGTGTAAGACCAGTGTGTCCATCACAGAAAATGTCACCCTGGGTAGGTAAATGATAGGTGTAGGACCAGTGTGTCCATCACAGAAAATGTCATCCTGGGTAGGTAAATGGTAAGTGTAAGACCAGTGTGTCCATCACAGAAAATGTCACCCTGGGTAGGTAAATGATAGGTGTAGGACCAGTGTGTCCATCACAGAAAATGTCACCCTGAAATAATCAATTTTGTAATTGATCCTGACCTGTCTTTTGTCATGTAGGGTCAGATGTAAACCATGGCCGTGGAGGCTGGAGTATGAAGACCCTAAAGGGGCTGGTGTCAGAGGCTGGCGCATACATGGAGAAATCTGGGGAACAGGGTGAGTACTTAGGAATTATACTCCTTTTCATTTGTTTGAATATTATCAGCATTTTATGTATTTTTCACAATTTGAAAATCATCATTCCTTCTTTCTCCAATACGAAAAAAGATGTTTTTGTTTCTGATTGCTGTCTAGTTGGTGATATTTGGATTTAATTTAAGTTTGTTTATGGTCATTTTACAGTTTTTGAACATCTTAAGAAATGAAGTTACTAGTTCTGTTTGATTTCTGCTGATGATATCCAAGTAATGAAGATTTGTCATTTGTGAATAATGGCTGTAAAATGTTTGATTGCAGAGAGGTTAATGTAGAAAATCTTGCACTGAAATCCTTGTTTGAAGTCATCTTTCCTTCTCCAACAAAGCATCTGAGACTAATAAGAGATGTTTTTAGGATACTGTCATCAATCTTCTGATATGTTAATGGTGGTGTGATACACTAATTATTTCTATAGCTGTAGAAATATGTATTGAAATAATGAGACTAACCATTTTTCTGACATTGTTTCAGATAAGGAAGATCAAGTAGAAAAACAAGACCAAGAAAATGTAGAGAAAGGTAAGATAGTTTTAGACTTAAGAATAACATTGTAATATGTTGGAACAGCTCTGGTCCCATGTCCTGAAACAGGTCTGGTCCCATGTCCTGAAACAGCTCTGGTCCCATGTCCTGAAACAGTGCTGGAACCATGTCCTGAAACAGCTCTGGTCTTATGTCCTGAAACAGCTCTGGTCTCATGTCCTGAAACAGCTCTGGTCCCATGTCCTGAAACAGCTCTGGTCTCATGTCCTGAAACAGCTCTGGTCTCATGTCCTGAAACAGCTCTGGTCCCATGTCCTGAAACAGCTCTGGTCCCATGTCCTGAAACAGTGCTGGAACCATGTCCCGATGAAAGCTTTGGTACCAGGCCCTGAAACAGCTCCAGCTTTGGTACCAGGCCCTGAAACAGCTCCAGTACCATGTCCTGATGAAAGCTTTGGTACCATGTCCTGTAAAATGCTTTGGTTCCATTCCCTGAAAAAGCTCTGGTTCCATGCCCTGAAAAAGCTTTGGTTCTATGCCCTGAAACAGCTCTGTCTCATGTCCTGAAACAGCTTTGGTCCAATATCCTAAAAACACTCTTGTCAAGTGTCCTGAACAGCTCTTGTCAAGTGTCCTGAAACAGCTCTTGTCTAGTGTCCTGAAACAGCTCTTGATAAGTGTCCTGAAACAGCTCTTGTCTAGTGTCTTGAAACAGCTCTTGTCGAGTGTCCTGAAACAGCTCTTGTCAAGTGTCCTGAAACAGCTCTTGTCTAGTGTCCTGAAACAGCTCTTGTCGAGTGTCCTGAACAGCTCTTGTCAAGTACAGCTCTTGTCTATTGCCCTGAAGCAACTCTTGTCTAGTGTCCTGAACAGCTCTTGTCTAGTGTCCTGAAACAGCTCTTGCCTAATGTCCTGAAACAGCTCTTGTAAAGTGTCCTGAACTGCTCTGGTCCTGTGGCTTGAAACATGAAACAGCTCTTGTCAAGTGTCCTGAAACAGCTCTTGTCAAGTGTCCTGAAACAGCTCTTGTCTAGTGTCCTGAAACAACTCTGATCCTGTGTCCTGAGACAGCTCTGGTCTCATGTCCTGGGTCTACCATAATTAATTTTTTGATAGGGTTTATATATTAAACCCTGCTATTTCATCTATGTTTACCAAAATGTTTTTTTTTTTATTTCCTGATGTCTGTCTCCTGCCATTACACCAGAGTATGGGTGTTTTTGTTTTAAGGTGATGAAGTGATCCCTGAGTCCAAACTTTTGCTGGAGGAGAAGTCCCTGGTATTGGCGATTAGAGACACGTTTCTGCCACGAATGAAGGGAAGAGATGCCAGTGTTTTTGGGACCCTTGTGTTGGACACCTGGCCCAATGTGGAGGTCCCCATGGTGTTTGGCGGGGAGGAGGACATGTTACCAAAACCACCCCAGTCTCGAGCAAGTTCCGGCAAAGGGACATCCTCCCGTGCCAAGACTGCCAAAAGTCAAGACTCTATGAGGTCTCTCAAAGGTAAGAGAGAATTTATTCAATATATTTGCATTGTGTTCGGTTCTCCATCTTTTTCAAATTATAATGAAAAATTGAAATTAAAAACATAGAAAAAATTAATAATGAAAGTTTGAATAACAGGATTAAACCAATAATTAGGAAATGTAACAACATGGCAAAGTAAAATTTGGAGACCAAGAGATGAAGACAAATAGTTACACATTATATTGATAATAATCTCAAGTAAAACAAATTTTCAAATTAAACAAGAAATATTCGACTCAAACTTATTACTTTTTCTACTGGATTGTTGCTTCTCTCAACAATCTGTCTAACAATGGCCATCTTTAGAAACAAACGTTATAATTCTGTTGACGGACAGGTTAAAGATCGTACAAATGATGTCATACTTTTGCGAGATTGATATCCGTGTAGTATTCATTTAACAATCACCGTGACAACATATTTTAAGTTGTATGACTTTGTCTACTGCTATATACTGACTACATCATGGTAAGTTCTCATTCCTGCTCCTTACAATACTGCATGGTTTCATTTTGCAATATAACGCTTAATTTTCTTTGCAGAACAGCATTTTTTATATGTCTGACTACTGTCTTATGAGTGTGAAATGTACCACTTGATTTTGCAGGACTTTGTATATATTTGTCAGATTAGTTGATTTAATGTGTTTAATTTTTTTTTTTTTTTATGTTTTAGGGTTTTCATATGAGTTTAAAATATTAAGTATGTATTTATGATAAGGAGTAGTTTAGCTGTATCAGACCCAAATTGAGCGCACTGTTAGACAGGGTATTCAACTTCTTTTCACAATGGTGTTTATTGTACTCTACACACTCAGAAAAACAAAACAAAAAAGATGAATCAACAGAAATGTTTTAAGTGTTCCTTGACTAATGAAAATAATCACATCATAAGCTTGGGAAAAAAACCCAATAAAATTGTGAAAATAAGTTGGAAACACATCACTGAGACGTTATTTAGGATATAATAAAGGACAGGCTTAAGGCATATTTATACAGTCTCTCAGTAACAAATCCTGCCTAGTGACAAGCTTTCGTCAGACACTGACTCAAGCTTTATAGTATTATTTTAATGTGTTTTAGAACACTTAATACAATTTGGATCACTTTGGATTGTTGATGGGTTGAACTGTATAGATATATCTGTACTATAAATAGATTATGCACTTTATATGAATATGTAATTAATTACACCTGTAGACATAAGTTCCCAAGCAGCTAGTCTTACTCATATACTGTAAACTAGATAGATGATGTTGGCAAAACATAAATAGTTCAGGATTTACTGTTTGTTACTGACAGAAGTTGTCTGGGTCCTTAATTTACTGTTTGTTACTGACAGAAGTTGACTGGTTCAGTAATTTACTGTTTGTTACTGACAGAAGTTGACTGGTTCAGTAATTTACTGTTTGTTACTGACAGAAGTTGACTGGTTCAGTAATTTACTGTTTGTTACTGACAGAAGTTGACTGGTTCAGTAATTTACTGTTTGTTACTGACAGAAGTTGACTGGTTCCTTAATTTAATGTTTGTTACTGACAGAAGTTGACTGGTTCAGTGATTTACTATTTGTTACTGACAGAAGTTGACTGGTTCCTTAATTTACTGTTTGTTACTGACAGAAGTTGACTGGTTCAGTGATTTACTGTTTGTTACTGACAGAAGTTGACTGGTTCCTTAATTTACTGTTTGTTACTGACAGAAGTTGAATTGTTCAGTAATTTACTGTTTGTTACTGACAGAAGTTGACTGGTTCAGTAATTTACTGTTTGTTACTGACAGAAGTTGACTGGTTCAGTAATTTACTGTTTGTTACTGACAGAAGTTGACTGGTTCAGTAATTTACTGTTTGTTACTGACAGAAGTTGACTGGTTCAGTAATTTACTGTTTGTTACTGACAGAAGTTGACTGGTTCAGTGATTTACTGTTTGTTACTGACAGAAGTTGACTGGTTCAGTAATTTACTGTTTGTTACTGACAGAAGTTGACTGGGTCCTTAATTTACTGTTTGTTACTGACAGAAGTTGACTGGTTCAGTGATTTACTGTTTGTTATTGACAGAAATTGACTGGTTCATGTTTGTTATTGGTAGAAATTGACTGGTTCATGTTTGTTATTGACAGAAATTAGCTGGTTCATGTTTGTTATTGACAGAAATTGACTGGTTCATGTTTGTTATTGACAGAAATTGACAGGTTCAGTGTTTGTAAACTCCAGGTTCCATCTCGGTTATGTTTTTACTTTCCACTGGATGTAGGATCCCGTAGCTTATGAGTAATATTCACCCTGATTGCTGATGTTTTAGATAGAGTAATATTTTAGCTGTTAGTATGACTTTGAGCGTACAATATTATGGATATATCATCTCCACTGCATGACCTGCACAGATTTCATGTGTGATATATAAAGTAGAAGCTTGTAGTAAAATTATTCATGGATATAGTCTCCTGGTATAATTAAGATGTACAAACATTTTCTATATACCATCAATTCTGGAACATAACCAGTTAAGATTTACTCTCAAAAAATGCTTGAAACTAATCTTATTTATGATGAATTTTCAATAGTTTTACAGAGAAATGTTACAATTTTTTGCTGACAATATGTTCTTAACAAACAACACAGGGCTAATTTTGATCATTGGAATTCTTCAAAATTCCATCCTAGGTATTGTAGCGCTATTTAAATGATAAAGAGAAGGAGCTAACAGTCTTGTTTAGGTGGATTTGGAACATTTTCATATTCATGGAATGATACTTTGATCATTCAGATGCCTTTAAACTTGTACTTAATACCTTAAAAATATTGACCATGGTACAAATAGTGAAACAACCATGGATGTAAGTTATTGAAGCTGAAAGTGGTATCACTGAGAATATGTGAAGGATTTGTATATAGGTAATTTGGAATCTTTTTCAGACTCTATCAACCTCAATACTCCTGTAGTGGCAATGGCTCGCTCCTCTGCACAACGATTCCAGGCAGTAGGTGATCCCAACCAAAACCAGAACCTTGAGGACATGCATGATGCTATTGCCGTGGCAACGGGTGAGCTGGGATTGTTACCTGGTGTGGCCTTCCAGGCTCGTGTAGCTCAGTTGTCACAGCTCAACGCAGCTCATCAGGCGGTAAGTACAGCAGTAAAATCACCAGGAAGGAATATAAACCCAACAGGCGAAAAATCAACTCAATGTTTTTATCATCAGATGCTGGGAAATCCAGTTTGAAGTGCACACAAGTCCAATCTTTGACCATCAGTGTTATCCCTCACTGGTTAATGTATATGTATGAAACTGTCTTTACTAGCTGTTGTCAATTTGCTACAAGTCACTCATTCAATGGAGTTAGAAGCATGCAACCTTACATGGCATTTAGATAACGACATCATGGTATCGTGTAGTAAGACCTGTATACATTTTGTGTAGATATTTGTGGTGGGGCCTCCAGGCTGTGGAAAGAGTGAGTGTATAAAGACATTCGCTGTGGCAGAGCGTGAACGCGGGAAGACCATTAGCGTTCACACCATGTTCACCAAGGCAGTCGAATCAGAAGAACTGATGGGCTACTGGGACCCAAAAACTAAGTATGTACAGATCTATCAAAGACATGTAAATCTTCAGAACCATCAAAGACATGTAAATATAGAGAACCATCAAAGACATGTAAATGTTAAGAACCATCAAAGACAATGTAAATATTCAGAACCATTAAAGACTTGTAAATCTTCAGAACCAGCAAAGACATGTAAATATTCAGAACCAGCAAAGACATGTAAATATTCAGAACTATCAAAGACATGTAAATATTCAGAACCTTCAAAGACATGTAAATATAGAGAACCATCAAAGACATGTAAATATTTAGAACCATAAAAGACATGTAAATCTTCAGAATGGAGAAATTTGAACCTTATTGATACCATTTTTAATTTTGGCATCAGTGGAGTACGTCAGCAATCCTGAGGTAAGTTAATGACAATATACTATAGTCAGTCTCTAAATTATGAATAGAATTTGGAATTCCTATTTAACTAAACATAAGCTGTTCAATTTTACATTGCTATGTTTTAATCATATGACATGTAGTTATACTTTAATGTGTTTTTCAGGGAATGGAAGGATGGCTTGTTTGCCTCACTTCTCAGGAAACTCTGCATTCAGCCCCCGAGCATGAACTATGACTTCAACAGCAAACCTGCTATGAAGATTGTCCAGCTGGATGGAGAGGTAAGAAGACATACAGATCTAATGCTCCATAAGGAACAACAGCTTTGTTCCTTGACATATTTGCTTCAATTTGAAATAATTACTCTGAAATTATAGAGATACAGGTTCAGAAAGATTTTGTGAAACATTTCAGTACAATGTACAATCTGCATCCAGTTAGTTACCTTCACCAGACAAATTAAGTGTATGTACACAAAGCTTTCAAATACAGAGGATGACAAGACAGTTACCTACACTTCAAGAAAATAATGCAAACAGCACATGAAATGACAGTCAGAATAATGTATCAGTGTTTTGATTTTGTCTTGTTGTTACTTGTATTAGGCTGATGTAGGACAAATGGAATTACTGGGAGCTTTCCTCAACAATGATGGATCTGTTGTCCTAGGTAACAATGAAAGAATGGTCATTCCTGACACGACTCGCTTCTTCTGGGAGGTAAGTTCTCAAAACAAATAGCAACTTTGTAAGGGGTTATGCATCTGTTTATATATATATATGAATGTAGGGCAATAAATATTTCTGATGATAAGAAAAAACAAGATCATATGTTCTGCCTTGGCCTGAGGAAGCCCTAAAAAAGGCATCTTGTTTTGTGTTCTTGTTGGGTTTTAGATTGCAAGGACTCGTTTGTTTTCTATTTTTTATGATGTACATGTAAGTATAGTATATTTTTCTATTCAATGCTATAACCATTAATGATTCTAATACCACTATCAGTTTTGTATAATTGAAATAACCATGTCTTGTACATAATTTGATTCCAGCTGGAGACGGTGGGACACATGAGTCCTGCCCTGCTAGCCAATGTTGCCATCCTCAACATGTCAATGCTGGATGTGGGTTGGAAGCTGCTACTGGTGCAATGGCTGGAGCGCCGTCCAGAGGCTGACCGTGAGCTGCTGTCTGGGTTCTGTGATGTGTATGTTCAGAAAACAGTTGACTACCTTACAGAGTGCTGCCAGCCCCACATGCTTGGTGGGGTGAAACATAATGGACCGCAGTACAAACGTGTTATACCTCACTCCACTGAGAACATGATCACCACGTTTTGTACACTGCTCGAGGTTTGTAACACTGCCGAACACTTACCTGCCAAAGCTCTTCAGTAAATAAGAGAATACAAAAATATATACTTTTTTCTCTTCAAACAAGATGTCCTCAATGTTTACTCTGACTCACCATAATATGTAAGACCGATGCTATTGTATATTTCTAGACACCTGTCATTGACTGTGACTCATCATTATATATAAGACAGATGATGTTGTATATTTCTAGACACCTGTCATTGTCTGTGACTCATCATTATATATAAGACAGATGCTGTTGTATATTTCTAGACACCAGTCGTTGACCGTGACTCATCATTATATATAAGACAAGCTGTTGTATATTTCTAGGCACTTGTCCATTCCAATCCAGACCTTAGTGATTTAGAATATGAGCGTTACTTCAACTTTGCAATCATCTGGGCATTTACTGGTACACTGGAGGTAGAACATCGAGAAAACTTCAGTCAGTGGTGGAAAGTGGAATTCAACCAGTACATAGAGTACCCAGCTGAGGGCACGGTGAGAAACATGATATATGACTTGTGTTGGATAATTTTTTCTCAGAATCAAACTTACCATATGAAATTTAGAAATCAATGGGTATATTAGTGTCTTTATTGTATAGATGGTGTCCATGTGTGAGTCAGTGATACAGATTAGATTTCTCACTTTACTAGACTAATATGATGACTGTATGAAATTCTGTAGGTGTTTGACTACTTTGTGGACAATGAGAGTCATGAGTTTACCCGCTGGTGTGACAGTATGAGTAACTACAGTGGTGACCCCCATTCTGGCATCTCGTCAGAAGCCTTTGTACACACAGTACCGATAGAGGTAAGTGATAAAGTGCAATTTTGAGAATCAATGAGAACTCAAACAAATTAAAATTAAACAAATTGATTTGAATATATATTTCAAAACCAATACTTTCATAGATATTTAAGATCTATTTTTAATCATTTAGCTGGGTTTTTTTTCGATAAAATAATGTGTTTTAGGACATTGAACAAGCCAGAGTTGGCACCCAACAGCTTAGGATTCTTTGTTGAAATAAGTGGCAGAATTTCTTTAAATGAATTTTATATAATGATGTTACTGTTTCAGCAACTGATGTACATTTTGGGCACTCTATCAGACTATGGGAAACCTGTTGTGCTAGTCGGGGAGAACGGGTGCGGGAAAACTGCAATCATCAATGAGAGAATTCGTACTGTGTGCTCAGGCGAAGTGGCGGAGGTTCTCTCCCTTACTGTACAGGCTAATAGGTAAATTCTACAGGAATGAATCATAAGTAAGAGTATCCTAGATCATATTTAAAGACATTTATTGACTGGTGTGTATAATGAAAATGTATGAATTTGAAGTCGAAAAGGTTACGACTAAAAAGCAAAACAAGTGAATGACCAGTGTAGTAAAGTAAATTCTGGTGATATGTACATAAGGTCAGTTTATAATGATGGTGCTATGTCCAGGTTCACCAACGCTCGTCTGCTGTATGACCGTCTGGATGGACGACTTGAGTGGAAACATGGGCGTACATATGTCCCTAAGGGTAACAAGCGTCTCCTTTGTTTAGTGGATGACATCAACTTATCGCAGGTATGTCTTCATCTCTGTTCTTGTCTTGGTTGATAATCCTAGATTTTTTATCAGAAATGTCCATTTCATTGAAAACTTGCATAGATCCAAAGAAAGACTGACAACAAACATGTTTGATGTTAAACCAGCCAAACATACCATAGGATACCAGTATATAGGTTCAGTGTGTTCTGTCATACTTTATAATTATAAATCAGGTGCCTCTATTGAGACTGGAAAAAAATATGATAAATGTATTTCTTAAATTTTGTAGTGCTATATTAGGTTTTATTACAGCATAAGTGCTTTACAAACATCGAGAACGTATATGTGACTGCTACAATAGATTTAAACACTTGAACAGTACAAAAACAATTATCATACTGATGTAACGTGATTATACTGACGTAACGTGATTATACTGACGTAACGTGATTATACTGATGTAACGTGATTATACTGATGTAACGTGATTATACTGATGTACCATGATTATTCTCCAGGTTGACAAATATGGTCACCAGACAGCGATAGAGTTGGTTAGGGAGCACATTGATGATGGAGGTTTCTACAACCAAGACACTCACGCTTGGCGTTATGTGAAGAATGTCACCTATGTCAGCACCATCAACCCACACACTACAGCCAATGTGCCTGCCATCAGCCAGCGGTTCTTGCGACACTTTGCCGTGTTTGGCTGTCCCTACCCGACCAGTTCTGACCTGCAGACAATCTTTTCAACTCTCCTGCATACACATTTTATAACTCCAGAAACCTCTAGTTCTGCAAATCTTGCTGGAGGACATCATGGCCATGATGAAAAGGTAATTATTGTAGCCAAATGACAACTTCAATCTATCATATAGCAGATTATTATCAGTGTGTGTGTGTGTGTGTGTGTGTGTGTGTGTGTGTGTGTGTGTGTGTGCTATCTTAGCCTGAAAGTCTACTGAGTTGCCTCCCTTACCTTAGCCTGACAGTCTACTGAGTTACCTCCCTTACTTCTTTTATTCAGCATTTGCATTGAATAACAGATTCTATTTTTGCAGTTATGTTGATGATGGTGACTTGTCACAATGTTTTGTCTGAGACATTGTATGTATGCAATGTCTCCATTCAATTATATGTGTTGTCTATTCTGATGTTAGAAATTTCTGGATTATGTTCAGCCTTTGATGGCCATCGACAATAGCCCAGTAACATCTGAGCAGACAGTACATAAATCAAAATAAAGACAGGGCTTTAGTACTGAATCATGGATGGAACACAGTTTTAGGTGTCCGCAGGTTCCTCAAGTAGATAAACAATTAGACAACAAAAAACACAACACATGAGTATATTCTACAATCAACACATGCTTGTGGTGTGTGTCCTTGACCATAAAATGGTTTTGTATTATTTTATATTTTTTTTATTTTTCTTTCCGGGATAACCCGCAGAAAAGGTTAAAACGAAAATTCCATTAACAAAATATAAGTAAAATGTAATCGTGAACTGACAAACAAACCCCAATGACCTTAGTGTGACTTTGTCTTGATGATCCACACACCTATAAATGATAGGATGTGTCTTGTTTCTCAGTTCTCTGGTCAGCACAGGGCATAGTTAGTTGGCATTTGAGCCAGTGACCCAATTAACAATGAACCAGTTTTATTGCATTGAAATTTGAACTTTGACCCAGGCCCAAAACCAACAGAAAGAGGAAGAAGATGCTATGAAGAGACTTCTGTCCCTGATGGTCCAAGTGAGTGTGGATCTCCAGGATAGACTGCGCGCCATGTTCCTCCCCACAGCCCAGCGCTGCCACTACATCTTCACTGTCAGAGACCTCTCTACCGTTTTCAAGTGAGTCCTTCATCTTCAAGTTTATAACCTTGAATATGACATAAATGAATATGTCAAAAAATATATTAAGACAGACGTCTTTAAACATATTTTATGTTTTCTGTGCATGTGTGTATGGAAGTCATATTTCCTAGGTAAAATCTGCAATTTACTGTCAGAAATCTAATGCAAGTCTTGTACCTGGTGAAAGAAAATATGCAGTGATGCATATTTTTTTAACAGAATCAAAATAAGGACTTTGTAGATTAAATTTCAGAACACTTCGCACAGGGTTTTAATTACAATCTATATCGGTATTAGTTTTGGCACTTTCTTTGTTTGTTTTAGTTATTCCCCATGGACTCTCCAGACAACCATAACTAAACCATTTTATTTTTTTCTCATCTATCAGTATTAAAATCTTCATTGTTCATCAAGTCAGAAAGTGTTTACGTAATTATGATAATTATAAAATAGAGGAACTTTTTCTTAGTGATTTTACACTTGTGTTGTTGTACTCTACAGAAATCTCTGCCTATCCTTACAACCTGGTTGTCCCAGGAAAAATGTGCTGTTACTATGGCAACATGAGGCATTCTGGGTGTATGGCCATCGTATGGTATTAGATGTTGATTTCCGACGGTTCAAACAGGCATTCTCCACAGCAGTCAAAAAAGAGTTCACAGCTGATGAATTTGTAAGTCTACGAAGTCAAATGACTTCTATTAAAAACGTGAAAAAAAGTAATATATCATATGTATAGTTTTTCTATCTTGATAAGTACAACCAGAAAATATTTTTAATTACTCCCCTTTAACATAACACTGCTCAAACTAAGTTCAGCTTAACTACTATCTTTCTGGAATTTTTGTTTCCATGGATAAAACACAAATCATGAAATTTTCATAAAAATTGTACCTGTGTGTTTGTATTCAGATCCAGCTGCTAATTAAGACAAGACGCCCACTGTTCAGTAATCTGATAGAACAGGACAGTGGGGTGGTGACAGCAGGAATGATTGACATGCGTCATAGCTCTCAGGTGTCAGAGGAAGACGCACGCACAGACCTCTATAAACCTGTGTACATTGACACTGAAGCAAAGGCTCTGATGGAGCGAGGGGTCGAGGAGTACAACAAAATACACCCGCGTATCAAATTAGCCCTGTACAAGGTCAGTGTCACGTGAACATCAAGGTTAACACTGGTACAGCTTACCACGATGTAATAGTCCCTTAGTTAAAACTCCGTTTTTTAAAAGTTTAATTTTTATGCCTCATCATTTCATGGCCAGGAGCATAAAATGTTACTTATGTCCATCATTTTGTCATGACTGTATAATTTTTGTTTCTGCTTATCAACTCTTAAACAGATACCAATATAGACCTGTAATTTGGTGGGTATAGGTGTTAAGTAATCTGTAGGTCAATATCTGATTTGGTTATGGTCAATCATTTTTCCATTTAACTTTAAGTAGTTTAACTTAAATTTTCACAGAAACAGTAAGACCAATATTGGAGAGCCTTGCTTAAATACAGTGGGAATTTAAAAGAAAAAGATCAGCAGGCAGTTTTATTTCAGATTCTTTACTGTAGATAAAGGAGATACTGTAGAACCTGCTGTTATTTTATTTCACGTGTCATTTGTACACAACAAGAAGTTCTCAGCTTCTCTGTGGTTGCTGGCAGAAGCATATGTGTTGCTCCTGCATATCTAGTTTTTTCAGGTCATCTGACTGAAGGGGCTGATGACCTATTGCGATTGCCTTTTGTCCGGCATCGTACGTTGTCCGTCGTGAACATTTTTAACTTCTTCCCGAGTTCTACATGTCTCATTGAGCTGAAACTTACCTGAAATGATCGTGACATGATCTTGACCAAAGTTTGTTAATTTCGGGTTGGTCCGAAATCCAACACGGCCTCCATCTTGAAAACACATTTTCAACTTCTTCTCAAGTTCAAAATTTGAAATCTTGTATTTTATGTCAGATGACCGTATAGGCCCATGGGCCTCTTGTTTAAATTTAACGTGATTGATGAATTAATTTCTCATCAGCAAATGATGGTATGAAATGTATTTTCCTTTTCTATACAATTAGTATTGTACTGCAGTACAAGTATGTTATCTATATGGTATTTTGTGGTTGCAGTCAGTTGTTGAGCAGGTATGTCGCATTGCGCGTACCATTGCCTCGCCTCATGAGAGCGCTCACATCGTGTTGAATGCCGAGGGTTGCCCGGGGCGCTGTACTGTCATTGTGAAGTTGGCTGCCCATCTGTGTGGTTTTACAGTCCACCAGATCAACCCATCGTCCATGGGGGCCACGTCAGAGTACAAGATGGACCAATTCAAAGCTGACCTTGTACAAGGCTACACACGTGCGGGGTCAAAGGTCGGTATACAATGTGTAATAACTTACCACTCATTCATGTGTAATCACCATCATAACTGTTACAATATTGTTCAAGAAAGTCACATTTACCTTGCCTAGCTTCTTGGTCAGTTTCTTTTTGAAGTCAAATTGATAAAATCCTTCTAGCTGATATTGATATTGACTTGAGAAAGTTAGATTGTTTCATGTAGAGAATCACCTGTATACATGTATATTATGTATTCATGCTGGGTAAATACAGATTTGAAGTGTATCCTCTGAAATGTATGCGTAACTATTTGTTTTATGTACATATTGTAATGTTAATTGTTATTATTAGGTGAACAGCTCCAGTTCTGTATGTAAAACAACTTTATTTGTTACAATCTAACCATGTTTAATAAAGATCTACCTAACTAGCACATATATTCCATGGGGTACCTCTCATCATGAGCCCGAGGGTCTAGCTCCCTTACCCTGGTATTCCCTAGAGAGGCTCCCTTCCCCACTGCTTCCAAAACCTGAGAGTATCCCCCCACCTAGGATCTAAGGGCCTGTCTCTGTAATACTGGTATTCCCTAGAGAGGTTCCCTTCCCCACTGCTTCCAAAACCTGAGAGTATCCCCCCACCCAGGATCTAAAGGCCTGTCTCTGTAATACTGGTATTCCCTAGAGAGGCTCCCTCCCAGGTCCTAAGGGCCTATCTCTGTAATACTGGTATTTCCTAGAGTATCCCCCACCCAGGATCTAAGGGCCCATCTCTGTAATACTCGTATTTCCTAGAGTATCCCCCACCCAGGATCTAAGGGCCCATCTCTGTAATACTCGTATTTCCTAGAGTATCCCCCACCCAGGATCTAAGGGCTTATCTCTGTAATACTGGTATTTCCTAGAGTAACCCCCACCCAGGACCTGTGGGTCTTTTTCCCTTAATTTCATGCGGGGCAATCTTCCACAGAAGTTTTTATTTCCCTTTTGCATTCCCACACTGAGACTATTATTTCTTTAAGATATTGCTATTCAAGGAGACATTACCTCAAGAAATAAACCTAGCAAATCATCCTCACAACAAAACCATCTGTATCCTAGGGTATCCCAAAATGAGGCTATCTATAACTTGAGGAGGCTATTTATAGTTGAGGGTACTCCTACAATGAGACTATTTATATCCTTGGGTAATCCCACAATGAGCCATTTATGCCTTATCAACAGTAACACTGATATGTTCCTTTCCATGATCCCTAACACTTACCAGGACAACAACACAGTGTGCTGATAATGATCCTTGTATAATATTTAAAGTTGTGGATAAAGATAGTTGTTATCATAACTAAACCTGTCCATTATTTTTTAACAGAAACAATGACTTGTCTCACAGTGAATAGCACTACATATATCAGTGTGTCTCTCACAGTTTGTAAATGAAAATCCCTCTGTACCAGTAATGTTCTACAAATAGCTTTAACTTCTTAAACCTTCCTACTCAAATGATACCTCTCAAAATAGCTTTGTGTAAAACAGCTCTTTTGGAGAGATAGTTAACCCCAAGAACAATGGATGTCCTGGTAGAAGGCAGAAAATCGTGTTTGGGATTCCTCAGTGATCAGATTTTATCCTTGAAATACATCAGGTTACAGACTAATATTGACTGACTTGGACTGTAGGATGTAAACTCAGTCCTAAATAGTCCAGCAGTGATGGTGTAAGGTTACAGACTGATCTAGACCTACTAGGACCGTAGGATGTAAACTTTGTCCTAACAAGTCCAGCAGTGATGGTGTAAGGTTACAGACTGATCTAGACCTACTAGGACTGCAGGATGTAAACACTGTCTTAACAAGTCCAGCAGTGATGGTGTAAGGTTACAGACTGATCTAGACCTACTTGGACTGTAGGATGTAAACTTTGTCCTAACAAGTCCAGCAGTGATGATGTAAGGTTACAGACTGGTCTAGACTGACTAGGACTGTAGGATATAAACTCTGTCCTAAAAAGTCCAGCAGTGATGGTGTAAGGTTACAGACTGATCTAGACCTACTATGACTGTAGGATGTAAACTCAGTCCTAAAAAGTCCAGAAGTGATGGTGTAAGGTTACAGACTGATCTAGACCTACTAGGACTGTAGGATGTAAACTCTGTCCTAACAAGTCCAGCAGTGATGGTGTAAGGTTACAGACTGATCTAGACCTACTAGGACTGTAGGATGTAAACTCTGTCCTAACAAGTCCAGCAGTGATGGTGTAAGGTTACAGACTGATCTAGACCTACTAGGACTGTTGGATGTAAACTCAGTCCTAAAAAGTCCAGCAGTGATGGTGTAAGGTTACAGACTGATCTAGACCTACTAGGACTGTTGGATGTAAACTCAGTCCTAAAAAGTCCAGCAGTGATGGTGTAAGGTTACAGACTGATCTAGACCTACTAGGACTGTAGGATGTAAACTCAGTCCTAAAAAGTCCAGAAGTGATGGTGTAAGGTTACAGACTGATCTAGACCTACTAGGACTGTAGGATGTAAACTCTGTCCTAACAAGTCCAGCAGTGATGGTGTAAGGTTACAGACTGATCTAGACCTACTAGGACTGTAGGATGTAAACTCTGTCCTAACAAGTCCAGCAGTGATGGTGTAAGGTTACAGACTGGTCTAGACCTACTAGGACCGTAGGATGTAAACTCAGTCCTAACAAGTCCAGCAGTGATGGTGTAAGGTTACAGACTGGTCTAGACTGACTAGGACTGTAGGATGTAAACTCTGTCCTAACAAGTCCAGCAGTGATGGTGTAAGGTTACAGACTGGTCTAGACTGACTAGGACTGTAGGATGTAAACTCTGTCCTAACAAGTCCAGCAGTGATGATGTAAGGTTACAGACTGGTCTAGACTGACTAGGACTGTAGGATATAAACTCTGTCCTAACAAGTCCAGCAGTGATGGTGTAAGGTTACAGACTGATCTAGACCTACTAGGACTGTAGGATGTAAACTCTGTCTTAACAAGTCCAGCAGTGATGGTGTAAGGTTACAGACTGATCTAGGCCTACTAGGACTGTAGGATGTAAACTCTGTCCTAACAAGTCCAGCAGTGATGGTGTAAGGTTACAGACTGATCTAGACCTACTAGGACTGTAGGATGTAAACTCTGTCTTAACAAGTCCAGCAGTGATGGTGTAAGGTTACAGACTGATCTAGACCTACTAGGACTGTAGGATGTAAACTCTGTCCTAACAAGTCCAGCAGTGATGGTGTAAGGTTACAGACTGATCTAGACCTACTAGGACTGTAGGATGTAAACTCTGTCCTTACAAGTCCAGCAGTGATGGTGTAAGGTTACAGACTGATCTAGACCTACTAGGACTGTAGGAGGTAAACTCTGTCTTAACAAGTCCAGCAGTGATGGTGTAAGGTTACAGACTGGTCTAGACCTACTAGGACTGTAGGAGGTAAACTCTGTCTTAACAAGTCCAGCAGTGATGGTGTAAGGTTACAGACTGATCTAGACCTACTTGGACTGTAGGAGGTAAACTCTGTCTTAACAAGTCCAGTAATAATGCTTTAAGGTTACAGTCAATCTAGACCTATTCGGACAGTGGAACGTAAACTCAATCCTTAAATAATGTTATGTTTGTTTCTGGTTCTAAGTCTCATGTGAAATTCTATGTTACCAACTTCATTTGCCTCTACAACTTCTAGATTATGTCACTAAGTAACCATTCATACCAAAAATCAAATTTCCTTATACAGATCTGTCACAAAACTCCAAACCCAGATTTTCTACAGAGGCATTCAAAAACAGGATGTAAATCACTTGCAGAAATGCTTACAAATCATTATATAGACCCTTCCTAAACTGCATGGGATCCCTTCACTAAGGCATCCAACAGATGACGCAGCATAGAGCTGCTTTGTTTGTCACTAACATCACTATTATGTGTTAGTGATATGGTAATTAAGCTTGTCTTACCTAGAAAAGGGACATCTGTTTAACCTGCTTTATCCTCATGTCAGATTTATAGACGATGACCATTTCGACCCTTAAGCTGCCTGAGAGTCCTGATATCTGTCAGAACACTGAAGGGTGAAAAATTCTGTCTGTCTTACCAAACTCAACAAAGTTGTGCCTGACCAAAGGACCATACATGTATATAGGATCTTACTGCCTTCCTCACTACATCACACGAGACACTCTCACCTATATTCCTATCACATGCCACTATATAAACCCAGAACACACGCCTTTCCCACAGATCATCTTCTTTGTTGCCAAGACTTACAATAATCATAACCCTGATGATGACAATCAAACGGTAACCCTAGCCTCTGCCAAATTAAAACGTTGATACAACGTGTAATCCCTGACTTTGGGTTCATTGCTCTTCCAACGAAGCTAAAAGAAAATAAAGTTTTGCATGACACTAATCATTGTAGGTGAGGTCCATTACCAATGTATCTGTGTCAGTTGATCAGCCAATCCATCGGTGATCAATTCCACATGTATAGCCATGTAAATGAGTGTTATATGACTGTACACTGCCCTCCCTAAGACAAACATCTACAGGATATATATGTGTGAGTGTGTGTGTGTGTAATTTTTTGTATGTAAGGGTATGTGTATACTACTTATTGCCCAAGCCATACAATTTCCATTATGTTACAACTGCATTATGCAGAGTGACAAATTTAAGGTGTAACTTTTGTTTTAGAATTTTCAGATTCATTACGCTGCAGAGGGATTGACTGTCCGTCACTTTCGTAAACAATGCAATGGAGGTTTTAAAATTGTAAACATTAACATATTAGTACTTTGACAATGTTGTGCTTTTTATTTATTAGTTGCAGGTATGCTTTCTAAGAAATTATTATTTTCGAAAAACCATTTCAGTGTTTTTTCAGTTCAACTGGTCCAGTGGACCGGTAAAGCTTATCCCCTGGGGTGTTGCACCATCATTTGTCAATTTATTTTGTCCAAATTAAGTCATAAACATACACTGTATTCCTTAGGGGAATGAGAACCACTTTTCTATTAATGGTGAGTGTGGGCTCCCGGAAATTTGTACAGCAGGACCCAATTGCGGAAGATTAGAAAGTCTGTAAAACCTGTCTTTCTGTAGGATGATTTGGTTTTATCAAAATTTGATCTAAAGCATCCTTAGGTGATACTGGCTAAGTTTTAAATAAACTGTAGGTTTAATCCCCTTGAGGGTTTAGGGGTGGGGACCAATTGGAAAAGTAACTGTACATGTAAACCTTTAAAATCTCTTTTACTTTTGAAGATGTGTGCTACATAATATTCTAAAGAAAGATGTGTCCTTGTGATTGCTGAAATTTCCAGGCAAGCGATACTGGTCCAGTTGGCCTCATGTTTTGTTTAACACAAGTTCGGATATTATTACTGGTTAAGCAAGTTTCATCTATCATTTTTTTTTAAATTATGACATCACACTTACATGACGTCCTATGCATTGTGATGTCACCAAAAATGTGATATAGAGTGAGAATGTAGACTTTATATCAGTGTGGTAAACTGCTAATTTGTGAATGTTTTCAAAAGTATCCAAGTTATGTAATGTACAGAATGTTAATTGTTTCTATTTCATATGACAAAGACTCCTAAAATTCTCACTCATGTTATCAATTTCTTATGAAATGGAAAACTCTGGTAAAGTCCTCTCTCTCTCTCTCTCTGTCTGTCTCTCTCTCTCTCTGTCTGTCTCTCTCTCTCTCTCTCTCTCTCTCTCTCTCTCTCTCTCTCTCTCTGTCTCTCTCTCTCTCTCTGTCTCTCTCTCTCTCTCTCTCTCTCTCTCTCTCTCTGCCTTTTTCTCTGTCTCTCTCTCTATATATATGTATAATATGAAATGTATGTATAAAATCTCTGAGATCCAAGTTGAAAGTTAAAATTGACTCCGTATCCTATAGGTCAGTCAGTATCTTGAGTTGTCTTGTATGATGTTTTTTAGAATTCTAATTAACCCAATACAGTGACATTTTTATTGTCTCCTCCAGGGTGAGAAGATTCTGCTACTGTTACACGAGGAGGAGCTATTAGAGGAAGACTTCCTCGTCTACCTCATCGAGTTCATCGTTGGGGGCTCCATCAGTCATCTGTTCACCTATGAGGAGCAAACCACCATCATTAATTCTATCAGAACTGAGGTGACGCAAGCAGGACTCACATACACACGAGATACAGCCTGGAACTTCTTCTTACAGTAAGCCATTGTGATCTAGTAATGTAAATTAGGTCAATGTGATCTAGTTTTTAACAATATTAGGTCACCAAAGTTTTTTTTATACAGGGTATACTGCAAAGCTGTTAAGTAATAAATCTACCAATTATAATCTTCTAGTAGCTACTGTTGACAGGGATCTGAGTGATTATTGGAGTCAGACTGTCTTTCTGTTTGGTAATAATGAATTTTACCAGAGTCTTTTCCATGGACAGGATGTCTCTTCTCTAGCGTAAGATTTGACAGGGTCAGCTCAGGCTTGCCAGATGCTGGCCTTCAAAATTTTTATATAAGGTTAAGATGTCCCTGTCCAAGGAGCATACCAAGGTTTATTTTTCTCACACACTTACAACTGATAGAGTAAGATATGGGTAGTTTCTGTTGTCAACGCATCATCTGTAATTGTACATAATACAAACATGTGTGTCAGAATTGCTGACAACATCTATTTGTGATATAGTTATCTCACATAAATGGTAATCGTGTGTGCCAGCTGTTCTTTTCCAACCACGTAGCTGGATGTATTATTAGTATAATATTGAGTACAACTTAAGACATAGCTTGGGGCTATATTGTAAAAACTCTCAAACTTGTATTAATTCCTAATTATTCTTTCATATTTTTGACAAAATGTTAAGGAATTATACCTCTTTTTCTTTATAAAATCAAGCAAATTGGTATACTCTAGAGGTATTCTAACAGTTACTGAGGGAATTCTTCTATACATGTTAGTTGTATGTGTTGAATTTTTTTCGTGTTACAGAACTGTGAGGAACAACTTTCGCATCTGCCTGATCTCTAGTGACAGCGGTAAAATGTTTCAGCGACGGTGTAGAGAGTACCCAGCATTCACCAAGAATGTCAACTTTATATGGCTTCCCCATTGGTCCAAACTACAATTAGTGGAACACGCCCTTTATCACCTCAAAGGTCAGAGGTCACCTTTTAACATGTTGTCAATTTCTCATTTTTTTTGTCATCACCACCTTAAGTGGGAGATATGTGGTGTTAATGTAGCTATGCTATTATGTTATCCCATTATTAAGAACTTAATTTCATTGAAGGAGTTTTTGTTGAAGAATTTCAAGGTCAAGGTCATCATTACTATTTATAGACTATTGTTAAAGAAGTTATTTTGGTATACATGCATTTATGTGTTTATCAGATGTGAGCTGGATGACAGATGTGCAAAGAGAAAACATCGCCCATATGTTGGCTTCCATGCATTTAGTGCTGCGCCAACAAGATGGACAGGAAAAGGACTCTGGAGAGTATCGCCACATCACCAACACCACTTACGAAAAGTTTGTAGAGAGGTATGACATCATAATCTATTGTCATTATTGACAGGTTTTTACGATAAATATTTACATCATATTTACACCACAATATGAAAGGATAAAGATCTAGAAATTGATACATTGATATCAACAAAAAAATAAACATATCTGGTATGTGTCAAGAAACCTACACCTGCTAATATTTACGTGTCCACATTTACAGGTATATTTCCTTAGCCAGTACCAAACACAGGGAGGTGAATGAAGTTCATCAGGCTGTGACAAGTTCACTCAATCAGATACGACGTGAAAACGAGGTTGCCATTAAACTTCGTAAACAACAGGAGCACGAAATGATTGTTCTGGAAGAGAGGAAGGCTGTAAGTTCTTACATCATGTCATGGCTGATTTCTGATCACACTTCGATTGTCATTTTATAGATTCTTAAATCAGAGTTAATTCCAAATAACACAGTGGTTTATTTTATCATGGAGCTATGGTTTTACATGGTACAATGGTTTATTCATTAGAAATTATGGTTTATTTAACAGGGTTTCATGGTTTATTTTACACGGTACCATGGTTTATTTTACCAGGTTCTATGGTTTATTTCACTGGATATCATGGTTTATTTTACTGGAGATTATGGTGTATTTTACAGGGTACCATCAAGATTCTGTCTCAGATTGGTCAAGATACAGCCATAACAGAGCAGCAAATCAAAGTAGTGAAGGCTCAACTGGACAAGATCTCCAAACTCAAGAAGGTCAGTATACACTAAATAGTCATTATCAAATTAAGGCACCCATAAGCCAGGTGATTAAGATACAATGACTAGTAGTTTACTTATAAAGATAAAGCTTTATGGAAAGTTTTTCAGGACTTGAATAGAGCTACACTTGATTGACCTCTTGTCAGTAATTCAATATTGACTTTTTTTGCATTTGGTTTGCAGCTATTGCCTGAGTATCAGGTTGCTCATGAGCGTGCAGTGTACAAGGCCATAGCTATAGTGGCTGACACAAAGAAGGTTGTCCAGAGTATGAACAGTGAGAAGCTGGCTGAACTGCGGGGCATGAATAAGCCCATTATAGATATAGAGGACCTCATGACTGCTGTCATCATGATACGTAAGTCATTACAATCTTCATTGGGCACGATCCCTAGTGTAAATTACAGAGACAGAAAACACAGAATCAACCAAAATTTATTAAACAACTTTGTGACAAATATACGTATGACTGTGTTTCAGTGAAGACGCCATCCGCCGATCTTACATGGCAGAAGGGAGCTAAACGTCAGATGGCTAACCTCGAGAGGTAAGTCTGCTTTGAGGGAAAATCTTGACTGGCATCTCAGAAGCCTTGCTGTCAGGGTTTTGATTGATTTTACTACCTGCTGGAATCCATTCATTATAAAAAACCTCATTGACTCTGAATTGTTAACAGGATTTTCACATTTACTCGTTCTATGGAACTTCATTGACTCAGATTTTTCTCTGAGTCTTATTGACTCCGAGATCTGCTCTGGATTCTCATGTTAACTCATTCTTTGTAACATTATTTTCTCAGATTATTCTACAAGTCACATTGACTCATAAGTGTTCTCTGGATTCTCACATAACTCATCCTGTGAAACTTCATTGACTCAGATTTGAGCCACATCAAATCTCAATTTATTTTTCCTGTTTATTTTTATTGCTATGTATGTTTGCGTTGTAGAGCCAACCTTTGTCATTCCTGCCTCTAGGGAGTAACGCCTGATTTTTTTTATATATTCATAATGAAAGTAACATCACACCTTATCCAAAAGATTTTGAAATACCTAGAGTTAAAAACCATAATGTAAACCAAGGGTGAATTACAGTGTACATGATATGAGATATGTATTGTAGCATATGTAGGTTTCATGGAAAAATTATGTAATGCAAGTTCACAGGCTGAGTGAACAATATTTATTTATTTATTTACAATAATTGAAAACAAACTTTGATCAATCTGTATAGGTTTATTGAGGAGCTGACATCATTTGATGATAATCAACTGGCAGAGTCAACGCTAAACCTGGTCGAGCCATATCTAAAGAAACCTTCATTTGACCCAGATACTCTGGAGAGAAAGACTGGTAACTCAGCCTGTGGTTCTCTCTGTAAATGGGTCCGTGGAGTTGTCAGGTGAGCTGTGTAATTGGACTCTCATTTGTTTGTTTGTTTTAACCTTACTTTGGTCATGAATATTTAAGATGAACGAAATACTTTGTGATAAATAGGCTTAGTTTAGACAGCATCCATTAAGTATGCAATTTTCTGATTGGTTTACATCCAGAAATGTCATATCTAAAATTAAAATAGGAGATGAAGAAAACCCAGAAAAAGCATTTTTGACTTTGTTCTGAAAGAAGGCATTCAGAATTAAGATCAGATTTTGTTGATGTAATGGAATTTTCTTATTTTTAGTGAGATCAGTTAAAAGTGCATAACATGTATGATGCTCTGGTCGTTATTCCTTCCGTACAAATATCACTGTAGAATGATCTGTTTGTAGTTGATTCAGTACAGGTTTATCAGTTATTGATCTCTCAGTTATTGATTCACAACAGGTATCATCGTATGATGATATCAAAGGTTAAACCTCTCCACCAGAAGGTCGAGGAGACAACTCAGGCAGTGGATGATGCAGAACACAAGATGGCCACCTTAGAGAACAAACGCAAGGTGAGGGACTATGGATTTGGTGTAGAGTACAATTTATAGATAATATAATTTCTCACTTAGTATTAGCTAAAATAAATTGTGATTTTAGATCACAGTGAATAAGTCACATTTCATGTTGAGATAGCACAGGAAAAATACCAGCGATTCCTGTATGGTACTGTTATCCTACAGATTAAGTTACTGCGAAATGTACAATGCTAGCTGTATGGTAATATTTTATCATATCTTTAACAATGGAAGCACCATGTTTGTGATATGTCACCGGGACTCCAGTATCACATCCGTACCAGTACAATGATGTAGATATTGATGTAGACATTGACTACCCTGTATCTGATAGTATGATATGATGGTATTTCCAGGGTTTGGATGTCAGGTTGGACGATCTAGCTAAAGGTTTTGAGGAGGCAACTATAGATAAAAACGAACAAGATGAGAAGACTGTAAAGATGAAAAAGATGTTGGAGACTGCCGCTCAGCTGAGACGAGTAAGAAATATCACCTAACAGTATATACAATTACAGATTTGTCAGTTAGAACTCTTAATGAACAATGACAGTTCTTGTTTGGACAGAAAGCTGAGATCCCTGTGTATGTGTGTGTGTGTGTGTGTGTGTGTGTGTGTGTGTGGGTGTTATTTAACTGACTCTAGATCTCTATGTATGTGTAAATGTGTTATTTCATGGAGTCTAGATCTCTATGTATGTGTAAATGTGTTATTTAACAGACTTTAGATCTCTATGTATGTGTAAATGTGTTATTTAACAGACTCTAGATCTCTATGTATGTGTGAATGTGTTATTTAACAGACTCTAGATCTCTATGTATGTGTAAATGTGTTATTTAACAGACTCTAGATCTCTATGTATGTGTAAATGTGTTATTTAACAGACTCTAGATCTCTATGTATGTGTAAATGTGTTGTATCAGACTCTAGATCCCTGTGTATTTGTGTGTGTGTTATTTAACAGACTCTAGATCTCTATGTATGTGTAAATGTGTTATTTAACAGACTCTAGATCTCTATGTATGTGTAAATGTGTTATTTAACAGACTCTAGATCTCTGTGTATGTGTAAATGTGTTATTTAACAGACTCTAGATCTCTATGTATGTGTAAATGTGTTATTTAACAGACTCTAGATCTTTATGTATTGGTACGTGTGTGATTTAATTTATCTCTAGATCTCTGTGTATGTGTTAGTGTGCTATTTCATGGAGTCTAGACTGATATGTATGTGTGTTATTTAGCTGATACTATTTCTCTGTGTATGTGTTAGTGTGTGATTTATTTAACTCTAGATCTCTTTGTATGTGTAAGTGTGTTATTTAACAGACTCTAAAGGGCGAGCGACAGAGATGCCAGCAGATCTTCGACTCGTATGAGCGACGCATTATGTCTGTCCCTGGAGGATGTGCCATGGCTGCAGCACTGGCTACTTATCTTGGACCATACCATCATAATTTCCGCCGCATGATGCTCACTGTCCACTGGCCAAACTGCCTGCGTGAGCGTGGCGTACCTCTTGTGATTGACTCCATCGATGGACTCAAAGGTAAAACATGTCATGTCTCTGCAGGTCACTTAATGTAAAGCTAGTAAATTCTATTTTTGGGTTATCACACACTAGAAATCAGATTGGGTATGAGACTGGGGATCAGATGAAGGGTGTAAGGATAGTAATGTTTGCCTTTATCAGCATACCCTACATACGTCAAAATGACAAAACATCTCATCGGTTTTGTAAACTTTCAAAATAAGAGAACAATTGAATTTTTTACAAATGCACAATGAATTTATCAGATATTATACTGTACAATTTTGTTGCAAAGGCAACAGATGAAACATAGCTTTTCCAGGGGATGATAGAATCATGTTTCAGATTTGTTACAATATCATTTGATTTTGAATTGTCTAAAATGGAAATGTAATCGTTAAACAGAGGTTCTGTAACCTGGTTCTGGTACAGGACACCAGACAAAACTAATGTTTGTTAATTTGTCATCTGTACTCATCCTACACAACATAACACAACATTATTTCATGCTAGACTCATATAACAGGGTATATCTATAGTTCTCACTTGTGCTCTACACTACTGAAAGATATAGATTCTCTGTCATATTCATGAAATGTGTATAATATTAAAAAGAAAATCATTAAATATCTTCTATATAATAAAAAAATCCAAAGTAATTCATGAGCCTGAATGTGAGTATACCAGAAAAGTATGGCAGAAGTGTTACTGTCTTATTGAACTGAGATGTATTTGTTTCATTTTATCGTTGTTACCAGGTCGTGTGATTGACTGGTCCATTGACTTCCTCAGAACAGCAGCAGGAGCAAGCACTGTGTATGATATTGACTACACCTCAGCTTTAATGGGACCTACAGATATGGAGGACCAGCCTCTCACCAATCGCTCTGGCAAGGTCAGCTCTGCTTTCCAAAACTGACTGAAAATTAATAACAACTTGCTTACCAAAGTCATTGCATCGTAAATGTTCAGACTTAAAACATGCATTTTTAGTTTATTTTTCATTCACACATATAGTCTCATGTTACTGTTGACTGTAAAATGATACTTTGTTTCGTGTGGTGATGAGATGTTCAAACGCTGTTCGGGTGTTGAAGGTTTATTGCGATGTAGGCTATGTAGAGATGGAACACTCACATGCCTTCAGGAACCGATACATACTGGCTAGAAAGGTGGTCGTATTTATACTAGCCATGTTAATTAACTGATGAAGTACTAATACACATTAGCTAACAGGTAAACATGGATTGAAGTGTACATGAGTTGTCAACAAGGTCTTGCACACATAAATGGCAATAGATTCCGCTGTTTACAACAAGATTAAGTTACACTGATCACCATACAAACTGCTTAGATAGGCTTTAGGTAATGACTTATATAATCAGGGAACGAACAAATACAATAACATGCGTAGTAGATCAGTAACGACAGAATACCTCTGGCCACTGGTCGATACATAATTGTTCACAGTAGATGAACATGTCAAATCTGTAACACTCAGACATGTCAAAACTGAAAATGTCAACACTATATCACTCAGACATGTCAAAACTAAAACACTCAGACTTTTCAACACTGTAACACTCAGACATGTCAACACTGTAACACTCAGACATGTCGAAACTGAAAATGTCAACACTATATCACTCAGACATGCCAACACTGTAACACTTAGACATGTCAACACTGTAACACTCAGACATGTCAAAACTGTAACACTCAGACATGTCAACACTGTAACACTCAGAAATGTCAAAACTAAAACACTCAGATATGTCAACACCAGTGATATTTGGACTTCTTTTTGTAGACAAACAGTGAAGGAGGTGATAGAGAGAAGGAAAAGGATAGAACAGAGGAGGAGACTGATAACAAAGAAAAGGAAGAAGAAAAGGACAAAGAGGAAACAGGGGAAGAAAAGAAAGATGCAGAAAAGGAGTTGACAGAGAAAGAAGGACAGAACACAGAAGAAAAGGAAAAAGATGACTCTGATGAAAAGAAGGAGGAAGATAGTGATGTGAAGGAAGCGACAAAAGAAGAAAAGAAAGAAGAAGAAAAGAAAGGTCTGAATGAAATCTAGTATTGTCTCTGAAATGCCTGTACAACATTCATTTCTCGTTTAAGTGTAGCGTTTTCCATATCTTCTCAAGAACTTTTACAGTCATTTTGGGACTCCCACTTTTCCCAGTTATTAGAATCCTCTCTATCTCAAAGTATTGAGATTCTTACATTTACCGTTTAAGCATATATTGTAACTATTCTATCAGTCTCTTTTCCAAATCTGTATACATATACAATGTATCTTGATCCTTTCCATCTTCTCCGAAATATTGTGTTATATTTTGGTATTTTTGTAAAACAGTTGAGAAGTCATCGTCACCGCCTTTAGAGAAGACATCGACAAACTCGGGTGAATCAGGTCATGAGGGGCTTGAGAGGATCCAGGAGGAGAAAGATGAGGATAATGAGAGTCAGGTGACCTCATCGTCTGCCCCACTCCTTACTTCCACCCAGTACAACAAATATGTTGTCTCTCTTGTCAAGCTCCTGGTAGGGGAGAGGACTCTTAATGACTGGCTCCGCAAAGGTATAAACAATTTAATTGATATTTCTACCCCTAATGAGAAATGCAGGACTGGCTCCATGTTAATATTCCTTAGAAATATGTTTTACATATGTATAGATATAGATTTTATGGTAAATCATGAGCATCCAGCAGTATTAAAGACTTATGTCCTGTACTCTAGGTAGGTTTTGTTATGAGCATCATATTTTTTTAAATCAATGCAAACAATGAATTTTTTCATATAGAACAAAAGGCTGAATCGCACACTGCTATTTTTAGGATAACATGTCATATTTTTTTTTTTTTTTTTTAGAAAAGGGTTGCCAAGGCATAATTGCATGTAAATAATTCAATGCTGAGTATAAAAAAGTCATTATTTACTAACTGTGTGCAAGCATATTGTATCTAACTGTTTATCTTTGATAATTTTATGCAGATTTTGGACCAAGACAGATTGAAAATGCCGCTATCCTGTGTTCGTCTTGGCAGCGACCCCCCATGTTGATTGATCCAAACGGTGAAGGGTCAATGTGGCTCGGAAGACTCAACAAACTCATGAATAAAAAGAAGCTTGTTTCTCTAGATATGGACACCAGGTATAGTGTGCATTTTTATTGGTAATGATGATATGTATTATGAAAATAGAATATTCACTTACAAAATAAAATTAGAAAAAAGGTTTATAAAGATATTGAATTCTATACTACATTGACACAAAAACCAACTTGCATTCTTTAGGTATTGATCAAACATCTGAAACTTTTCATATTTTGTTCCATACAAATACAATTCTACATTTAGACTATAGGACTTCACAATTGTGTAATTACCTGTGTGTTATATCTATAACCTAAGTATATGTTGTGTGATTCATTATCACATTGATTAACATGTATTAAACATTATTATGTGTATCTTAAGTTTGAAATTGCTTTTAAATAAAAATAACTTTGTTATTACCTCTATCTGCTTTATGATAAACTTTAATATTTATCTCAGTGACTTAGCATCAAATTCTCACCTCAGTCAAACATTAACATATTTTCTGTTTGAAATAGTTTGATTTTGGAGATAATCTCATTGCTATTTGTTAAGTTTGATAAGATAACCCTGGACATGTCTCTGATTTTTTGGCTTGGCTCACTTAAAAGGTAAAACAATTAGTATGATAAATGTAATATTAATGTTATAGCCAGCTGCCTTTGTGTGGAAGTAATTGTAAGCAGGAAAACAATGACATCAACATATTTAGGAATAAAACCTCTGCTAATGTATTAGTGTTGTGTTAAAATTTCTAATCAGCTCTCTATTAACACAATATAATGATTCCCAATACTATAGATATGATAACTCCCAATATTATAGATATAATAACTCCCAATATTAAAGATATGTTAACTCCCAATATTATAGATATAATAACTCCCAATATTATAGATATAATAACTCAATATTATAGATATAATAATTCCCAATATTATAGATACAATAATTCCCAATATCATAGATAGAATAACCCCAATATTATAGATATAATAACTCCTAATGCTATAGATATAATAACCCCAATATTATAGATATAATAACCCCAATATTATAGATATAATAACCCAATATTATAGATATGATAACTCAATATTATAGATATAATAACTCCCAATATTATAGATATAATAACCCAATATTATAGATATAATAACCCCAATATTATAGATAAATAACTCCAAATATTATAGATATAATAACTCCAAATATTATAGATATAATAACTCCCAATATTATAGATATAATAACTCCCAATATTATAGATATATTGATCCCAATTACTGAAGATTTGATGACTTTTGCTATTGTAATTTTGATGTGATTCTAATACTGTTTATTTTCCTTTGCTGCCTTTGTGGACTGCCACTAATACTTTAATACAGATGGTATGTATATATTTATATGTCCTTTACTCTCAAACTTGCCGGTAGTGTGCTTGATCTACAAAGGTTCATTTAGTGTGATCCTCACAACAGTGCAGCATCCATCACATCATAATCTCTACTGCATCATTTCATGTTTTCTGTAGATACAATGTAGATACAATGTAGATGTACAGTAATATTTACAGTTCTGCATAGAAGTCAGAAGTCATTACACTGTCTGTCTGTCGGTCTCTCACACACACACACACACACACACACACACACACACACACACACACACACACACACACACACACACACATGAACCTTTAATATATTGTTCACACAAACACCTTTAATATTTTGTCCACATATGAACCTTTCATATTTTGTCTGCACATGCACCTTTCATATTTTGCCCACACATACATCTTTCATATTTTGTCAGCACATGCACCATTGATATTTTGTCCAGACATACCCCTTTAATATTTTGCCCACACATACACCTTTATTATTTTGCCCCTATATGTACCTTTTATGTTTTGTCAACACTTGTCTCTTTAATATTTGGTCCACACATGTACCATTAATATTTGTTTGCTACCTTAAGTTAACTAATCAGAAGTTATACATTTACTTGTATATTGTAGAAATGTTGACTGTGAAATGATGAAATAGTGGTCTGCCAGACAGAAAATTCTAAATCTATTTAATGGTGACCAGGGTTAAAGAATATATGCAATCATCCATGAAAGTTTTGTTATTGTTTCTGACATTTTGGTGTATGTCTCAGGAGTGTATGTATCAGGAGTCTTGGTTTCTTGAAGCTTATGGTTTGGGATCATGCATTTCAGGAGCATACATCTAAGATGTCTTAGGAATGTAATTCTAAGAATGTACAGCTCAGAAGTGCACAGCTATAGAGTGTACTTCTTAAAAGTGCACAACTGTGGAGTGTAATTCTTAAAAGTGTACAGCTGTGGAGTGTAATTCTTAGAAGTGTACAGCTGTGGGGTGTAATTCTTAGAAGTGCACAGCTGTGGAGTGTAATTCTTAGAAGTGTACAACTGTGGAGTGTAATTCGTAGAAGTGTACAGCTGTGGAGTATACATCTCTGGAGTGTACATCACTGAAGATATTGTCTTACAAATGTACATCTTGGGAGTGTCAATTTCAGGAACTGGAGTGTATTTCTTAAAAGTGTACATCTCTGGAGTGTTTGTCTCAGGAGCTTACATCTTAGGAATGTATATTTAAGGAATGTATGTAACACGAGCTTACATCTACGGAGTGTTTGTTTCTGGAGCACTGCAAAATCTCAAATACATCCATCTCAAGACTGTACAGCGCTGTGTAGTGTATGTCTCGGGAGTGTACATGTACATCTCAGAAGTGTACAGCACTCTGGGGTATATGTTTCGGGAGTGTACATCTCAGAACTGCACAGCACTCTGGGGTGTATGTCTCGGGAGTGTACATCTCTCAAATATTCATGGCGTATAGACCGTGTAAGTAGCTCAGTGTAACTGTTGTTGTTTATTGTTGACCCCTACTACTATAGAAAAGCAGTGTAATGGTAACTACATGTAGTTAACATCTTTATCCTGTTTACAGTTGGCACAGCAAGACCATACAAGGGTAACATTTCAGATATATATTTCTCCTCTTACATTCTCTACTAGAATTAACATTTTATATGTTTATTATCATTTTAGCAATGCAGGGGTGTAAAACAAATCAAAGAAGTTGTCTAGATAAAAAAGACCTAACAATATTACCTGATATCCAAATATCATTTCAATTCAGTCTGGAAAAAAACCAGTGAAATATATGCAGTGTATTTATAAAACCAGTAAAATAGGGTGATACAGTGTATTGATACAGTGTATTTTTTTAAGTTCATGAAAAAATTTATTCTGTAAAAGAATATTTTGGTTGGAAGTAATGAAGTGATGAAGAGTTAAATCATCTGACCTCTGTTTGACCACAAGGATGGGACTCAAAAGGGAAATTACATCTAAAATTATTTGTCATATTTGACATTCTTTGTCAAAAAGCTGAATAACTAAATTAGCCAGGTTAGTGATGCAGGCCCCTTGGGCCTCTTGTTTTCTTCACTAAGAACAGTTTTTAGACTACTTAATTAACAATTATGTTGTAAATTTTCAAGAAATGAAAAAAATGCCCATATGTCTTAAATGTTAAATAGTGTTTTCCGAATTTCATATTGCAGCGGCAATTTTTTTACTTGTTAATATCAGCCCCACGATCGGAAGAACCTGTCTTTTTTTCTTATTATTGTTTGAAGATATTTTAAAGTATATCTCACTTTCATCCATGTTTGTCTATCAGCTAAAGTTTGAAATATAGAGCAAACAAATGATTGAGAAAGAAATACTTAACCCTAGTATATTAAACACTGGTTGGTCCTGTATCTGACATGTGGCTTTTTACATCCCTGTATTGTATATATTTCTTTATTTATTTATCTATTCATTTATTTATTTAACAGGTTTTACATCTGCTATTATACACTTTTAGCAGAATATACTTGTTACATTCCCCTACTACTATCTATACTTGTATCCTTGTTCTTGGCAATGTTGTACCTGGCTCTCGGCTCATTATCACAAAAGTCTCTTTTTTTTTTTCTACAAAATCTCATGGGATGTAGTTTCCTTATTCTGGATATTGAAAACTTTACTGTTACACTATGATCAACATTGTGAGTTTTCTTTACCATGGTTTAAACATGGATTGTCTTTATGGATGATCTTTTGGAAGTAAAACAGAAACTAAGAAGTCAACAAAAACACTTGTTTAAAGTAACTGACATAAGAATAACATCTTTTATAGGAATCCACGTCACATAAGACATAGTCTACTGTGCACTATAACCAGAACCAGAGACGTATATAACACATGTGTTATATATGTCTCTGCCAGAACATAGCTAGATTAGGGAAGGTTTTAATAGGGTTGGTACAGTACAAAGATTTTTAAGGAGAATATTAGGAACCACTGCGTTTGAAAGAGTAACAGAAGTTTTAACAAGGTTTTGATGTTTAATGATCACAGTAACGTTACATCTTGGGTCATTGGAAGAGTGAGGAAGTTTAAGCTTTAACTATTGTAGACTTGTAGTTGGAGGGTATCATTTGTATATAAGACATATAAAGATATATATAAAAGTAAAGAACTTATTAGGGGGAGGAAAACATTGAGAAAAATATCATTTTTCTTTTACTGTAGATGTAGTAGCAAAGTGATTGACTTTACAATGAAGCCTGGGTCATTATGAAGGAAACCTATCATCCATATACAAATATGTACTTGGACAATTAAGTTACAAAGTTATCAATTTTTTTCAATGACACAAAAACAATATTCAGGACTCATAATGAGGTACGGTATCAACAAGCCAATAGCAGAAGACAACTTTGGTAAAGATTCCCTGTGATAAAATCTTCTTTTACCCCTTGGTGATTTGACATAAAGACATGTGAAAATCAGATAGTTTCTCTGTATTCTTCAGACCTGGGAATTTAGTCTCAGCTCTCGTCTAATACTTCTATACAGACCTGGGAATTTTGTCTCAGCTCTCGTCTAACACTTCTATACAGACCTGGGAATTTTGTCTCAGCTCTCGTCTAACACTTCTATACAGACCTGGGAATTTTGTCTCAGCTCTCGTCTAACACTTCTATACAGACCTGGGAATTTTGTCTCAGCTCTCGTCTAACACTTCTATACAGACCTGGGAATTTTGTCTCAGCTCTCGTCTAACACTTCTATACAGACCTGGGAATTTAGTCTCAGCTCTCGTCTAACACTTCTATACAGACCTGGGAATTTTGTCTCAGCTCTCGTCTAACACTTCTATACAGACCTGGGAATTTTGTCTCAGCTCTCGTCTAACACTTCTATACAGACCTGGGAATTTTGTCTCAGCTCTCGTCTAACACTTCTATACAGACCTGGGAATTTTGTCTCAGCTCTCGTCTAACACTTCTATACAGACCTGGGAATTTAGTCTCAGCTCTCATCTAACACTTCTATACAGACCTGGGAATTTAGTCTCAGCTCTCATCTAACACTTCTATACAGACCTGGAAACTTAGTGTCAGATAGCTCTCATCTAACACTTCTATACAGACCTGGGAACTTAGTGTCAGATAGCTCTTATCTAATACTTCTATACAGACCTGGGAACTTAGTGTCAGATAGCTCTCATCTAACACTTCTATACAGACCTGGGAACTTAGTGTTAGATAGCTCTTATCTAATACTCCAATACAGACCTTGGAATTTATCGTAGTGTCAGACAGCTCTCGTCTAATACTTCTATACAGACCTGGGAATTTAGTCTCAGCTCTCATCTAACACTTCTATACAGACCTGGGAATTTTGTCTCAGCTCTCGTCTAACACTTCTATACAGACCTGGGAATTTAGTCTCAGCTCTCATCTAACACTTCTATACAGACCTGGGAATTTAGTCTCAGCTCTCATCTAACACTTCTATACAGACCTGGGAATTTAGTCTCAGCTCTCATCTAACACTTCTATACAGACCTGGGAATTTAGTCTCAGCTCTCATCTAACACTTCTATACAGACCTGGAAACTTAGTGTCAGATAGCTCTCATCTAACACTTCTATACAGACCTGGGAACTTAGTGTCAGATAGCTCTTATCTAATACTTCTATACAGACCTGGGAACTTAGTGTCAGATAGCTCTCATTAACACTTCTATACAGACCTGGGAACTTAGTGTTAGATAGCTCTTATCTAATACTCCAATACAGACCTTGGAATTTATCGTAGTGTCAGACAGCTCTCGTCTAATACTTCTATACAGACCTGGGAATTTAGTCTCAGCTCTCATCTAACACTTCTATACAGACCTGGAAACTTAGTGTCAGATAGCTCTTATCTAATACTTCAATACAGACCTTGGAATTTATCGTAGTGTCAGACAGCTCTCATCTAACACTTCTATACAGACCTGGGAATTTAGTGTCAGACAGCTCTCATCTAATACTTCTATACAGACCTGGGAACTTAGTGTCAGACAGCTCTCATCTAACACTTCTATACAGACCTGGGAACATAGTGTCAGACAGCTCTCATCTAATACTTCTATACAGACCTGGGAACTTAGTGTCAGACAGCTCTCATCTAACACTTCTATACAGACCTGGGAACTTAGTGTCAGACAGCTCTCATCTAATACTTCTATACAGACCTGGGAACTTAGTGTCAGACAGCTCTCATCTAACACTTCTATACAGACCTGGGAACATAGTGTCAGACAGCTCTTGTCTAATACTTCTATACAGACCTGGGAACTTAGTGTCAGATAGCTCTCATCTAACACTTCTATACAGACCTGGGAACTTAGTGTCAGATAGCTCTTGTCTAATACTTCTATACATACCTGGGAACTTGTATCACACAGCTTTCATCAATTACTTTTGTTCAATATCACTTTTCTCTCAATCTTGCAGAATAGTTACCAAAACTCAAATTAAGTAAGTTACATCACTTTTTCCTCATAAGATTAATTTGAATGTTGTTAGCAGTATAATTATAAACATCTTAACAAGTAGACTAAATTGATAATTTTCATTTTAATTTTATCAAACATTTCATGCCCTTTAGTGAAATGGTTATAATTTCATGGATTTGTGATTAAATTTAACATAAAATAATTGATAAAATGAGTAGAGACAAGTTTAGCCAATGGTAGTATTTTAATGATGACATGCTGATGTACTTTCATTGTAGCAATTAACATTTTTGTTTCATTAAGACTTAATGTTGGATGTATTGTAGTTAGAGGAACAAAATACCAAAATTTTTAAAAAGAATTTCTTGCATGATGTTATATTTCCTTTGTCATTAGATGGTTCTTGTAGGATAGAGATTTTTCTTTCATTTGCATGATTTACATTCAATGCATGAATATAGCTTACATTAACAACACAACCTGTAATATTATATTGCACTCTTTGTATTACCTGTGGCAATTGACATCATGTACTATATACTTTGATGTAGTTCATTAATTAAGGCTGTATTAAGATAACTGATTCATTTCACTCTATTTCAAGTAAAGACATCTTGTAACATTAAGATTGAGAAGTGGCAAGAGCAGTGTAGCCTCACTGAGAAATATGGTTAGATATTATGCAAGTCACATAGCAAAGTTTGAGGAGAAATAAAAGGTAGACAACTCAAATGGTAAAGTTTGAGGAGAAATAAAAGGTAGACAACTCATTGTAAAGTTTGAGGAGAAACAAGTGTAGATAACTCACATTGTAAAGTTTGAGGATAAATCAGGGTAGACAACTCACATTGTAAAGTTTGAGGAGAAATCAGGGTAGACAACTCACATCATTAAGTTTGATGAGAAATCAGGGTAGACAACTCACATCATTAAGTTTGATGAGAAATCAGGGTAGACAACTCACATCGTAAAGTTTGAAGATAAATCAGGGTAGACAACTCACATTGTAAAGTTTGAGGAGAAATCAGGGTAGACAACTCACATCATTAAGTTTGATGAGAAATCAGGGTAGACAGTTCACATCGTAAAGTTTGAGGAGAAATCAGGGTAGACAGTTCACATCGTAAAGTTTGAGGAGAAATCAGGGTAGACAACTCACATTGTAAAGTTTGAGGAGAAATCAGGGTAGACAACTCACATTATAAAGTTTGAGCAGAAACAAGGGTAGGCAACTCTCACTTCTTAGTACAACTGTTAATGTTAAATAAGCAGCCTTCCTTTGATAGGAGACAATCAGGGAAAGTTAATAGTAGATATTTTAATGATTTTAAGATAAAGGATTTAATGGTTGAACACTGTTTTTTTCATCACTTAAAGCTAAATTCTTCCCATTTATCTTTTTCATTTCCTGTCTATTATTGTATATTGTCTTTATTGAAATTATAACTAAATAGATTTTTTTTCTTCTTGGCAGTAATGAACTTTTTTACATGATATCAAAATTGCTCATTGAGATTTCCTAAGGAAAGAATTCTCCAAGAGTACTGGTAATGGTAAATGTTCATGAAATCAGTACATGCATTGCATTAATTTGATTTGCAGGACAGACCCACATGTCATTATGACTCTGGAGAAAGCAATCATGCGTGGTAAACCAGTGTTGCTGAGTAACTGTGAGGAACACATTGACAATATCATCACACCTCTCATGCATCATCGGAACACTGCTAATGAGAATGATTGTGATGAAGGTCAGTCTATTGGAACTGATATGGTTTGAGGATGTATTTAGTAATTAATTTAATTATTAATTTTACAAGGAGCAAAAAACATAAAATACTGAATTAGATCTCTTCTGTTATCAATTATACTGACACTAAAGTAATGGTTATATATAACATAAATGATATTGAAAAGAGATTCATTCAAAGTCACCACTTCTTATTTATTTATTACAGAGCCACGCATGATCCGATTCTGTGGCCGACGAGTTCTCTGTCACCAAGACTTCAGGTTCTATCTGTCAGCACCACTGGCCAAGCCAAAATTCAATCCAGAAATCGCATCTGGTACAACCCTCATCAACTTTGGTGTGTCACACGACACACTGACAGAGGATTTGTTGACACGTGCGTTTGCGCGGATGCGCCCTAAACTGTTTAAAGAGCGTATGCTAGCATTAAAAAACATGCAGTTACAACGTGACACACTGTTGCATCTGTCTGAAATTGTCAAGGACCGCATTCTCACACAGCAAGAGGCTATGCTAGGGAGTGCCAAAGCCCTCAAGTTCATCACTGACATCACTAATGCTAAGATGGAGGTAAGGTGTTAAGATTTCCTACCCTGTCTACAAATACTTCCTGGACTGTATCAGGATTGCATGCTTAGACAGTTCTCTACAATCATCTTTTTTTTTTAGGCACAGAATCTTAGAATTATGTCCTTGTTTTATCTAAAGACTTGATGCTAAACTTTGTCTATCCACATTCCTTTTACAATGGGAAAAGTTAAGTATAATTATACCTGATCAATGATTTGATCATTTATACAACTGATGTATGATTTATAACAGACTGAAGACTATTCCAGGGCTCTCAATCTGCCAGATTTGGGGCTGATTCCCGATGCAAAATAGTTTTTTTTTTCCCCCAATTTAGACCAGAAGTTTTCCCAATTCTAAGGAAAACACCATTATTTTTCCCAATTCTAAGGGCCCCGGGCCCCAGTGCCAAAATGGGGTGTGAGAGCCCTGTATTCAGCACTCCATACAGCTATAACCACTGATGATTTTGTGAGAGTGTATATCTGTATGTCTCACTGCTGTTGATATTCTAGTTGGCCAATCAGCTGACGGAGACACAGACCTTGCTCACAGACCTTGACGACCTCAAGGATGAGTTGTTTCCTCTGGCTCGAAGAGCAGCCATGCTGTTTGCAATCTTGCGCTCTCTCCAAAGTATTCATAATGAATACCAGTTTACACTGCGCTACTTCATGGAGCTTTTTGATGAAGCAGTTGGAGGAGAGGTGCCCAAGGAGTTCTGGGAAGATGATGATGAAGGGGTGAGTGTACTATATGTCTATATTAATTCATTTCTTAGGTTTGTGTTGTTTTGTGTACTGTGGTAGACAGCAGTAAACATTTGAGTCTGGCCAAAGATGTTATGCATATGGGTTGAATTTTGAATAATTGGTAAAAGTTTTTTTATAATATCTTGTACCATCAGGGTTATGAGGATGCTGACGACCAGAGTAGCGTAGATTTAGAAAAGAAGCGTCGGACAGGGAGTACATCATCTCATGCTTCAAAAGACAGTGCTACTGCTGGTGCGCAAACCACCGAAAAACAGTCCAAGTCAGAAAAGGACAAGACAGAGGGTGATTATGATGCTGATTTTGAGGGTGACAGTCATGTACAGAGTCAACAACAAGCTACCACAGAAGGTAAACATCACCAACACTGTGTCTTACTCTAGAATTCAGTATAAAACATATATGTTGTTCAGGGGTTTTAGGTAACTGAGCATTAAACTCAAGTAAGAGGCCTTCTAGAGGGTAGCTCATCAAAAACCTTGGACCATGCCTAAACCAGAGTGGCTCTTGTTCCATAGGCAACATTTTGTAGTAGATGTAAGTTTTACATTGGAGATTTAAGGAAATAAAATTACTTCAATTTTTGGTAGTTCTCTTTCTATGAGGAATCAGACAGCTTGCTTATGGACACTACAATTTGGAGCAAACCAAATGAGCATTTAGAGCTTTGTTCATTAAAACTATCCATACATTTGTGTATTGTGATTGTTAACTCACAAATCATTTTAACAGAGTTACAACAATGCATCCGTTTGTCACTTAAGGAAGTGTTGTGTCACCACACAAGTCACATGGTTTGTGATTCAAGGATGTGTTGTGTGACCTCCTCAACCACATGGGTTTTTCTATTGAGGATTTGTTGTGTCACCACTCAAATCACATGGTTTGTGACTCAAAGATGTGTTCTGTAACCTCCTCAACCACATGGATTTTTCTATTGAGGAATTGTCGTGTCACCTGCTCAACCACATCGGTTTGTCACTTGAGGATGTGTTTTGTAACCTCCCCAATAACTTGGGTTTGTCACCTAAGGATGTGTTCTGTCACCTCCCCAACCATACGGGTTTGTCTCTCAAGGATGTGTTCTGTCACCTCCCCAACAATAAGGGTTTGTCTCTCAAGGATGTGTTCTGTCATCTCCCCAACCATACGGGTTTGTCTCTCAAGGATGTGTTTTGTAACCTCCCCAACCATACGGGTTTGTCTCTCAAGGATGTGTTCTGTCATCTCCCCAACCATACGGGTTTGTCTCTCAAGGATGTGTGTTTTGTCACCTAAGGATGTGTTCTGTCACCTCCCCAACCATACGGGTTTGTCTCTCAAGGATGTGTTCTGTCACCTCCCCAACAATACGGGTTTGTCTCTCAAGGATGTGTTTTGTCATCTCCTCAACCATACGGGTTTGTCTCTCAAGGATGTGTTTTGTAACCTCCCCAATAACATGGGTTTGTCACCTAAGGATGTGTTCTGTCACCTCCCCAACCATACAGGTTTGTCTCTCAAGGATGTGTTCTGTCACCTCCCCAACCATACGGGTGTGTCTCTCAAGGATGTGTTCTGTCATCTCCCCAACCATACGGGTTTGTCTCTCAAGGATGTGTTCTGTCCCCTCCCCAACAATACGGGTTTGTCTCTCAAGGATGTGTTCTGTCATCTCCCCAACAATACGGGTTTGTCTCTCAAGGATGTGTTCTGTCATCTCCCCAACAATACGAGTTTGTCTCTCAAGGATGTGTTCTGTCATCTCCCCAACAATACGGGTTTGTCTCTCAAGGATGTGTTCTGTCATCTCCCCAACAATACGGGTTTGTCTCTCAAGGATGTGTTCTGTCATCTCCCCAACAATACTGGTTTGTCTCTCAAGGATGTGTTCTGTCACCTCCCCAACCATACGGGTTTGTCTCTCAAGGATGTGTTCTGTCATCTCCCCAACCATACGGGTTTGTCTCTCAAGGATGTGTTTTGTAACTTCCCCAATAGCATGGGTTTGTCACCTAAGGATGTGTTCTGTCACCTCCCCAACCATACGGGTTTGTCTCTCAAGGATGTGTTCTGTCACCTCCCCAACAATACGGGTTTGTCTCTCAAGGATGTGTTTTGTCATCTCCTCAACCATACGGGTTTGTCTCTCAAGGATGTGTTTTGTAACCTCCCCAATAACATGGGTTTGTCACCTAAGGATGTGTTCTGTCACCTCCCCAACCATACAGGTTTGTCTCTCAAGGATGTGTTCTGTCACCTCCCCAACCATACGGGTGTGTCTCTCAAGGATGTGTTCTGTCATCTCCCCAACCATACGGGTTTGTCTCTCAAGGATGTGTTCTGTCCCCTCCCCAACAATACGGGTTTGTCTCTCAAGGATGTGTTCTGTCATCTCCCCAACAATACGGGTTTGTCTCTCAAGGATGTGTTCTGTCATCTCCCCAACAATACGAGTTTGTCTCTCAAGGATGTGTTCTGTCATCTCCCCAACAATACGGGTTTGTCTCTCAAGGATGTGTTCTGTCATCTCCCCAACAATACGGGTTTGTCTCTCAAGGATGTGTTCTGTCATCTCCCCAACAATACGGGTTTGTCTCTCAAGGATGTGTTCTGTCATATCCCCAACAATACGGGTTTGTCTCTCAAGGATGTGTTCTGTCATCTCCCCAACAATACGGGTTTGTCTCTCAAGGATGTGTTCTGTCATCTCCCCAACAATACGGGTTTGTCTCTCAAGGATGTGTTCTGTCATCTCCCCAACCATACGGGTTTGTCTCTCAAGGATGTGTTCTGTCACCATGCCAACCACATTGATTTGTCCACCTGTGTTCATAAAGGCCTGCAAGTATGATTGAAAAACTTTATAATTTTTTGGTAAAATAGATACCACTGAAGTAGCTGATTACCTAACACTGTGCCCATATTTATTTGTTTTATAAGGTGATGAATCAGCTAGCACCGCTGCTGCCCAGAAGCTAATAGCAGGATCCGAGTCAGAAGAGTTACCTCCCCTTGAGATCCCAGAGACCACCACATTGCCCTCAGAGGGTGTGGAATATGACAACCTTTCAGCCAATGAGATCAAAAAGATCATGGACCAACTAACTGGACTGGTGTACAGGAGAATTAGAGAGTTTGTATATTATCATATCCTGATTGCTTCTTACCTAAATACCATCATAATGTGAAAATTTAGAACAGATTAATTATCTGATTTAGGAGTCATGTATACCTACATCTATAAAGATGTTGTATATATGCATATATACATCAAAATGAAGTGTATACATGTGTATATGATGTTATTACAAAAACACTTTATCCGTTAATGTTACTTTTTAGTTAATATTGCAATTTCTTCAATCTCAGTTTTCTTCCCTATTTATTCAATGTTACCCAATTTATGACAATGTCACATACTTTCATTTGGGGAATGTTTATTATAACTTCTTTCCTGTGACAATTGCAAGAAGATACAGGTAAATCACAGGTTAATGAGGAAAAGAATGTTAACTATGGACTCATGCCCTCAGAGCCATGAATCACACGTTTACATGTTGTGTAAATATTCACACATCACAATTGTCAGATCCAGTATTAGGTTCAGGAAAGTTACATTTGGTGCATTTGTTTTAAATTCTTACTGCTATCCAAGTTTAGTTGATTATTGCTATTTGTGATTGCTAAGTTTTTCAACACGGTGCTGTAAATTCAAGAAGAGAATTATGCATATCAGGATTTATTTCAAAACAACAAATATGGTTTATCAATTTTGAGTCAAATTCTATGTAATTTATGGTAATTATATTTGCTTCTTACAATGACCAATTTAACACCAAATCACAACAAACAGATCTGTCAAAGTGAAAATTACATTTTTCACCATCATTAATACAAAACTGAAGATGTTAAGATAAGATGGAAATTTTACACTGTCAAGTCTGGATTGACCGGATATAGAAAACTAGTATGTCTGACTGGCTCAGTCACAGGGCACTTGTATCAAATATTGTTGGTCACAATATCAGAACATCAACATTTTGCATATTTTTTCTTCTGACTAATGAACATGATATAAAGCAGTTTTTACTGTATAAATATTTCACTGTAATATTATGTGTTGTTTGACAGGAGTCTATATGAGGAAGATTGTCTGCTGTTTACTACACTTCTCACGCTCAACATACAGGCAGAGGGTATGGAGAACTTCTCTAATGAAGAAATGTCACTACTGTTACAAGGTAAACACAGAGGAAAACAAAGCAAAGTTTCCGATTCATTATTAGGTCATCTGATTCAAAGGATTAAGATGATAAGGCATCAATGTTTCAAATTACTTCTTCTCAATAATCAAAAGGCCCAGGGTACTGATATTGGGACTGAAGCATGAAGTAGGGCTACCAAATTATTAATATGAATGACCTTGACCAACATTCAAGGTCACAGGTGTCAGATGTGTTAAGATATCTAAACAACTTCTTCTCAATAACCAAAAGGCCCATGGAGCTGATATTGAACCTGTAGCATGCTGAGATCAGGAGTTATCAAATTTTTGAGAATGATTCACCAGTGACAAATATGTCAAAATTTTAGATAACTAAAATGCCAGGGGTGTTAATATTGGCCCTGTAGCATACTGGGATGGAGGGCTATCAAGTTTCTTAATATGGATGACCTTAATCCATTTTCAAGGTTAAAGGGGATCAATGTGTAAAAATCTTTAAACGACTTCTCACCACTAACCAAAAGCCAAAAGTACTGATACTTGGCCTGTAACATGCTGAGGATGAAGAGCTATCAAATTTGGTCATATTATTGACCTTGATTATCTTTCAAGGTCACAGGTGTCAAATATGTCAAAATATTTAAACACCTTCTAAATAATCAAAAGGCTGATGGTGCTTATATTGAGCCTTTGACATGCTGGGATGAAGGATTACCAATTTTTTTATGTAACTGACCTTTTCTCTTTTTAAAGGTCACTGGGTCAAATGTGCCAAAGTCTTCAAATAATTTCTTCTCAATTTACATTGTTTGATGAAAGGCTACCAAATTTATTTAGATAAATGACCTTGACATTTTTTTCAAGGTATCTTAGGTCAAATGAATTGAGATCTTAAAATACCTTTTTTTAACAAACAATAGGTTCGGAGTAATGGCATTTGTGTATATTAAGAATATAATTTCAAGTTTGCATCAAATGTTTTTATGAACCAATAATATCTTCTTTGTAAGCTGTAGAGCAGTAGAAAAATTCTTATGCCTGTTTGGCCTCTTGCATATATAGGTCCTTATAGTTAGATGACCATAGAGGCCTGTGGACCTCTTGTTACATCCATCTTTGACCATTATATTACCAAGTCATATATGAGAGATGAAAATGTTCAACATTTTGCCCAATTTAAATCACAATTTAGTAATGGTGCAAACTTTCCAATTTCCTATACACAGGAACCACAAAACTAAGTTTGAACATACCAGGTATATCTGTCAAATATGTCTATTATATGCTGTGAGCCTGCATTTCTGTGAACTTTGACTTTACAGGTAACCCTGGCCTAGGGATGCAGCTGACCTTGGAGGACTTTGACTGTAAGGATAATCCTCCAGATTGGATGCCTCAAGAGAAATGGGAGGACATGATGGCCCTGTCTGTCCTGCCTGGGCCATTAGATAGTCTCTGTATCAACCTGGCTCAGAATTCAGAAGGCTGGCAGGCCTGGTACAAAACAGATCATCCAGAAAAGGAGGCTCTCCCTCTGACTCCTGTGGAGGGCGAGGCCTCTATAGGTAAGTTACAAAAAACATGAACAAATAATAAGTAACAAGTGAAAAACCTATATATTTGAAGAGATGATTATTGTATGTATCCCCTGATTTTACCAAATGTAAAGAATCAACTTCATGGAACTTTTACCACATCTAGGTCCAATAAGGCTAGAATGTAACAGAATAGTTAAATAAGAGCCTTTTTTCAAAACAAATGTCATGATGATTTTTAATGATTCCTGTGTTACAGAGAACCGACCTGGATCTAGTGGTAGTAAGAACAGTCGTGGCAGGGGCTCCAAGTCTCCAGATCTTGGCCCCTTATCTGATTTCCACCAGCTTTTGTTGCTGCGGATGCTGCGGCCTGATCGTCTCCCAATAGCCCTCGTCCGCTATGTCAATAAACACCTGACCTTTAACCTTCCCAACCAATCTGACTTCCGCATACAAGATGTCTTGAAGGATGCAAAGCGCCACCTAGGTGTGCTACTCTTGCTGCCACCTAGTGCCACAAATGGAACAAAGAACCCATCATCGCGTCTCAGTCTGACTCATCCTCCTGTTGATGTACTTATTCGTATGGCTGAGGTGAGTATTGTGCATCCTATTGATTTACTCATTTATATGGCTGAGGTGAGTGTGACACATCCCTCAGGTAATGTACTCATTTGTATGTCTGGAGCGAGTATGGTGCATCCCTCCATTGATGTACTCATTTGTATGTCTGGAGCATGTATGGTGCATCCCTATATTGATGTGCTCATTTGTATGTCTGGAGCGAGTATGGTACATTCCTCCACTGATGTACTCATTTGTATGGCTGGAGCGAGTATGGTGCATCCCTCCATTGATGTACTCATTTGTATGTCTGCGGCGAGTATGGTGCATCCCTATATTTATGTACTCATTTGTATATCTGGAGCGAGTATGGTGTATCCCTATATTGATGTACTCATTTGTATGTCTGGAGTGAGTATGGTGCATCCCTCCTTTGATGTAATCATTTGTATGTCTGGAGCAAGTATGGTGAATCCCTCCAGTGATGTATTCATTGGTATGGCTGGGGTGAATATGATAGTTTGCTACCTCTCATCTGGCCTAGTCAAATAACCCCAGTCTAATCAGGCTCAGTGTAAAAGCCACTTCAGCACTAGAAAAAATTGTTATTAATACCATATCTGTATTGCCATAAGGCCATTGGGATAACATTCTGGATTATTGCTAGGTGGGCTAATCACAGGTCAGTGCAGCTGCCTTTGTAATTTTACTAAATAGAAGTCAGTGGATTTATTTTGAGATGAATATGGTTTAATTATGGATTATGGTTGTCCAAAACAATTTGAAAGGTTGATAGTATGTTTGAAGGATGCATGAAGTATCTATGGAAAAGATGATCATGTTAATGCACTTATAATACTTACAAACACACACTTCTGTTTGTCCACCATTTTATTCACAGACTACTTGAGACAAAGCTATCTTCAATCAGTAAGAGTAATGTACAGGGGAGGTAATAAGTAAATGGAACATAGTAAGGATTATCTCCCTTATCTCATTATAGTAGATTAACAGATCATTGCTTTAAACAAAAGCTAGTATGGACCTTGTCACTGATGACTCTATTTGTTTTGTACACCAGTCTGTCGGAGCCAAGGTTGAACATGTACGTGTTGGGGAGGGATGTGAGATCCTCGTGGATGAAGCAATCGATAGTGCAGAGAAGAACGATGGCTGGGTAATCATTGAAGACCTTCATCTCTCTCCAAAAGGCTTCTTCAATGAGCTAAAGAAACATCTTGTCCGAATGGCCAGGGCTAGAAGTAAGTCTGGGATTCTAACAAGCTACGGATTTCATTAACAAGACCTCTGTGTTCTAAAATAAGTAATTGACAAATCAGTCAAAAATTGAAGGCTTTTTTTCTCATTATGAAAAAAGACAATATACCCTATTAATTTAAATTTGTTAGATTGAAAACAGATTAACCATTGTGAATTCCCTTATACAAAAATGTAGGGATGATTTACATAAATGTTTTTTTACACTGACAAACCTGAGTGTACTGTTTATATTTGTTGTTTCAGATAACAACAAGGAAGAAAACAAAGGGGAAAGCCAGTTCTGTGTTTGGGTCACTTCTGAACCATGTGACCAGATCCCTGATTTCCTGTTGAGGAACTTACACAAGCTGGCGTGGAACCACATGACAATGGATGTGGTAAACAATGATCTACCACCTCCACACAAAGCTGATGATGCCGATGTTGGGGGAGGGCCTTTTAGACTTACCTATAGGTCACCTCACTCCTACCTACACACAGGTAAGATATTTACCTACATATAGTTAACATAAGTATGCACACATAGGTAAGATATTTATCTACACACAAGGAATACTTGTCCATAAGCACCAGTAACATATTTACCACTAGGTAAGATATTTATCACCAGGTAAGTTATTTACCACTCAGGTTAGATATTTACCACTCAGGTAAGCTATTTACCACCAGGTAAGATATTTATCACCAGCTTAGATATATACCACTCAGGTAAGATATTTACCACTCAGGTAAGATATTTACCACCAGGGAAGACCACTCAGGTAAGATATTTACCACCAGGTAAGATATCTATCTACACAAGGGAAACATGCACCTATACAAAGGTAAAATATTTACCCACACACACATGATACATGTACTTACCCAAAGTAAGGTATTTACCTACATACTGGTAAGATGTGTGCCTACACAATGTAAGATATACTTAACAAAAAAAGAAAGGTAACACTACTTTATTCTGTGATTAATTAACCCCTTCATAAATCCTTACCAATCATTTACGAATAAAGTAATTGATAAGTCCTGATAAAACTGCAGTCATGGTTCATTATAAAACTTTGCGTTCAGTTGATTTTATTCGACTGTAAAGGACGTTGGGGTCAATTTCAAAGGTAACACCATTAGTAACGGGTATGGCCACCATTTGCGAAGTAAACAGCATTGCAGCGTCGTCGCATGGAACTCGTACGAGGAGAGATGTTGTTCCATTCAGTGATCAAGGCTTGGGCCAGCTCCTGCAAGTTTGACGGCTGATTTTGACGTTCTCTCACGCGTCGCCCAAGAACGTCCCAGACATGCTCAATCGGTGACAAATCAGGTGATTTAGATGGCCAATCCAACACCTGTACGTTATTCTGCTGCAAGAAAGTTCTGCTGACGCGACTGGTGTGCGCTGGTGCGTTATCCTGTTGAAAATGGCGCCAAAGCCATGGTGTCTTAAGAATGGCAGAACCACTGGTCTTAAAATTTCGTCCGGATATCGAATGCCGGTTAAATTGCCATTTAACACAACAAGCCTGGTACGAGTCCCCCCACAAATACCACCCCAAACCATTACACTTCTGCCGCCAAAGCGGTCCCGTTCTGCGACGCAGCAGTTCGCAAAACGCTCCGCGTGACGCCTCCACACTCTGCGCCTTTCGTCACCGTGTTGTAGATAAAACCGGGACTCATCTGAAAACAGAACATTGCTTCATTGTCGTTAGGCCCAACGACGGTGAACACAGGTCCAGTTACGTAGGTTATTACGGTGACGTCACAACAAATTGGGTCCAGTGTAGGGACGCCGCGCTTTCAATTGATAGGCCCTCAACCTGTTGTGGACTGTTTGGGGAGACACATGACACCCAAACAATGTCCTTGTAGTCTCTACTGCGGTTACGAATCGATTGCGCAAGTGTATCATTTGTATACGACTGTCATCCCTGGCGGTCATTTTACGGGGTTGGCTGCTTTGGGGACGATCGGATGTTGACCCAGTTTGGTTTAAACGACTTACCAACTGGCAAATTGTCTTAACACTGCAACCGAAATGCTGTGTAACTCGACAGCGAGACTCCCCAGCCTGGATCATGCCTACAGCCCTTTCTCTCTGTACTTGTGACAGCTGGGGCATAATGATAGTTGATAGATAGCAAGATTCAGTGATTTCTAAGTCCTAAGGATCTAAGGAACAGTTGTCAATTTCCATGTTTATGAAATTCAAGCGAAGATACAAGTTAGTCGCAGGAAACCTCGTGCAGCTCTTTCGCTAATACGGTCTTTCATGCTTTAATGATTTTAGTAACCCCCTTGGATTTTGTAATGTAAAACATTACCATTTTCTAATATTGCACAAACGTCATTTTGTTTTCACTTATTTACAGGTATTCGCCAAGGAAACATGTTAACCTTTCTTTTTTTGTTGAGTATATATATTTACACACATAGTTTTTACCTGAAGATAAAATTCATTTAATGTTTTTTTTCATGTTTAAACAAAAACTGCAAATTATTCTTGACTTTATGTCTTCCAGCAATTGTTAGCACTTTGAAACAAGTAAACACAGAGATAATGGCAAAAGTGATGTCAGAACCTCAACTCATCCGTACCATGGCATTTGGTTTGGGGGTGGTTCAGGGAATATTAGTTGCTCGTCAACTGTTTGGAACACAAGGCCTGAACCAGTGGTACCCCTTCAACTCTGTACAGATGGAACAATCCATAAGTGCCCTCACCGGGCAGCTTCTCAAAGGAACAGAAGATTCAGAACCTAAACTTGAGGAAATCACCAACCTCTTCACTGAGGTATGTACAATAGATAGGCACAACCAATTCAGGAATTACTTCTCTGACACAGTTCTCTATACTGACATTAATTAGGAGTAGGATTTTCTTTCAGTATCATAACATTCGTGGCACAAATGATACAAAAATTCCCTGGTTTTGTACATTCAATGTGGCTCAATTCACTCTATGTAATACAGCAACCAAGATTGATAAATACTAATCTGTGATCAATTTTAATTTTAACACTGTAGGATATAACAATATACTCCTGAGACCTCCTTACCTGTTTTAACCTTTGACATTGTGCCTTATCTGACTTGTTTTGACCTCTGACCTTATGTTACAGCTAATGACCTCTAACCCCTGACATTGTGCCAGATATCCTGACCTGTTTTGACCTCTGACCTTATGTTACAGCTAATGACCTCTAACCCCTGACATTGTGCCAGATATCCTGACCTGTTTTGACCTTATGTTTCAGCTGGTGTATAAGAACTGTGTGTATACTGAGAGTGATAAGACTTACGTGGAGGCTGCGATCAGACAAGTTCTTACCAACATCTACACAGACACATCTGGTCAGCTCATCCTTGGCGGGGTGCGCTTCCCCACACCACCAGCCAATGTTGGTGAGTATCTAATACACAAAAAGTCACTTATACACAAATGACCACGAGGGTATTTATTATCAAATCACCCTGCATCCCTCATCCATTGTTGTTGTTTACATTTACCATATATAAGTACACCAGAGTATCACTATGTTTCTGTGAACCAAAGTATTGTTCATTGATTTCAACAGATTTAAGGCACATATTATTACAGAATTAATCATAAGGAAAGTATATAATGATCACAGATAGATATGTACAAATATTCAGCCAAATTCAACAGAAGTTTTTACAGAAGTTTTCAGATATTAGTTCTGCTATGTGAATAACTAACTGTCAAAGTTAGGGAAGAATGTAGACATTTGTAGAAACTTAAATACCAATCTTGTCTACTACAAATTAGCAGTCAAACAATCCATGAATACATTTAAGAAGTTAACAAATATCCAGATATTGTTGTCTGCTCTCCAAAGAAAATTTAAATGTTTTCATATATCAAAATAAGAAAGGCTTTTATAACCTAAATTTGCCTGAAATTACAGTTTTCTTTGGACTGATTCTAGTTGGTATGTAAATGTAGTTTGGTGCAGTGACAATCCAGTTTACTTCTAACTAGCTTTACATTCACTGACCTCATCACAGATTTGTTATTAAAACATTTACAGGAACATTTTAAAAATATACGCGTTTGCATACTGTTTGACACATCTTTGTTAACTTGGTGAGAGAAGTTAAAATTGTCAGATATCCAGACTCCAAAAGTATGGTATAATCAAAGTGAAATTAATCAAAGTATAATTTTCCTGTGCACATGATATAAATTAACTCATATTTCAGACCCGACAGAGTTTGGTAAATGGTATGCCAAGAATGTGGATGAGGATTTGACTATTCCAGCTCTCCAATTACACAGCAGTGTGGAACGGGAAGTCAACGAGGCCAAGTAAGTACTTGGATGTATGGAATAAGGCTTGTAGATCATGTGATATATTTGAGGGGTAGAGAAAATGTGTATAAGTCATGTGATATATTTGAGGGGTGGGACAATCGTATGTAGGTCATGTGAGATATCTAGGGTGTGGGGCAAAAGTATGTAGGTCATTATGCAAGTCTTGTGATATTTCTGAGATATGAGACAAAGGTCAAGAACAGGTGTAAGGCATGTGTTTTGTTTGAGGGGTGGGGAAAAGATCAAGCACCTATGTAAATAATGTGATGTATCTAGGGGTGGTTCAGTTGCTTCCCATAGTTGATGGTAATTAGTTTGTTATAGTAGGTCAAGGCATAGGACTTTTGGAACCTACCAGTTTTCTGAAATACATGTATCTGTAAAATTATGAAATGGCAAGGGATACAGATAGAAGCTATCTTACTAAACAATGATGTTGTTACTTCAGTTCTCTGGTGTTCATTGAGCACCTGGACCACATGTTTGAGACACAGAACATGGAAGCTGGAGATGTGGCCCGGTCTACAAAAAATAACATCAACATTATGAAGCTCCGTTCTTCTCTTGATCTTTGTTTGGAAGAGTTACCTAACTTGTTGGAGCTCGGAAGTGTTCCAGAAATCCTCAGTAATGACTTTGATTTCCCGTATCACCGACCAAGTCTGATCAGTCTCGGCACAAACAGTAGTACTCAGATGCCTGAAACCATCGGCTACTGTCTTCTACAGGTAACTAGAAATAACTACTGTCTCCTACAGATAACTAGAAATAGCTACTGTCTTCTACAGGTAACTAGGGATAACTACTGTCTCCTACAGGTAACTAGGGATAACTACTGTCTCCTACAGGTAACTAGGGATAACTACTATTTCCTACAGGTAACTAGGGATAACTGCTGTCACCTACAGGTAACTACGGATAACTACTGTCTCCTACAGCTAACTAGGGATAACTACTGTCTCCTACAGGTAAAAAGGGATAACTCCTGTCCCTATAGATAACTAGGGTATACTATTGTCGCCTACAGTAACTAGGGTAACTACTCTCTCCTCTAGGTAATGTGGATATAAGGTGTAAGACGTACTGTCTCTGATACAGAGATAAGATATATATGTGTATACTCTGGTAACATCTTTTAACAGGAATGCCTATGGTTGAACTCGGTGCTATGTCACATCCGACAACAGATTGCAGATTTGCAGAGTTCCATTCTAGGTGGTCCTGAGGCTTTAGCTTGGGTCTTACTGCCCACTGTGTACAGTCTGCAAGAGGAGCATGTGCCAGTGTCCTGGGTACATCCCAACTGTCAACCCTGTACCCACTCACTTCTGTCCTGGCTTGACCGTAAGTATTGTCTACCAGTCCCTGCTGACAACCCTGTACTCACTCCTGTCCTGACTTGACTATAAGTTTTGTCTACCAGTCCCTGCTGACAACCCTGTACTCACTCCTGTCCTGACTTGACTGTAAGTTTTGTCTACCAGTCCCTGCTGACAACCCTGTACTCACTCCTGTCCTGACTTGACTGTAAGTTTTGTCTACCAGTCCCTGCTGACAACCCTGTACTCACTTAATTCCTGACCAGGTTGTACGTACCATATAACTTCCGAACAGTCAATATATACTCACTTCAGTCCAGACTTGACTATGTTTGAGACTTGTTTTCAGTTTTGTATAGAAACTCCTAAAAACATCAGATGCTAATGACTGGTATGTTTACAGACACAAAGAAATGTCATGAGCAACTACATAACTGGGTGAAACACGGCATGGTTCCAACTTTCAAGGACAACAATATGGCAGAGAATCCTGTTATAGCCCAGGGGTCCTTGTCCAGTGTGTGGCTGGGTGGACTTGTCAACCCTATTGCCCTCTTAACTGCCTACATACAGGAGAAGGCCATTGTTAGCAAATGTAGCATGGATGAGGTAGGTTTATGAAAGCTAGCTAATTAACCATCACTCTTATTATGCCAACTGATGCCCAGAAGAGAGAGGAGGGGTCCAATCTAGACTGTCTTGCAAGCTGATTTTCAATAGGATTTTATTTTTTATGAAATTTTATTAAAGAAAAGCTCACTTAACACAATACTCAGAATCTGTTTGAGGGTTCCTTGGATGAGTTCATGGTTCAAAGTTCAATGTCAAGGTTGTTATTATCTATATCATTATGAGAACTAGATATACCGGGTAAGTTATTATACTCAGATAGAACAAACCAGAAAATGCCTTTATACAGTCATCCTGTCAGGATTTTTCATCATCTCATCTTTATTTGTTTTAAGATTTCTTTCGAGTGTGTTGTCATGGACGAGATCAACATCAAGGATTATGACATTGATGAGGGTGGTCTGTTTATTACTGAAATCAACCTACAGGGTGCCAGCTGGAGCTATGATCTCGACTCCCTCTGCGAGGCCAAGTAAGTCCTTTTTAGCTCTCATTAATTAGTATATATAAATATACATTTGAAATAAGTGTCTTTCATATCCCAAGGAATAATTATCACCAATAATTTGATTGGTCAAGAGAAGTTTTATTGTCAATAGTGTTTTGATGAGATTTTTAAGGACATTAAATAAAAACTTAATAGATCATTTTAAGCAGAACTGGTATGATTTCAAGGGTTTTCTTCAATTAAATACTTTCAATGAAAAGATATCTTGTATACCTGTGTCATATTCTGCCCTTTACAGTACTCACTTAATCTGTCTTTGTTGTATTCTCCAGGTCTGCCCTCTACAGTATTCCGTGTATATATTTGCGTCCAAAGACCAAAGCAGAATTGGCTAACAAGGACAAGACCACAATCTACCCATGCCCTGTCTACATGAACAAGGTAAGAATGTTAGAATTCAATTCTAAAAGTAAAAATGTAAATATATTTACCAGCAGCAACCTGAAGAATCCAATTTTCCTAATATGAGTTATCCAATTTCTCTATAGCAACATCTCTGCTTCCCCTAGCTATGGTGTTTACATGTCACAGTGACTCAATATTCAAGTGCTTGCATCCAATATCAGGATTTTGATAAGATGTTGACAGCTTGCATATGAACATGAGAGATTCATGCTGAAGTTAAGTAGTTAACATAATGGTCTCACTGGGAAACATTCTATTCTTTGAGCGACATGAAGATGGACATATCTGATGCTCATTTGATATTACTTACCAGTTCTTTAATTGGACCGACCAAGGTTTAACTCACTAGTATTGTTGATGGCATAGAAAATGTTGACCTTTCAGGAACACCTGGTCTTTTTTTGGTTTTTTTTTACGGGTCTCTTAGTATATCATATTTTGTCCTAGTTTCATAAAATTCATTGAATAAAGATCCTTTTGACATGTCAGTATTTTTAGGTCATTTGACCGAAGGGTCTGATGACCTATTGCGATCGTCTTTTGTCCGGCGTCGTCCACCGCACGTCGTCGGTCATAAACATTTTCAACTTCTTCTCAAGTTCTACATGTCTCATTGAGTTGAAACTTACCTGAAATGATCGTGACATGATCCTGACCAAAGTTTGTTAATTTCGGATTGGTCCAAAATCCAACATGGCGGCCATCTTGAAAACACATTTTCGACTTCTTCTCAAGTTCAAAATTTAAAATCTTGTATTTTATGTCAGATGACCGTTAAGGCCCATTGGCCTATTGTTGTTTTTGGTTTTGTTTGAATTATCTGCGATCTGTCTGTCCAGGACATACATGCTACTTCACTGTGAACCTCGAGATTGGTATGTTGAGAAGAGTATGTCTTATATACTGTAAATAGATCAATACAATAACAGTCCTGAGATGAAATATTTTACCATATTTTACACATACCTAAATAAGTGATTCAAGCTCACATTTCCTCCCAGCTGTGAACATCAGGGTGGGCTTATTATAAGGGGGACAACATGGACTAAATCATTTATTGGTATCATTCTGTTTCAGAGTCGACAAGTTTTAACCACGACCCTTGACCTTAACTGTACATCTCCAGTTGACAACTGGAGACTCTCTAGAGTTGCACTCATCCTGGATCCTGGTAAGCCTTTTTGATTATCACATGACCACAAGGTCAGAGGTCATATTCTCGGTCAGATTTTAAGGCTTAACATTTTATCCACTAAATGTTTAAAGACTTTCATGTCCTTGTATTTGTAACATTTATTTTAAACTTCCACTGGTATTATCTTGGAATGAAGGTGATATTAAGTCATATTGGTCACATTGATCTATCATTATATACAGCATTGCCAGGAAAAAATCCTTGTATCTAAATTATAAATTTAAATATTTAGTACTCTCAGATTAGTTGTAATGTCTTTCTGACTGTTGAATTAACTTCTGTAGGACTACCAGAGGATGGTGTGAGGAAGTCACGATCCTACTTGATGCTGACACGAGCTCCCCAGATGATGACTGTGGAAGAAGAGTCGGAGCTTGCTTCAGAGGAAGAGGAGTTTATCAGGCTTGCTGAGGAAACAACTACAGATATTGACCAATCGGAGCAATCAACACAACTGTCATACAGACCAATGACTCCCAAAGCACCACCACTTCCTGCGGGACTAGGTCTTCGTAAGGAACCATTAATGGTTGAAGAAGAAGAAGAAGAAGAGGTAGAAAATGCAAAGAGTGTAGAACAGAAAAGTGATGGAAAACTAACACCAAAGACAGGAGGCTCTACACCGAAAAAATCTGGGAAAACAAGCCCCAAGACGAGTATAAACACACCGAAAGGAAGTATAAAATCTTCAGATACCAAACAGGGGTCCGCCCAAGTGTCTCCACGTGAACAAGTCGTTACCAAATCACCTGCACCATCAAGAGGCAGCAATAAGACTCCAGGGTCAAAATCTGGGTCACGCCAACAATCTCATCATACTTCACAGGAACTTGAAGTAGCAGAACAGAACAGTCGACCACGTTCTGAACATGAAGATCCTGTCACACAAATGGAGATAGAGGATGAGACAACGCACCCTGACCCCAATGAGACAAAGAGTCAGAGGTCAGACAGAGAAGAGGAGACTGTGACCTCTGATAACAAAGACAATATGGAAGACACAAATGAACAGCCATTATCAAAGGCTCCTTCCAAAGAAAGTGTAAATAGGTCTGGAAAAATGTCTAAAACTCCTTCCAAAGAGAGTGTAAATAGATCTGAAAAACTGTCTAAAGCTCCTTCAAAAGAAAGTGTAAATAGGTCTGGAAAAATGTCTAAAGCTCCTTCAAAAGAGAGTGTAAACCGATCTGAAAAACTGTCTAAAGCTCCTTCAAAAGAAAGTGTAAACAATGCTGGCACAATGTCTAAAGGTGCTTCTAAGGAAAGTGTGAACAAAAGTACTGATAACGATGTGGCAGGTCAAAGGTCACAGTCAGGCAGTAGACGACCTTCAGTTGCATCCCAAAGGTCACAAGCAAGTCCAGCAAACCAAGGACAGAGACGGCTATCACAGGGATCACAGAGATCAACTGACCCCTAGACTTTATGAGAAAGGCAAAAATCTGTTGAAGACTGATGTTTATGAAATCCGTCCACATGTGCTAAACATTCTACATATGTACAGTATTATAAATAGGTATATGTATGTTTATATAAATTATTTCTGTTTTATTTTCTTACATATTTTCTGTGATAATTTCTTGTGTGTGTTTTTAAACACGAAGTCCCTACTGCTGATGTTTGATATTATCTTGTTAAATACTGGACATTGATAGCATTCTACTGGTGCCTGATCATCTTCTTTGTATTCTTTGTCTGTAGAAATATCAACACCAGGTTTTCTATATTCAGTGTGAAAGATGATTTAAAATAATTAGAAAACTTTCATATTTTTTCATTCATCATTTCCATTTCTTTCATACTGTTGTCTTTACATCAGCATCATATTGATCGGTGTTTATGATAATTTTTTGGAAGTGCCTGGTTATATATTTACTGTTTTATCAGCATTAACTGCTATAAATTTAGATATGATATAAAAACGCTTGACATTTCAGAATTTCATGTTTGACTACCAAACTGACGAGGATGTCGTATTAAAGAATTACTCTATTTATATGTACAAATGGATTTATTTCACACACGGTTTTTGTGCTGTATTTGGTGCCATTGTGCACATTTCACTATCTGACTGGTGTGTTAAGCTTTGTGACCAAATTCAGGTCATATATCAGCATATATATATTCCAATATGCTGAAAAATGTTGAATGAAATATTGCGACGGCTTGGTCTAATATTCCAACTGCAGGACAAAATTTTAAAAAATATTTCATTTTCGTTTTGTTGATGCATAAACATCATTAATGTTTACTACAGTTTATAAATCATGTAGATTGTTCAACTTAAAGCAAATTTTAACTGTACTAGGTTCATTTTTAATACTCTCACAAAGGAGCTAGGAAATACATTATTGTTTCTGAAACAATGTGGAAGGGGGCTGTGTTATAGCTTAGCTCATACATATATAAGTGGATTGACGTGTAAATTTCAGAAACCAGACTGAAAGGTAATTAATGTTAACACTTATTTGCTACATATTGATATGTATTAAGGTGTTTATTTCAGTGTTTGTGTCCAGCCCGTTGAACATCCTGAACTTTTAAAATCATTCCAGATTTCAGTTTTATCATATTTTGAAATTGCATAAGAAAGGCTTAAAGTCTAAGGTATATTTACATCATAAAATGTCTATTTATACCAAATTTGAGAAATAATGTTATGGAAATATTTTTCAAACAGAATGTTTTTATACAGAAGGTATTCAAATTAAACTAAAAAATGGAAGGATGGATACATATATATATTTAATATTTAATATCATTACGGTACATTCCTAATCGTAAATCACATGATATTGTTTAAATCTTGTTTAAACATGTAACTTCTCTCAAACTGCTGAATTGTAAAACAAGTATGTGGAAAAATAAAAAATTAATAGGTAATAGTTTCTTTGTTTTTATGTCTGTACGTGTATAGAGACTCGCTTGGAAAACCACATACGTCACAAGAAATTGATCATAAACGTTGTTACAAGTGAGAAAAATGTTAGTTGTTACATTACAGTTTGATATTTAAAACCATGGACACAATAAAGAAACACTTTTCTAGTTTTAGGCATGAATTCAAAGAGTTTTTATGTAAAATATCTGGTATCAGACATGCATATCATTTATAAGCTCACCTTGCCTAAACCAGAAAAAAAATTATGGAAAGCAATTAAAGGTCACATGGGTCAAATTTATTAAAATTTTGAATGACTCCTCATTAACAAGAAGGCATAGAGGCATGATAATTTGCTAGGATGGAGCCTGACAAAAACATTTCCTTGATCCATATTCAAGGTGACATTTGTCAAACTAGTAAAACACAGTAAACTAAAAGTCAGAAGACCTTGATTTTTGGTGGAAAGGTGTTTCTAGCTTTATAAATGTCAGGTTAGTTGTTGTACTGATGGAAAAACTTGTATCATGTCAGTTTAGTTGTTGTGGGGTAGGATATCAACGTGTGCCTATGACATCATGCTGGGAGGTAAGATATTTACGTGTGTCCATGACATCAAGCTGGGAGGTAGGATATGTACGTGTGTCCAAGATATTTACGTGTGTCCATGACGTCATGCTGGGAGGTAGGATATTTTAGTGTGTCCATGACATCATGCTTGGAGGTAGGATATTTAAGTATGTCCATGACATCAATCGGTGAGGTAGGATATTTACGTTTGTCCGTGACATCAGACTGTAAGGCAGGATATTTACGTGTGTCCATGACATCAAGCTGGGAGGTAGGATATGTACGTGTGTCCATGATATCAGGCTTGGAGGTAGGATATTTAAGTGTGTCCATGACATCATGCTGGGAGGAAGGATATTTAGGTGTGTCCATGACATCATGCTGGGAGGTAGGATATTTACGTGTGTCCGTGACATCATGCTAGGAGGTAGGATATTTACGTGTGTCCATGACATCATGCTGTGAGGTAGGATATTTACATGTGTCTGTGACATCATGATAGGAGGTAGGATATTTTAGTGTGTCCATGACATCAAGCTGGGAGGTAAGATATTTACGTGTGTCCATGACATCATGCTGGGAGGTAGGATATTTTAGTGTCCATGACATCATGCTGGGAGGTAGGATATTTAAGTATGTCCATGACATCATGCTGTGAGGTAGGATATTTACGTGTGTCCATGACATCAAGCTGTTAGGTAGGATATATACGTGTGTCCGTGACATCATGCTGGGAGATAGGATATTTACGTGTGTCCATGACATCAAGCTGTTAGGTAGGATATATACGTGTGTCCGTGACATCATGATAGGAGGTAGGATATTTACGTGTGTCCGTGACATCAGGCTGTGATGTAGGATATTTACGTGTGTCCGTGACATCAAGCTTGGAGGTAGGATATTTACGTGTGTCCATGACATCATGCTGGGAGGTAGGATATTTACGTGTGTCCATGACATCAGGCTTGGAGGTAGGATATTTACGTGTGTCCATGACATCATGCTGTGAGGTATGATATTTACGTGTGTCCATGACATCAGGCTGGGAGGTAGGATATTTACGTGTGTCCATGACATCAGGCTGGAAGGTAGGATATTTACGTGTGTCCATGACGTCATGCTGGGAGACCGAGACTTTGCTGATGGTTACAACGGTGGAACTCTCCTCCTCGGGTAAAGATTTCTTTGTCCTATCTACACCTTATCTAAAACATACTAGAAATATATCAGTAAAAAGATAAATATGAATGACGATTTTGTTTTTATTTTGACCTATTCCTATCCTACATTATACAACCGAAATGATAACTCATTGCTATTAAGCATTAAAAAAGATTACCTGATAGTGTCTTACAATGATATTAAATTTCTTCAGCTGTCAATATCAACAGTCACGTCTCTCATGTTTCAAAATTACAACTGCCAGTTTATCACGTTTATGTTCTGTGCCTGCAGGCTGCCGTACCCCGGCAATATAGAGGTGTATTACCCTCACCGGAAGTGTGGATATTTCTGTCCACTCGGGTAGAATATCGCGTTTGTCCGTAACGTCAGACTGGGAGGTAGGACATTCACGTGTGTCTGTGACGCCATGTTTGGTGGTGTATCCATGACGTCTTTCTTGAAGGAGGGATAATGGAATGTAACATGACGTCAAAATAAAGAAAGTGTCACTGGAATGCGTCATATTCAAGTCTACTTTTGACATAAGTTAACACCGTCCTATCACTCGGTCAGCACCGCCTCCTACCTTCACCAAAGTACCTTCCGCGACCCTGTGCCCTGCCGGCTTTCTCCCTTTTAATGAGACCAGTTTTAATGATACCTGTATACTTAAAGGCACGGTGTACTGTTGTGTGATAGTCACGCAAATCTGGTGTTTAATGAGATATTTTACCAGCTGATTAATTATGTATGTCACTAATCACTAGACGGAGCCTGCCATCACGGAGTGGAAGGAGTGCGTCTGAACAAAGAATAGGTCGGACGGACTGGACTTAATCATTCGCCGTATTGGTATGTCCTTTAAGGTGGCTGAATTCACATTTTCACTTTATTTCTGACAGGTCAACATGTCGAACAAGTACAATTCCCACGACTCCATCAAGCACATGCATACTTTTATAAAACACTGTTATTGAAGAATTTGGTCAGATACCCCGTAAGCCCCAACCAGACAAGCATATAAGTAGGTCCGTCAGCGCTAGAACGGTCAATGGACAGGCGTCTCCAGACACGACAGTGATATATGTAAGTAAATCACTTCGTCTTCTCTATCATTGTACAGTCGGAATACCTAACTTAATCATAGTGTTATCACTGACGTCGACATTCTCTTACTCTGTATCTGCTATCGTGAAGTTGATGCGGTCAGTCCGTGTCCAGACATGTCCAGTATGTCCATCTCGCTGTGTCTGTAGATGTCATGTTTTGAGCCGAGCCATAAGAGGTGAAAGGTTTTTTTTTTACATTCACACAATAATACTCAATGCTCAATTTAAACGTGTAGAAAATTGTTCGGGTATTGTGAACACTGTGAATCGTTTAATACCCTCAATGACAGATTGCCTACACGCACTGTTATGTAATAAAAATATCAACACAACTATCGTTAGCCTATGTACCCCAGTAGGATGAATCACGATATTTCAATGACAAAGCTAGGGAACTAAACATATGGACATACAGTCGGGAGTGGAAAGCCCTCGAGAGTCGTCCAGTCCATGGTTACCAGCGCGCCAACATTAGGGTCCCTGTCACGCCTTTCCCAGTAACGCTATGCCTTCCTAACGCTATAATTACTCTCCGTTTGGGAAACACAACAGTACACTGAATAAACATCATCAATCTTCTGGTCACTCAGAATTCACACGTGTGCGGACTAAGTTTATTTAGAATGTTTACCAAGGCGATTATGTAGGTTATCAGTACCTGTTTGGTTTGATGGGTACTTGTATCTGTGGGAGACTTTGTGATGTGTTTTGTTTAGTAGGCGAATAAACGTTTATTTGGAAATACACAATTTCTTTGTACCGCGACGGGTGGACTCTTCCCACTTCAACTTACGTCGGTCTTTGGATATAAATTACATACGAACTGTTGGAGGTGAAATAGATGATGATCTAGCTGAGGAAGTTTATTAAAACAATCATCATTACGAGGAAGTTCCCAGTGGGTCTTGTGGAAGCGATTTTAAAAGTCTACGGTCGAGTTTCATTCCGGTCACCACGGCAACATGTCCACTTCTGGTCACCACCTTTCTGTGAGGTAGCGATGCCGTGATTTTTAATGGGTCACGATGCAGTCATACGGATGGAGAAACCACGTCAACATGATGTCACTGCTACAGGTCATAGACAAACAAGACAAGGTCAGTGATGCTGGATGTATAAAGGTCAGACAAACAAGACAAGGTCAGTGATACTGAATATATTAATTTCAGGCAAACAATACAAGGTCAGTGATGCTGAGCATATAAAGGTCAAAAGGTCATATACAACCAAGCCAAGGTCAGTGATGATTGGTGTATATAGGTCATCCGATAAAGACATAGTCTGAGGTAATGGATGTCAAAGGTCAGACAAACAAGACAAGGTTTGTGATGCTGGGTGTATAAAGGTCATAGACAAACAAGACAAGGTTGGTGATGTTGGGTGTATAGAGGTCATAGACAGACAAGGCAAGGTTGGTGATGTTGGGTGTATAAAGGTCATAGACAAACAAGACAAGGTTTGTGATGCTGGGTGTATAAAGGCCGTAGACAGACAAAGCAAGGTTTGTAATGCGGGGTACATAAAGGTCAGACAGACAAGACAATGTTTGTGATGCTGGGTACATAAATGTCAGACAGACAAGACAAGGTTTGTGATGCTGGGTGTATAACGGTCATAGACAAACAAAACAAGGCTTGTGATGCTGGGTGTAGATGCTGGGTCATAGACAGACAAGACAAAGTCAGTGATGCTGGGTGTATAAAGGTCCGACAGACAAGACATGGTTTGTGAAGCTGGGTGTATCAAGATCAATAGACAGACAAGACAAGGGTTGTGACACTGAGTGTATAAAGGTCATAGACAGACAAGACAAGGTTTGTGATGCTGGGTGTAGATGCTGGGTCATAGACAGACAAGACAAAGTCAGTGATGCTGGGTGTATAAAGGTCCGACAGACAAGACATGGTTTGTGAAGCTGGGTGTATCAAGGTCAATAGACAGACAAGACAAGGGTTGTGACACTGAGTGTATAAAGGTCATAGACAGACAAGACAAGGTTAGTGATGCTGGGTGTATTAAGGTCAATAGAAAGACAAGACAAGGTTTGTGATGTTGGGTGTATAAAGGTCAATAGACAGACAAGATAAAGTCAGTGATGCTGAGTGTATATAAGTCATAGACAGACAAGACAAGGTTTGTGATGCTGGGTGTATAAAGGTCAATAGACATACAAGACAAGGTTTGTGATGCTGGGGGTAGCAAGATCAATAGACAGACAAGACAAGGGTTGTGATGCTGAGTGTATATAGGTCATAGACAGACAAGACAAAGTCAGTGATGCTGGGGAGGTCTTTTGTTATTCACTTGTAAGTCGATGGTCGATACTGACGCGGTCCGGTGACTGACCATTATCAGGTTTACCTATGTAATCCGCTTACTTATTTAGTATTAAAGTAACATAGGAAATGGTCGGCCGAATTTTGATCCAGCAAAAATCACCAACTACGTAGATGCCAGGGAGTGATACCTGAATATTTTACAAGCAGTAGTGAACAGATTGTATTTTAAGCTTGAATAATTCATTATCATAAAGGTTGTAAGTGGATTGAGCACAAACAAATGCAACTGATGAAACATCCTCTTCTATGAGAGAGCGTTTCAGTGGGTTTTTCATCCCGTAAACAGCTAGTCTTTTGAGGCGGTGTCTAGCTGGTGGCTACTTCGCTGAACATACGGGAGGACCGCCGCTTGCTATCCAAAGTAAAGTTCTCTCTTCAGTAAATGAAACGAAATGACACCAAGATGATTAAATTATGTTTAGATGGAATTATCCTAGTTGAAATCAGATGTTTATGTTAAAATATCCTGTTAGATGTGAAGAAGACTTAGAAGTTTCAATTGGCAAAAGTGACCGGACCTCTACCTCCCTAACTGTTTATAATTTCTGAACGGATTAGCGATATCAAGGCTTCATTTTAAACCAATCCCAACTCCTTTTATGCCGTCAGTGAGGCGTTCCCTTGTGATCACCAATCTCAGGGTGAGTCTTTGGTATGGTCGTATGAAATGTCTTTTTGATGATGATTTGTACTGCCTGGTTGACGTCTGCCATTGTTAACATACTAGTCAAGAGGTATGTATTGGCTTTTATTGGAAATAAGGGGGCACCTCCCTTTTGTACACGTTTGTAATCAATGTAAGATTGCCGACATCAGCAACTAGCAAATAGAGGCACAGGAACCAAACACAATTTACTTTCTTATAGATATACATAGATGGTAAACGTGTGATGACAGGAAACAATGTATACAGTATTCAAATCAAAATACGGCTTTAATCTTTTTACATATTTCCAGTGTATATATGTGTATATATATTCCAATCAAAAGACGGCATTAATAATTTTACATATTTCCAGTGAATATATGTGTATATATATTCCAATTAAAAGACGGCTTTAATCTTTTTACATATAGCATATAGCGTGAAACAAGAGGTCATTTTACTAAGTAAGAATTGAAACATGGCTTGCAAATTAAGTTTTGACTAATTACATAATCTAGCAAAGTAATTCATGTATGATTAAATTACACAAAAATGCCCTAGAAATCTAATACATGTAAGTTATACAGACAGTGAAAACCGGAAGCATGGCATAGAGTAAATGAAGTTGTAACTTGTAATACAACAATATTGACAGATCACTTAAGAATAAGATCAACGTTTAACATTTAACGATTATTGAAAATGGAAACCATTTTCTTCATATTAATGAAACTTGGATATTTACAAAAAATAATTTTGAATTCATTTGTTTCTTAGTTGTGTTGTTTGTAAATAATTTTTAATTTTAAATAAAGTTTTCAATCATAAGAAGAATTCTAGGGAGATATTTAAAATAACATGTTTTCACAGTATTTGACTCTTGTCGTAAACCCCAGAGAATGGGAAACATATTTTTTGTCCCTTCCGGTTTTGATGCCAGTGACCATGTTTGGTTTGAATCGGTTCAGCGGTTCTTGTTCGTGAACAAAAGGCTCAGTTAACCTATGACCTTGTGTTGTATCCAGCGTATGACCGAGTGATAAACCTTCGAAAAATAGACTCATCACACTTTCTCCTTGTTATAGGAAAGCTTGATACAGGAACATATTTTACACATAATTATTCATAGATTGTGGACAAAAAAAACTGATAAAAGTTTCACTAAGTTAACAAAACAATTTATTCATTCGTTTTATTTCTATCACTATCAGCATCTAACTACAATGGTCTAAGCAAATGCCAATGAATTTACAATATTTAATCTTTGTGGTATAATAAATATTTTATGCAAATTCCAAATATCCTGTTACATGTACATGATTTCAGTTTTATCCTTGTTCCTTTTACACCTTTTTCTGATTTAGTTAGTGTTTGAACCCTTAATTTTGTGTACTATTTACAGCAAATACAGCATTCACATCAATCATAGTTTAAATAGTTTTTGTCGTTTATGTCCTCAGTACTTTGAGTACTTTGATTTTGTTTTAGGACCGCCGGAGAAGCCATTGTAGCCTGTACAAGCCATCTGGTCAGACACCCACCACGAGACGAAAACCTGTTGTTGGAGTGTGTACCGTTGATGAAGCCCGCGCATTGAGCGACAGATGGAGCAATGTGCGAAACAACGAGGGAGGCAATCCGCAATTTCAACGATTACTTGGCAGTGACAATATTCTATTTTCAGAGTTTGATCACGAATCCCGCGGTGGAAGGGAGTTTTCTCGGTCTAATGACCATCCAGTTCTCTATAATGACACAGACATTCGTTTCCCGAGAATTCCTTTGACACCTGTTAGCCGTTTCCATAGAAATACCAAACTGGCCGTTTCCGTTCCCTCGGACAGTAGTTTTGACACTGAGGGTCCGGGAGGACAGACCGTAACGATCCCTAAGGCAGGGTTGGTTCGATTACAATACTGCCACCGCTCTCGAGAAGAATCGGTCAGAAATATTGACAACAAATCTAAAGTGATCTCCATTGTGAATGATATACCAAGTGAAGACTCCATTGACGTTGTGGTCGCTGCCAATCAGCCGTCAGATTACAACACCACCACTACATTTCATTGTAAGCCCTCTGTCATCCGGATAGACCAGTCGGGTGCAATTCACGTGCAGGATAGAATGCAACTACCTCAAACTGATCACGACCAGGAACCGGAAGTTGTCATAACTTCAGAAACAACGCCGAAGAAGGAACATTCCCCTGTAGTTATACAAAGACAATTTTCTGTAGATTTTGACCAGGACACGGAGTGTTTGGAGGACGATCCGGATGTTGCACTCATTCCAGTCCGTAAAAACACAAGTGGTCGCCGGAAACACAAACAACAGCAGAGCCAGGTAGCTATGCATCAGTACTCAGTGGACCAGAATCTACACAGAAACGTGTACATGCGTGCTCTTAGAGATGCGCGCAACAAATACTTCAAACACGTTCCATTGGATAAGACTGTTACGAAGCCGTTTGAATTCTCCTATTTTACACTACTTAGTAGAAACGAGGACGGGGAAGTAACAACAGAAAAGAGACTGAAGAAACCATACGGGATGAAAAGGATATTCGGGGAGATCCGTATGGACGAGTATTACCCAGTGGTACAGACTAAGAAATAGACAACTTAACGTCATATTGCTGACATGTCACCTTTATCCTGATGTCACACGTGAGATTTGTCAGATAGGAGACTGATGTGACACGTGAGAATTGTCAGACAGAAGCCTGATGTGACACTTAAGATTAGTCAGACAGAAGACTGATGTCACGCGTGAGACTAGTCAGACAGGAGACTGATGTGACACGCGAGAATTGTCAGATAGTAGACTAATGTGACACGCGAGAATTGTCAGATAGTAGACTAATGTGACACGTGAGACTTGTCAGACAGCAGACTAATGTCACAGGCGAGACTTGTCAAACAGGAGACTGATGTCACACACGTGACTTGTCAGACAGGAGACTGATGTCACACGTAAGACTTGGTAGACAGGAGACTGATGTGACACGTGAGACTTGTCAGACAGCAGACTGATGTGACACGTGAGACTTGTCAGACAGAAGACTAATGTCACACGTAAGACTTGTCGGACAGAAGACTGATGTCACACGTGAGAAACATGTTTGTTATACAGGAAATTTATGGCATACGAGAGGCGCTTTGAACTCGTGATTTATGTCAAAGTATCACACAATGAACACAAATGATAGAGCGTTAAGACTGACAGTAATAGAATGGGTTTTGAGGATGAATACGATGTTGAACCTCCAATAAGTATGCTGTTCACTACAAATTTGACAATAAGTTGTGTCAAAAAGAATATAACAAAGTGTAACCTATATCGAGAAGGACGACCGCTGTTAGCACTGTCACAGGTCACAGAAAATTATTAACAGGTTCCTGATGTTGTTGACTTCCACCATATTACAAAGACTCTCTATGGTCTTTATATTTATCCTACCATCAGTAGATTGTATGTTGTCCAAATTGTCCATCGCCATTAAACAATTCTTGTTATCGATGTTTCTTGAGAAACCTTGACCTTTCCCAAACTTCATACATTAGTAGCCTCTCATTGACCCCTAGTTGTGCATGTTTAATGTTGGGACTGATCGGGAAAACAAAATGTCGAGAGTGGATATATTGAATTTTAAAACATTGTAATTGCTATTTTTAAGAAGTACTACATGCATTAGCATCCAACACTATATATAGACTATCCTTAGTCCCTAGTTTTCATCAGGGTACTGATTAGAAATGGCCAAAAGGTGACTATCTTGGATTACGAAAGTTTGAGATAGTTGTCGCTACATCTTCAGGTGGATTCCCACCCCCTCCCTTTGGTGCCCGGTTTTGTACAGAAAAGAAGATAAAAACTAAATACAGAGCATTTATTGGTGGGCGCTAAGGTCCCTTGGAGATCTCATATTACTACAATATTTTCTGCAATGTTGTCACCTGTCCTTCGCTATATGAACACACGTTATATCCGGGCTGTGATTGTATGTAAATATTTCACACGTTTGCTTATATCCAGCTGTGATTGGCTTTTTACATCCCTGCACATTTGCTTATATCTGGGCTTTGATTGCATACATCCCCACACGTTTGCTTATATCCTAGTGCCGATTGGCTACATACATCCCCACACGTTTGCTTATATCTGGGCTCTGATTGGCTGCATAATTCCCACACGTTTGCTTTTATCTAGGCTCTGATTGGCTGCATACATTCCCACGCGTTTGCTTTTATCTGGGCTCTGATTGGCGACATACATTCACATACCTTTCCTTATATCCTAGCTGTGATTGATTGGCTGCTAACATTCCCAAACGTTTGCTGACATCCAGTTGTGATTGGTTGTAAATGTTTCACACGTGTGCTTATATCCGAGTTGTTATTGGCTGCAGACATTACCATACGATTGCACATATTCGGGTTATGGTTGACTGTAGAATTTCCCTAACGTTTGTTGACACTTAAATCAACCCAATTGGCCGATGGCTTCAATGTGTTTGATAACATCGCTGAAGGCTCTGCACAAATGGGTGGTTTAGGCCCAAAAGGGCACAGGGGCAGACCCAATAGAAGAAATAAAAGAACAAAACATTAAAAGCCTTGTTTGTGTTTTAGTTAAAATTTGGTCTTGGACATCAGATGGTTTTTGACATATTCTTGTCGCCGTCAGTATCATTCGATTCTTTAGTAAAGCAAATCGAATGTCTAGTACACCTGCAATATCACCTACCGCAATAATCATCACCCAATTCTAGAAAATTCAAAGAACAAAGTACCAACAGTAATATATGGATAAACACACGAACGCGATCATCAAAGTCATCGAGCCTTATTTAATAACCAAATTATCAACATAATCATAATCCAAACTCAAACTCAACAAAACTTGGACAAAATATGAACAAAAGAAAAATTTACATAGATACGCCTTAAAACGTACAAGGAGAATGAGGATGAGACCAAGTGTTCCGAAAGAGACACTCGCCATATATATCTTTGTCAATCCCAGCAATGTCATGTTCACAAATGTGGGCAAGATGTACAATAACAGTACCAACCAGCAAACTAGCGAGCATCAAACACGTCCAGCTTTATATCGAACAAAGAAATAAAATGTCTCGCAACGAGATCTGAAATAATTTGTAACACGCATCTCTTGAAACCCTGCGAGTTGTTTGTGAATTGACATCTTGCATCGTGATAATGGGAACGTGCTCTAACTGTGACATGTAAACACCGCGCATAGGTTGGAGAAGCAGGGATGCTGCTATCCAGGAATGACAAAATTGACAATAAGGAAATTGAAACCATAACGGTGATCATAAAGCTAGATGAAAAGCTTTCCGTGTTAGTTTCGTAAAAGGAAAACATCGAGACAAGCAGCTGATGTAGAAGTCTGTCGCGTCCTTGATTTCCAATTCTGGTGGGTATAGTATATACACTAGACATGATAAACTCATCTCTCGCTATCTGAAATTGAAGGACTTTGCAACCTGTAACCTGTTTTGGTAACCTCTTCGATAAATATAGCCTCGTTTGAAAACAAAAAGTCAGTCAACAGAGTGACAGTCTGTTTCTGTAGGCGTGCCAATCTTCCATTGAAAGATCTTACCGCCAAACTCTGACAAATATTGTCAACCAGAAACTATGTTTTTATGATTTCGTCCCCCATATTTTCTCCTTCAATTAGGACATATTTTTTTAACAAAATACGCTTGTACCGTCGTTCATCTTTATAGACTTTTACACATAACCATTTTAAAACGTTTTGATGTGGGACACACGAACGCCATGAATTATCGAGTAAAAAATGAAAATTTTATAAGTAAAAATTTCTGAATTCTCGCAAATCAATTTATGACATTTTAACCCTCGAAATATCAAGCCATGTTGACATTATCTAAAATCTGAATTTTTCAACAAAAAAAAAAAAAAAAAAAAAAAAGAAAAAAAAAACGTGTGTAATCTATTTTTGGTGGGTTCAGATGTCCCTACCACACAATTTCGAGGTTCGATATGTTTACACTTGTACTTGAAACACTAAACGAAACGCAAAACTGATATATAAGATAACACAGACATTACCCCATACTCCACACTGTTCAAAAGACACTGTCATATATATATACACGTGTTAATATTATAGTACGACACATATATACATGCATCATTTGTAAATAAAATTACATCATCAATAACCTTTGTTATATAAGTTATTATCGGAAATATATATGAGAGTTACTTATAAAATTAGAAAACTTTTCCGACCTAAAAGGGGTAGGAAATGGGAAATAGTGCTGAAAATTTGCCTTCAAACACCTTTTTCCACTAACACCAGAGAGAATTTATTTTAAGTCTTTCTTTGTTAGGGGTATTTACTCATTATATTCCGAGAGTTGATTCGATCTTGGTGACTGGGCCCTGAATGGTGATTTAAGCCAATATAATGGTTTAAAATGCTAACAAGTTCTTTCTGAATGCCCCAGCCAGATTTAAGACAATCTGAATCATCACTTAGGGAGGGCAATCATATCTTAAATTCAGAATGATATTTTAACCCCCGGAGACTGGGGGAAATCTTCCAAAAGGGAAGTTTAGCTGAAATTTTGTGTAGATGCACTAATCTTTCTAACGCTTGATCAGATTTAAATTCAGTTTGCATGATTACTTCAGGAAGGCAATTGTTTCTCAAATTCAGAAAGTTGATTGATCTCTAGAGAGAGGAGATGGTTCAGAATGAGAGTTTTAGTTAAAATTTACTTAGAAGCTACTCTTCCCTAAAGTATGAATTGATTTCAATCAAATTACTGAAGTTTAGATCATCACTTGGGGAGGACAATCATTTCTTAAATTCTGAAAGTCGATAGGCCTTGGGGAACTGGGAAAAGGGTACAGACTGGAAAATTTAGTTGAAATTTTGCTTTAATCTGCTTCTCTTCCCTAAAGCCTAACTGGATTTCAATTAAATCAATCTAAATAACTATTAGATTAATCAGATCAATTTTTCGATTCAGAAAGTTGATTAGACCCATGGGGAATGAGGAATAAAGCTGAAATTTTGATTTCCAATGCTAGTATAAACCTCATAATACACCTCAGCTACAGCTCTCTTTTAGCTTGATCTGTTGAATGTCAGAATAGTAAACCCGAGGTTCTGGATTGGAATCCTAGTGGCGGCATTGAAACAAATAATGACCTCTGTTGCATTGGTGACATGAAAGGCGAGTATATCATCCTTGTAAATACTAGCTGCAATATACTGTTCACCTAAACAGAATTTTTGTTCAGCTCGATTGGTTGAGCGATGGACTAGTAAGCCAAAGTCCTGGGTTCGAATCCTTTGTAGGCATTAAAATAATTAATGATCTTTGTTACACTAGTATTCCTAAATTTCAACAAAAATTTTATTTAAAAAATCACATAGGGAGAGCAATGATTTCTGAAATTAATGATTTGGTTGTCAGATGACTGTTCCAAGACCTTCAGCTTCTTGTGAATTAAGTCAGAAATGCAAATTTCAAATATTACATTAATTTCAAATGCCCTTTTGGCATCATATACAGCTATCTAAGGGATCAGTCTGGGTCAAGCCCCCTATTTCACCATCACAGAGTCCAAATCTTCAAAGATATAGACAGCATTTGACCTCTCGCAGGGTCAAATGAGATGCTAAGGAACAATGTTGGTGTCTATAACCAATGCTAGTGAGATGAGATTTCAGCATGTTTGAATGACAAACCTACAAAGTTTACATACAGTGGATGGCCATATATGTCAAATGCCTAATTCCATAGCAACAACACTGAACCTCTTCAGAACCTCCAGGTCAGTAATTCTTCCTTCAATCAAAATATGTATAGGCAAAATAGCTTTCGGAAGTATTTGATTCATCTAAAATATGTTTTTTTTTGTGTGAAAGTAGATAATAGGAAGAACAGGGTAATAAACTACAACAACTGGTGTTAAATAATTTTTAATTTTTCTTTTTCACATCAAACTTACAGAGTCTACATTGAAGATTTGAGTGCTGGAACATTTTTCACAATTTCTATCACAATTCGAAATATCAGAAACTTTTCAACATATACAATGTTTATGACACAGAAATAACTGCCATAGGAAAAATGAACCACAATATCGTATGTTTCAAGTCCATCCAATAAATCTTCAATGTCCTAATGATTTCATGGCTAACAGCTGATAGTTTTGTTATACTCTGCAAGGAAAAATGAAGAAATTTTTACATCAAAATATGATTTTGAGACATGTAGTGGATCTGAACTTTTGATTGGACTATCAATGCATGATGTATAAATAACATTGCAGACAATAAAACTGTTAAACTATTGATGCAATCAATGCCACTGACACATGCTAGTCACTGACATGGTGTGTTTGGATCTTTTACCCTACAATGTTTACAGATGTGGCATGGGCTTAAAAAATAAAATGTCATTACAACTGGCTCTGGGAGAATGACTAATATTAGAAGCGTTTTTATGTACAAGGAACTGCACAGTAAAATGAGATATAACATTGATAAATAAGACTAAAATGTTTAAAAAAAAATTAAGAAATCTATTTATCCTACTTGTGTCTGAAATATTACCAGAAACTCTCAAAGTGTACTTACTTTTTTACTGCCATGAAAGAACTGGTGCCCTCAATATCAAAGCCAACCAGACTACGTTTGCCCACTATTCGTCCAATTTGGTACATAAGAAATATTTCAAAGCACACTGTGGCATTTAGTGCAATATCCTGAAAGCAATAAAACCGAAATAAAACTTCAAAACTTAAATGAACTATATGAAATATTGTTATAAATCTGAAACATTCTTGTAAATATACTGAAATGGTGTGCTTTATATACCAGAGAAACATTAAATCTCCATGACCGTATTTATGTATATCTACCAGAAACATTAGCATTGATACAAAATAATTTCTCGTGTGCCAGAAGAATCATTAAACACTGCTAGCTTTCTAACATTACGTAAATTACACATGGAATACAGTACCTTCATTGTTAGATTAGGAAGCCTGTTAACATTGGCCAATTGTTTCAATCCAGACACCACCTGTGGAATCTCTCCCACTGGTGGAGCCAATTCCACTTTAGCAATAGCCCAAAATCGTTCTAGATGTGGTTGTTGTGCTACAAAAAAAAAAAAAGAATTTTATTTGTAATGACATCTGTTGAAACGATTTTGATTTTGTAACATATAGCAAATTTAATGACTGCAGAAACATGAGGCCCAAATCATTGGTAAGTCTACTGTTTGTCTTCAAACACAAATCAGTGATTTTTTGGATGCAGGCATGAAGTCCTAGGCTCATACTTTTTCTTTGGGACTCACAAAAATTTTGAGAAAACAATATATCTCTTAGCATTGAAACTAATCAAAATTTTGCAATTAGTGTTCAGAGCTTGCCAGGAAAAATTCTACAAAATTCACCGACAAATACCTCGCATAAAGTTTTCTGGTTGTAGTCAGAAGAACAGACACAAGTACCTGGCAATAAAGTCTACTGGTTATATTCAGAATGACAGACAGGTATTTGACAACAAAAGCCACTGGTCGTAGTCATAATAGCAAATAATACTATCTGACAACAAAGCATAGTCATCAGAACGACACACAGATATCGGACAACCAAGACTATTTGTTGTAGTCATAATGATGAAAAAAATATACCTGACAACAAAGCCTAGTGGTTGTAGTCAGAATGACAGACAAGCAAGTGACAACAAAGTCTACTGGTTGTATAGTCTGATATAAGAGATTTGTGACAGAATTATCACTCTACGGCACTGCGTGACAGTAAACACTGTGGGTGGCAAACAGTTGGCAATGATCATCCTAAGCAGCTGAGTGTCAATTATTTAGAATTTCTTTCATGTCTGGCTCACACAGCATTTTGCCAGCTGATATAACTTGAGGTCCCAACTCTATTATAACTGATTGGTATCCACTGTACTGAGCATGAAATATTGGCATATGTACTGTAAAAGAGCAACAGTATTTCACTAAATATTTTGACAAGATAATCGCATCCACAATATCCCTATTCATTACATCACACAAATAATTGTAAGACCCACAGCTATATATAGCTATGTGCTTTGATAACACTAAAAACCCATGACAAGGTTTAACAAACACTGATCCAAAGTGAAATGAAACCTTGGATTTCTTAGTCATTTTAGATGTAAGGATTTCAAAAGATAACCATATAATAACCAACACATTATCTAATGTTTGGAACAAGCCATTTTCTTTCTTGATAGTAGTTTCCTGGCAGCACATTTTTAAGCACTTTGTCATCATCTTGGTTGATTGCAGAATAAAATGATACAACTTCCCTAATTAGGCCTCCCAAAAGCATAGCTGTGTTTCTGTTTCTCGATTGTCTCTATCTATTTTGCTATCAACCTTATTTTTTTCAATGTTTAGGCAAAAGAACTGCTCTTATGTATCTGTGTTATGCTTTGGTTTGTCCTGCAATCTCTAGAAATACTAGTACACTGGCAAATTCATTTCGATACTTGACATATATATTTATACATACAAGTTTCAAATATTCTCAACAATTTTCTAGAAAAACTAAACTAACAGGAGGTTTACAAGTCTATAGAAAATCTGTATAGTGGAAGCAATTTTAAATATGCTGGAAGGTAATGTTGTTGGTGATAATGAATGGAAAACCCTTGTGTACAACATTCAATTGCTTTCACAAATTTTTCATGTTTCATTAATAACTATTTAACATTGCCTGAGTACTGATCCAATATGGATCACTCGCCAAAATTTCGTGTTTTTACAAAGGAACAAACTCTGACTATTGAATAAAATTGCAGATAGATAGTCGGAACCCCTCAGATTAGTGTAGTGTAGACTGTAGTGTAAAGGAGTTGGTCAGAGTTGCTTATTTCTCTATTGTGTTATTAATGTTTTCATAAAGGGAAAAACTCTCACCATCGACCGGAAACAAAAAGAAAGAAGGGGAAAAAGAAAAGACAAAAATTGAAATCAAAGAATATGTTTCCTTTTCTAATATTGAGTGTGTTGCCCTTCAAATGTCCTTTTCGATAATAAAGTAAAGGTAAAAAAACCCCAGTACAACGTTATTACCAATGAAGAAGTAAATCTAACATTGGCTGGACCAAGTATTATGCATATATGTCTATGCAAAATGCTTCATCAAGCACCAGACAACTTGCAGTGCTCCTATTAATGATACACATCCTACATTCTTCATCATACGTGAATGACCTTTTAAGTTTGCAAAAGATTACAATTTAAGTTCGAGTCTGAAGTAATAATCACGTGCAATAACTTTAAACAGGAAACTAAGGGGAGTGAAACCGTATACCTTTGGCGAGATTTGCTCCTTTAGTAAGTAAAGGAACGACTTTTCCGGCCAACGACACCGCACTTTTCCCAGCCGCCGCCATGGTGCTATCAAAATGGTGGCCGTCTACGTTGAGAAAGCACTTATTTACAAGGGATAAATGCAAACGTTCGAGAGACCACTAATGGGGCCCAAGAGAGGGTATGTGTGTGATTTAGATTGAATAACCTGCCTTCGTTTCCAAGTGTAAACAAATAAATCGAAGCAAAGTCTAGTAGAAGGCATCTGTATCTAGAACGTTATCAATTCAAACAAAAAATCAACTCCACTATACGCATCATGCAGTGCACAGTATACAGGATTTTTGCTTGTGTCGTTCGCGTTCTAGTTACGGGTGCCGGTTATCGAGAGGAGAACAGAAAAATAACGGCAGATAATATAAGTCTAAGGGACTTGTTACACGTATTGTAGTTATACTTGATTAAAACGAGTTACGTGTGATTTACATAGTTTCAGTTTTTATTATGATTATTTGTTAGCCGTTTAACTGTAAACATTATTAAAATTATAGTGTGGGGTTTTCGTAAAGCTTGGGGAGGGGCAGCGGGGATGATTTGACTGACGTTCGGTTAGCTACATGTAGCTTGCAGTCGGTACTGTGAAGTAGAGTAAGACCCTTCAATTGCTTGTCTCCCCCAAACCGATGTACATTTCACTGCATTGTGCCTTTGCGTAGGTCTATCACATTGTTACATTAAAACAATAAATTTATCGTATTTGTGGATTTGGAATACCGAGGAAGACGACCAAAATAAACATTCGGAATATCCTCGCACATTATCATTCGAAGTTCTTCTGGCATTTTTCATTAGATACGCACACTACGGGTAAGTGTTGATAGGTAAAATTCAACGAGTATCTTTAACATTCGTATTGACATCAAAATGACACTGGTATTTTATAATGTTTAAGGTTGATAATCAATGGGGTAATAAGAGTTGTAACTTAATAATCGTTCAAAGTCTAAAAGCGAGTTGTTATTTTTCGCGACTTGGGACATGTTTGATAACGGTTTGATAAGCTGTGATTAAGCACAGCCCATACATTATTTTAGCGGACAGTTGATAATCTCGCTACACGCTAATGTCAATAACCTCGGCTATTAAAGTCCTAATATACGCATAACTTTCGAGATTCAGATAGTGTAGAAGGAAACTTTCATTTGATAAGATAGGATTTTAGACAGAGTGGTACCATACCATAGTCCGGAGTTTGAGTAACAACTACTGCTTTGAGTAATAAATACACTCTCTCACAGAGTAATAGTAATGCATTTGAGTGACGATTACTGGTTTAAGTATCGGTAGTTAATTGGTTTCTCAAATGAATGGTTTGGAATAGACATATGTGGGTGCAGGTCCAATCTGTCATTTGCTTTACAAGATGGACATTGATTTTTAATATAGGAGCAGCAAGCTATATAGAGGTGATGGACATTGTGCTGAACTACGCTGACCACTATGTGCTGACACCCTATGTGTACCCCAACACATGGCAGGAAGATGACCCCTTGCGACAGGTGATCAGTCTCTTACTGGTGACCAACATTGGAGGGTATTTGCTCTACCTCAGCACAGCAACCATCAGCTACCATTTCATATTCGACAAACGCTTGATGGAACATCAACAATTCTTACAGGTAGGTGTAAGGGCGTATAGTGGGTAATGGTATTGGGCTGGCATGTTAGGGGTGGGATAGAATAGTGCGATAGAGTGGTGGTATTTGGGCGTTGTGTGTTATAGAGACCGTAATGGTATTGGGGAGCATGAAAGATTGGATATTAAGTGTGAGGTTGGATTTTAAAGTTATATAGACTGTGGTGGTAATGTGGAGTATGGAGGATGGGATATTGAGTGTGGGGGTGGATGTTTGTGTTATATAGACTATGGTGGTAATGTGGAGTATGGAGGGTGGGATATTGAGTGTTGGGGTGGATCAGGGTTTTCCATAATTTTGTTAGTAGTAGGCTGTGTAGTGAAAGTAGGAGGCTGGCCTGCCGTGTACGTGTAGTCGTGTACAGAACATTATTACGGAACTGGATTGGTGTAGACGGCCAAATGATCAAAGTAGCCAGTCAAATTGGCTGGCGACCGGCTCTTGTGGAAAACCCTTGAGTGGATGTTTATATTATATAGACTGTGGTAGTATTGTGAAATATAGAGGATGAGATATTGAGTATGGGAGTAGATGTTTGTGTTATGTAGACAGTGGTCGAATTGAGGAGTGTTACAGATGAGATACTGAGTGTGGGAATAGATGTTTATGAGAAAGAGACGGTGGTTGAAGTAGGATAGGTGTGTGTGTTTGCGGTCCATCATCAGATGGTGGGCTATTCAAATCACTCTGCGTCAGTGGTCTGTGGTTTGTCCATCTGTCCGTCGTCCGTCTGTTTCATAAACAAAATTGTTTCTGCTATTTCTTGAGAAGTATTAGACAGATCTTTCTCAAATTGTATATGTAGGTTCCCCAAGGTTCCTAGTTGCGCCTCTGTGATTTTGGGACTGATCCAAAAAATTAAGTGGCCAACAGGCAATCATCTTGGAATTTTTCCTGAAGTTTGTTATTGCTATTTCTTGGAAATTAAGAGACAGATCTCTCTCAAATGTCACATATAGGTACCCCTTGGTCTCTAGTTGTGTCCATGTAATTTTGAGAGTGATCAGAAAAACAAAAGGGCCGAAAGGAGACCATCTTTGATTTTGACTTTGAAAGTTTGTTATTGCTATTTCTTGAGATTAAGAGGATGGATCTTTCTTGAATATCATATGTAGGTTTCCCATTGTCCCTTGTTGTGTCTGTTTGAGTTTGGGACTGATCAGAAAAACAAAATGGCCGACAGGCAGCCATCTTGGATTTGGCCAAGTAAAGGTTATTGCCATTTCTTAAGAAGTACTCAATGGATGTCTCTCAAATATCATATGTATTTTCCGTTTGATCTCTCATTGTGCTCATTCGATATTTGGACTGATCAGGAGAAACCAAATGGCTTCCAGGCAGTCATTTTGGATTCGACAGGTCATTGTGCGCCAAAAAGGAAAATAAGACTATTTTGCTTCAAAACACTACTCCTTTCGAATGCTTGAATGGATTTCAACCAAATTTATTGTGAAACACCATTCAGAATTAGGAATCATTTCTTAAATTCAGAAATTTGATTTGACCCTTAGGGCAGGGTCCCAAAAGGAAAATAAGTCAATATTTTGCTTCAAAACACTACTCCTTTTTAATACTAGAATTGATTCAACCAAATTGGTCTGAAACATCATTAAGATTAGAGAATCATTTCTGACCTCAGAAAGTTGATTCGACCTGTGGGGGCTTGGGGGCACCACCCACTATTCCAAAAGGGGAAGTTAGACAGGATTTTGCTTCAAAATGCTACTCTTTCTTAATGCTTGAATGGATTTCAACCAAATTTAGACTAAAACATCACTTGGAGTGGGGAATCATTTCTTAAATTCAGAAAGTTGATTTGACCCCTAGTGAATAGGAATGACCTTGATCTGTTGAAAGGTCACAGGGATCAAATATGTGAAAATCTTTCACTGACTTCCTCTCAATAACCAAGAGGCCAAGGATGATGATATTAGGCCTGAAACATGCTAGGATGAAGGGCTTCAAACTTTGGTAATATGAATGACATTAACCCATTTTCACAGGTATCAAATGTGTTGAGATGTTTGATTGGTTGAGTGTCAGACTAGTAAGCCAGGGGTCCGAGGTTCAATTCCTAGCGGAGGCATTGAGATGAAAAATGACCTCTGTTACAACTATAATGTCAAGGGTCTTGATATTGGGTCTGTGGCAGTTACTTAGTACATGTATAAAGAATATGCTTTCAAGTTTGCAGAAAATGTCTTGATGAACCAACAATGTCTTCTATGTAAGCTGTAGAGTAATTGAGCAATTTGCCTTCGGCTTATTTTGACTCTTTCATGAATAGGTCTTTGTAGTCAGATGACCATTAAAGCCCATGGGCCTCTCGTTTGTTCTGAACATCTGACCCATTTAATAACATTCCACTATTGTCAGATATATCTTGCATACACATGTATTTCTCTGATGGTCAGATTTGTGTGCCTTGATTCAATACTGAAGTTTGTCTACAGATGCCGACTTCACAATTTTTGTGAATGTGAAGCACAAACAAAACGCGTTAGGGTAGACCTGACCATCTGTACCTAAACAGGATTTCTCTATACTTTGTTTACAGAACCAAGTTCGACTGGAGATTCTCTACACACTGAAATCAGTTCCGCTCATGAGTCTACCAACAGTTGTTCTGTTTTTTATTGAGGTTAGAGGTCACAGTAAACTGTATGACGATGTAGGAACATCCCGACTAAGTAAGTTTCAAAGAATAGATACTTGTACTCTCTTGTGATGTTTGTTCATCATATAACTACCCTGTTATCAGGGCAATAACACCCATTACATAACTACTCTGTTATCAGTGTAATAATACCCATTACATAACTACCCTGTTATCAGGGCAATAACACCCATTACATAACTACTCTGTTATATGTGTAATAACACCCATTACATAACTACCCTGTTATCAGTGTAATAACACCCATTACATAACTACCCTGTTATCAGTGTAATAACACCAATTACATAACTACCCTGTTATCAGTGTAATAACACCCATTACATAACTACCCTGTTATCAGTGTAATAACACCAATTACATAACTACCCTGTTATCAGTGTAATAACACCCATTACATAACTACCCTGTTATCAGGGTAATAACACCCATTACATAACTACCCTGTTATCAGTGTAGTAACACCCATTATACAACCCTGTTATCAGTGTAGTAACACCCATTATACAACCCTGTTATCAGTGTAGTAACACCCATTATACAACCCTGTTATCAGTGTAGTAACACCCATTATAGAACCCTGTTATCAGTGTAGTAACACCCATTATTCAACCCTGTTATCAGTGTAGTAACATCCATTATACAACTCTGTTATCAGTAAATAACACCCATTATATAACTACCCTGTTATCAGGGTAATAAAACCCATTATACAACCCTGTTATCAGTGTAGTAACACCCATTATACAACCCTGTTATCAGGGTAATAAAACCCATTATACAATCCTGTTATCAGTGTAGTAACACCCATTATACAACCCTGTCATCAGGATAATAAAACCAATTATACAACCCTGTTATCAGTGTAGTAACACCCATTATACAACCCTGTTATCAGGGTCATAAAACCCATTATACAACCCTGTTATCAGTGTAGTAACACCCATTATACAACCCTGTTATCAGGGTAATAAAACCCATTATACAACCCTGTTATCAATGTAGTAACACCCATTATACAACCCTGTTATCAGTGTAGTAACACCCATTATACAACCCTGTTATCAGTGTAATAACACCCATTACAGAACTACTTTGTTCTCAGAGTATCATCAATCAATTATCTGTTTACACTTTCATTTACAGTTGACGGGTTTGTTTGCTTAGTTAAAACAAAAATTCAGCTTGAAGCTTTTAATAATTTCCTTTCACTTGGTATTTGTGTGTTACAGGTGGGTTTATTGCCTAGTAGTTTGATGTGTTATAGGAAAATTGTATCAAAAACAATGTATTACAGTTAGACTGTATTGATCAATGTTGTTTTATTTTTGTGTTACAGATTGGCTGTTTGTATTAACAAGTGTTGCTACATTCATCCTATTTACGGACATGTGTATCTACTGGATTCATCGATTTCTCCACCACCGGTCCATCTACAAGTACATACACAAGGACCATCACAAATGGAAGGTCCCCACACCATTTGCCAGTCATGCATTCCACCCATTGGATGGATTTCTCCAGAGCTGCCCCTATCACATATATCCATTCCTCTTCCCCCTCCACAAGTACACCTATCTTGCACTCTTTGTCTTTGTCAACATCTGGACCGTGTCAATCCATGATGCAAACTACAAGGTACCGGGGATTCTGAAGCCGGTAGTGAATGGTTCGGCCCATCACACAGATCACCACCTCTTCTACAACTACAACTATGGTCAGTTCTTCACCCTCTGGGACCGGATTGGGGGCTCCTTTAGGAACCCCAGTGCCTTTGAAGGAAAAGGACCTCTAGAGGAGATGTTAAAGGCAAAGCACAGCTCACCAAATGGACAAGTGAAAAATGGGCATTATATGAACGGGCATGTAAGTGATGTGAAGATTGGGAAAAAAGACTAGACAAATGTCTGTTATTTTTCATTGTTGATACATTTTCTACAAAATCTTCTGATCTCATTATCTCTGACTTAGCTGTCTTTACAAGTACTTTCATACAACCCTTTCACTTTGATTGTGGCAACAACTGTTTTGTCTTATCATTATAATCATCCCAAAACAGCAATGTTCCATAAATAGGAATTGTACATTTGTAAAATAGAATTATATTTTCTATGAATTGTGCCTTTGGAAGAGATATTATATGATACACATTTAAATCACTGTCATTCTTGTAATATTGAATTTATTTCACATTTTTATTGATTCCAACAAGAGTACCGCTAAGCAATATAGGATAAACTTAAATACATTCTAGTATTGAAATTAAACAGAATCTGAATCAGAAGGGAAGCTCAACAATATACCATGTGAAATTGATCCCAATAAATTAAAAATAAATTGGTTAAAAACTAGGGGAGATGAAATAGAAGTAAGATCAAATGGTTCTGTAAAGAACAAAAGACTAAAATTTAATGGTAAAACTGTCACATCTTTTAATGCCTATCAAGGTCTAAAGAGTCCAATTAAAATGGTCATATTTCAGGAACCCTCAAATTGTTAACTCAGAATGGGAAAAGTGTGCCAAGAAACTGACTGTTTACTGAAAGAAGAGCTTTTTAAGATATTACGATAATGCTATGGTACACTATAGCAATGATATACAGATTATCTCTATAGAGACAGGAGAGTGACATCCTGTATTTATGATGTACAATAATGCTATGGTACAATATAGCAATGATATACAGAAGATTTTCTCTGTAGAGACAGGAGGGTGACCTTGTGTATTTATGATGTTATAATAATGCTGTGTTACACTAAGCAATGATATACAGAAGATTTTCTCTATAGAAACAGGAGGGTGACCTCGTGTATTTGTGATGTTATAATAATGCTGTGTTACACTAAGCAATGATATACAGAAGATTTTCTCTATAGAAACAGGAGGGTGACCTCGTGTATTTGTGATGTTATAATAATGCTGTGTTACACTAAGCAATGATATACAGAAGATTTTCTCTATAGAAACAGGAGGGTGACCTCGTGTATTTGTGATGTTATAATAATGCTGTGTTACACTAAGTAATGATATACAGAAGATTTTCTCTATAGAGACAGGAGGGTGACCTCGTGTATTTGTGATGTTATAATAATGCTGTTACACTAAGTAATGATATACAGACGATTTTCTCTATAGAGACAGGAGGGTGACCTCGTGTATTTGTGATGTTATAATAATGCTGTGTTACACTAAGCAATGATATACAGACGATTTTCTCTATAGAAACAGGAGGGTGACCTCGTGTATTTGTGATGTTATAATAATGCTGTGTTACACTAAGTAATGATATACAGACCATTTTCTCTATAGAAACAGGAGGGTGACCTCGTGTATTTGTGATGTTATAATAATGCTGTGTTACACTAAGTAATGATATACAGAAGATTTTCTCTGTAGAGACAGGAGGGTGACCTCGTGTATTTGTGATGTTATAATAATGCTGTGTTACACTAAGTAATGATATACAGACGATTTTCTCTATAGTGACAGGAGGGTGACCTCGTGTATTTGTGATGTTATAATAATGCTGTGTTACACTAAGTAATGATATACAGACGATTTTCTCTATAGAGACAGGAGGGTGACCTCATGTATTTGTGATGTTATAATAATGCTGTGTTACACTAAGTAATGATATACAGACGATTTTCTCTATAGAGACAGGAGGGTGACCTCCTGTATTTATTACATATTTGTGTTATGGTTTGTTACAGCAATGCTGTTTTTGTTGACTCAGTACTTTATAAAGAGTATCTTGAGAAATTCCTGGTAATGCCAAATTCTACTATTGTAGTTGTTTTTCTCTTTGTAAAAGAAGGTCATGTGAACTGTTTATTGTTATATCTACATGTGATAATTGTTGGTGATATAATAATTAATGGTGTGTTAAGTACAAATGTACTCTGTTATTGTATTATGTTTTCTATTTACAATTATCTGTGTCTTATTTTAATTATCCATTTTAGACCATTTATATCTATCAATCCTTTTAAGTGCTATATTCTTATTATATCATGCAGATGTGTAAAATTGACTTTGAAAAAACATTTGTATGTTTAGTTAAATTTGCTATTTTAACACTGTTGACAAGATGTGGACAGGTAAACTCCTGTTTTGTATAAAACACCCCTAGATCTAATATTTTAGTAATAAATTAGGAATGCTAGTTTGCCTTTTAGTTCCTTCATTAGGTACAGATTATGTGTATACCATGTATGTACCTATTAGTACGTTAAAAATCTGTTGTTAATATCCTAGATTTTAGTTATAATCAGTTCAGTTTTGACAAATACATGGGTTCTGATGAAACATCACCTACGATGCGAAACCAGTCAACCATAAAAATGTAGCAAATAAAATACAGAAATTGCGGAGGTGTGTTGTGGTTGTATATCATCACTTCCACTTGTCACCGATACAACCGCCCTGCGTACCTAGAAGTATCCACACCGACAGGTAGGGATCTTAGCTTGAACTTCATTGGTTGGTTCCAAACTTAGAACCTCATATAGATATTATGTATATTTCTGAGAAAGTTATCTTAATCATGAATTCTTTATGTTTATGTGTCTACACCTGGTAACAACTGACATATGTATATTTCTGTTGAGTTCTTTTTTACAAATAGCAATGACTGTCTACTTGTAAAATGGGTTTGGATTGTGCAATTTTCTTTTTTCACCTGCATATTTTGATATTTGAAAACCTAGTAATTGGAGAATTTCAGTACATTAAAATTTGATGTATTTCTTTATACCAAATATATCATTTATATTCTTTATATTCACATTTATCTCTAAACATTTGTTAAACTGTAATTTGAAAACAATTGTCAAATTTTACAAAAGTTTTATTTCTATTGTTGGCAGTTCTACAACAAGTATGGAAATGTTATACTTTTCTCTGTCAACAGTTTGTCTTAATACAGTTCTTTGTCATCACTTTTTCTCTGTCAACACTTTGTCTTGATACAGTTCTTTGTCAACACTTTGTCTTAGTACAGTTCTCTGTCAACACTTTGTCTTAATACAGTTCTTTGTCAACACTTTGTCTTAATACAGTTCTCTGTCAGCATTTTGTCTTAATACATTTCTCTGTCAACACTTTGTCTTAATACAGTTTTCTGTCAACACTATGTCTTAATGCAGTTATCTGTCAACGCTTTGTCTTAATATAGTTCTCTGTCAACACTTTGTCTTAATACAGTTATCTGTCAACGCTTTGTCTTAATACAGTTCTCTGTCAATACTTTGTCTTAATGCAGTTCTCTGTCAACACTTCAGCATTTTATAGTTCTTTGTCAACACTTTAGCGCTATATAGTTCTGTGTCAGAACTTTGTCTTGATGTAGTTCTTTATCAAGATTTTAGAGAAGTAACTCCGTAGGTCAGGTTTGGAAAATATGTAACCTGGTTGCTGCTAGTTCTTCTACCTTGAAAAGTGTTCTTTGCCAATAACATGTCCTCATACAACTGTTCGATGTCAACATTTCGTCTTGATACATTCCTGTACATTTTCTTTATCTTGCATGGTTTGTTATTATGATATATTTTTCATGTTACTATGGTAACAATTTATTAAAAGAATTTGTTTGAAGAAGATGTTTCCTTTACTTTTAGAATTGTTCTAGATAATGCACATTTATGGTGTCTAGTATAAATTGCTTTTCATTTTGTAAATGTGATGTACTTAATTAAAGAGGATGAAACAAAACACAGCATTGTGTGGATTTTCACACATTGTCTCTAATGGACCTCTGATTCCTGGATACACAAGAATTTTGTTATATTTGAACTTTTTACAAACACCACAAAATTGTATGAATTTATAATTATTTAACTGTGGACCAATAGCTGTTTCCTGTATCTCATGACATGCTTGAGAATAAGTGAAATTTGACATGTAGACTGCAATGTGAAAAGGTTTTATCCTCCTTGAATTCAAGTAAAATAACCTTGACCTTCAAGGTCTCAAGTGTCAAAATTGTTAAAAAAATTCATGAATGTCTTCATTTCTTATAAAGTATTATCGGTAGAGTGATGTTTTGTGAATCGTGATATATGGTAGAGTCATAGGTTTTTAATAATGGAAACGCTTTAAGCAAATGTACATTTTGTATACAAGTCCATCAGCAATCCAGCTTTATTATATTTTGATCATCCCACTACATGTAAGCAGTATGTAAAAGCCCCTAGAGCACCTTGTTTAATTTATTTTATTTTAGTTTTTAAATATTTTCATGAAAAATTTTACCTCTATCATTTGCAATATACCCGGTGTTTCCATAATATTTCTGTGTATTTAATCACTATGAGTGTCTACAATTAAATATTTGTACAGAAGCCAATAGACCTCTGTTCTTTGTTCAAATTACCCAGATCTTGCTTTCAGGACCTTATTTAGCCTGAAACTGAACAGTTTTTAATATAATTAACTGCTAGCGGTACAAAATCAATGCCGGCAATAACAAACCTATTCTCTGGTTTAAAGATTTTCGTTATCAGTATGTTATCAAAAGGACTAAGATTGTCAGTTTGAAGTAGAAGGACCTCCATTATCAGTGTCTGTTGTAGAAGGACCTCCATTATCAGTCTGTTGTAGAAGGACCTCCATTATCAGTGTCTGTTGTAGAAGGACCTCCATTATCAGTCTGTTGTAGAAGGACCTCCATTATCAGTGTCTGTTGTAGAAGGACCTCCATTATCAGTCTGTTGTAGAAGGACCTCCATTATCATTCTGTAGTAGAAGGACCTCCATTATCAGTGTCTGTTGTAGAAGGACCTCCATTATCAGTCTGTTGTAGAAGGACCTCCATTATCAGTGTCTGTTGTAGAAGGACCTCAATTATCAGTCTTTTGTAGAAGGACCTCCATTATCAGTCTGTTGTAGAAGGACCTCCATTATCAGTCTGTTGTAGAAGGACCTCCATTATCAGTCTGTTGTAGAAGGACCTCCATTATCAGTGTCTGTTGTAGAAGGACCTCAATTATCAGTCTTTTGTAGAAGGACCTCCATTATCAGTCTGTTGTAGAAGGACCTCCATTATCAGTCTGTTGTAGAAGGACCTCCATTATCATTCTGTAGTAGAAGGACCTCCATTATCAGTGTCTGTTGTAGAAGGACCTCAATTATCAGTCTTTTGTAGAAGGACCTCCATTATCAGTCTTTTGTAGAAGGACCTCCATTATCAGTCTGTAGCAGAAGGACCTCCATTATCAGTCTGTTGTAGAAGGACCTCCATTATCAGTGTCTGTTGTAGAAGGACCTCCATTATCAATCTGTTGTAGAAGGACCTTCATTATAATTATGTAGTAGAAGGACCTCCATTATCAGTCTGTTGTAGAAGGGCCTCCATTATCAGTCTGTTGTAGAAGGACCTCCATTATCAGTCTAATGTAGAAGGACCTCCATTATCAGTCTGTTGTAGAAGGACCTCAATCATCAGTCTTTTGTAGAAGGACCTCCATTATCAGTCTGTTTAAAGGACCTCCATTATCAGTGTCTGTTGTAGAAGGACCTCCATTATCAGTCTGTTGTAGAAGGACCTCCATTATCAGTCTGTAGTAGAAGGACCTCTATTACCAGTCTGTTTTTTGTAGGAGAAGCCTTATTTCCATATTCGAAAGATTGTCTGTTACTTAATTGTTTTTCAGTCTGGATAGTACCTTACATCGTTTCATGTACATCAAAGGATCAAACTAGTCTTTTCGTCTTGTCCACAAGATATCGCTGTGAAACCTTCAATTTTGACATGACATGTTCTAGGGGTGCACAGAGCGAAAGTGATCATAAACCCTAGAACATCGAGGATGATAAGAGCGAAGATGGCTATGCCCATTTGTACTTTCGGCTATTCTTTTCGCAGAAATATTTTTGTAATGCTGATTCTCTAGATTCGTAAAGGCAACGAAATAAAGTGTTATGTGGTAAAACATGTCTCGTCACTTTTGATGTACCATGAAATTATGGTGCCATAGTGTATATAACCCGGTCAGCAATATACAGCTTGATAACATTATACTATAAATGTCTAATGCCATGTGGGGAAGGCACTTTGATCACTATCCAGCCATTAACATGAAACCACATTTTTAATACTGAAAAAAAAAACCCAAAACATTTTAACTGCCTTTATTGAATAAAAGCAAGAAGTTAATTGTCTTTTTCTGAGAACAAAATTTCCCTTTCTTACACATCGTAGCAACCAACAGCAACATGCCTCCTGCTTTTATAATCGTTTGCGAAATATAAGACATCGCAGGTTTCTATCTGGCTTTAATGGTTGCAATTGACAACAAATTACAGCATAATGTATAATAAATTTCAATCTGCTAAAGCCTTAATTGTCTAACGAAAACATTAGGAAAAGTATATTTCGTTTTTAAAATGCAATGTGACATTCTGTAGCTCTATTTTTCGGCCTACTTTTAGCATTACCATCAGTGTTCGTGATCCGGAAGTAACACATGACTAGATTTTCTCGTCTCATAATTTAGCTAATTACTGTATGAAAGTAGAGTATACGACCATGATATATTCCGTTGTATTCTAATGTCATATTTTGATATGTCGTAAAGCTTTAGAGGTGAAATGATGTCCATAAAGGCGTAAAAATATGGAAGGGTCTGTCCAGATTTGTGGGCGAATCGTCCGATTCGAAAGAAAAAGTTCTTGATTTACCTCCCTTTTATCGGAAAGCGGAAATAAAAGAATATTCACAAACATGGCGACTACTGTCTTTGTAGCTCCTGTGATATTATGGACTTTTCTGTTTACCACGGGTAAGTGATCTGTAGACTGTCGCCATTATGAAATATGAATTAGAAAGACATAACAAAATCCGACTAAAACTTGTTATATCAATCTTGTCTTTTTCAGTTTTTCTTCCGTATTCTCTAAATGAGTCATTGGATATAAAGCAATACTATTTATCCCGCAAAAACTTCAATACACATAAAAAAACAAGTATGTCACTGACATTTTTCATCGAGTGGAAATAGCGTCACAGTTATCTATACTATTTAATTTGCACTTCAAATGATTACATGGACATTTTTTTAATATAAATTAGAGTGTATTTAATAAGAGATGAAACAGTATCCATGGCACATTAGTTTCGGGCACCTTCAGAATATTTTTGCTAGCTACGTTATGTCGACGAATTGTCACCAAATAAATTCGTAAATGACTGACTGATATATGACCAATGTTTTTTCTTAAAAAAGAATATTCACAAATATGACTTCAAATTCGCTCACCTGAAATGATCGACATGTGTATCAGACATGTGACTGCACTTCTGTATCTGATGACATCACTAAATGACAGAGGCGTTTGAGTTAGTGATTTTGATCAGGAACAACATGTGATGATTTAAAATCATTTTCAATTAATAACAAATAAAAATAAATGTTACATGTTCCAATGATGTTGATATTTGCCATGTGAATTTCCTTGATGTGGAATGTCATTAAGATAGCATGACAATCAGTTCTTTTTGTAAACAAAATAAATAACAATTAGAAATGGTTTTAAGAGAGACAGAGAGAGAGAGAGACAGAGAGAGAGAGAGACAGAGAGAGGGAGAGAGAGAGAGAGACAGACAGAGACAGAGAGAGGGAGAGAGAGAGTCATCATGCCTTTGTATAAAATATCGTTGTTAGCTGATGGATGATGAAACTAATCAAAGTTTCCAAAATGATTGATTATATTTTCCAAATTATCTGCCTTTGGAAAGGAAATTAGCTCTTAACTCCAGACCAGGGATGTGTGGATATGTAGCAGTTCAAATATTTTGTTGTTCAGATTTAAAACTCTTAATTTAACAAAAATCCTTTTATTTTCAGAGCTGTACTTTTTGGTAGTTATCTTCCATTTCTGACATTAAAGCTCTAATCTCAATAAAATGTGAAGACATCACTCAAAATTTCATGTCATTTGAGAAAAACATTTTCATCAGATAACTTTTAATGGTAAAACATATTGATATATGATATCAAAGTGTTTGACAACTATATTCCTCATTGCAGCCAAATGCAGGGCTCTCGATCTGCCAGATTTGGGGCCGATATTCAGCCCCATTCCCAATGCAAAATAGTATCTTTTTTTCCCAATTTAGACCCCAAGTTTTCCCAACTCTAAGGAAAACACCATTATTTTTCCCAATTCTAAGGGCCGCGGACCTCAGTCCCAAAATGGGGTGTGAGAGCCCTGAAATGTGTGTTATTTATCTGAACAATTTAAATATGAAATTATCATAACATTCATAATCCTACGTACCCTTAGGATTACTCTGGTATAAGGTCTATTTTGATTCTTAAATAAAGTGTCTTCATACTCATACTTTCCTGAAGCAAATAGGCAACAACCATCTAAACCCAGGGCTTACTGTCAACAAACTGTAAGTGAGACAACGCCATCTAGATTTTTGACAATTTATTGACTTATCATTCTTTTGGGTTATTTAATGCTTGAATTGGGAAAAATATATACAGATAAGTATCGTAAAAATATTTAAAGTGATCTCACCTGAAAAAAATCCAGCAAAAAAAGGATATATTATATACTGGTCACTGATGCATTTTATTTCTGAAGAAAGATGGAATAAAAAAGACTTCACAAAATAACATTATGCAGCATTTGATACAGTGATGGGTATTTTCTTTTTTATTAGTTTGTGCTTCTCCGATCATTTTAACAATACAATCACCTTCTTGTGATTCCAGCTAGTGGTGTAAGAGTGAGCAACAAGACATATGTGGAGATTAATGGTGTGTCTGCCTGCTTTAGAAGATTCAACGCCACACATCAAATAGGATGCAATTGTAAGGAAGTGTTTTTCATATATAATACTGGCTTTAAAGCTAGAGGTAGTCCTTTGATGAAGCAGTTTGTATCCTTTACTGGAATATTATATCTAATTTTGTAGAGCTGTTAACAAGCTACAGAAGTAGCAAGCATTGTATGAAGAATCTTTTTATACACAAGCCTTTTGTAAGTTACAATAATTTTGTATAATTAATAGTCTTTATTGAAACATTCAATCCTTTCAAAAAATTTTCTTGTAGCTAAAGCATCTGGGAATGTAGGAGTTGTTTACTATGTAGAATCTACAGATGATATCGACTACATTGTCAACACAGCAAACCAGGCACCATATGCTATCCTAATGGGCCCTAAACTTTTTACACTGTAAGTATACAGTCACTGGCTGTCCTTATGGCCCCCGGCTGTTTACACTGTACGTATACAGTTGGTGGCTGTCCTGATGTGTCCCCGACTGTTTACACTGTACGTATACATTTGGTGACTGCCCTAATGGCCCCCGACTGTTTACACTGTATGTATACAGTCACTGACTGTCCTAATGGGCCCCCTAAATGTTTACACTGTAAGTATACAGTCACTGGCTGTCCTTATGGCCCCCGGCTGTTTACACTGTACGTATACAGTTGGTGACTGTCCTGATGAATCCCCCGGCTGTTTACACTGTTAGTATATTAGTCACTGTCAGATACTCCTATTCTCAATTGGGCCACAGATAATGGAGCTTTTGGTTAATATTTTTTTTATCCCTGTGTTGATGAAACATTATTTGTCTTGTTATCTTAAAATTAGCAAAATTGATGTAAAACTGAATCAGGTAACCTTTGTCTTGTGGTAAGTATTTTGTTAGTGGAAAATAAATACACTTGTTCTAAATACATTGATTTTCAATTGAACTTTTTTTTCAAAAAGATAACACATTATAATGATTATTATGGATGATGAGTTTTATTTTGACAGAAATGGATCCCAGTTACGTTTTTTATATATTAACTAAATTTAAAGAATTTGTAAGCAGTGAAACAATATAAGATTCACAACTAAAAGCTGTCTCTTTATTTCATCATAGGACAAATGTACAAAATTTATGGAACTCCGGAAAGATCAATGGAATGATGGTCATTCATTTGGACACAACTCCCATTCCAGATGCATTCTCTCCGGACACCACCTGTCCGAATGACCAGTATGGTAAGTGATCATCTAGCCAGACAGTTTGTAAAACTACAGCAATTCTGTAGATCACAGCAGGCTAACTCCCTTAATGATGTCATAGTTTACTGGGTGAAGTACCACCTTCCTAGTTACATTACATCATAATAAATTTAACATTACTCTACTGAGATACAAATTTTATTTTTTCCTTTCTCTGTTCTCCTAAAGTTCATCATCTCTCTGGCATCAACTCGGGCCAATAGCCATCATGGCTGACTTGTAATTTATATGAATAGAACATGATGGCATGAAGGACTAATAAGTTATTCAAATAAATGACCTCGGTCTACTTTCAAGATCATGTTGGCAGATGTATTGAAAGTCAAAAAACGAGTTCTTTGGTTACCCTTGACTTCCCCCAACTCCATTTGGTCGATGATGCTGGGATGAATGGCTATCAAATTTGTTAATAGTTAGCATAAATGATCTTGATAATTTCAAAAGTCATGGGAATCAGAAAATATTAACTCCGAATCTTTCACTTGGAGAAGCTGTAGTCAGGTGCTTTAGAATATAAGGTCCCATTAATTTGATGATATTTCAAGAAGTTATTGTTAATGAGTTAAATCCATCAACATAGGTCAGATGGCTTATTTACAAGATTTGTTAATTAAAGCTGGTGTTTAGATGGATGATCCGCTGCAACAAAGTATATATTGGGCTCAAGTATCAATGTGGATTGTGAAAGGACTGATTAGTTTATGCCATATCATGACATCTGTCGGCAAGTCCAGCATCTGTGTCTGTCGGCTTTTTAATAGCAATTGCTACTACTCAAAAGAACAGATTTTTTACCAAATTTGATCAGGAGCATCCTTTGGGGAAGGGGAACCATGTTTACATAAATTGTGGTTATGACTAGAGAGGCGGGGCCCTTAGGGCAAATAGAGCAATTTCTTTAAGATCCTTTTCCTTCTGTAGAAATAATTGGATTTTGTCAAAATTTTGTGCAGTTTTCCTTCGATAAAAAGGAATCAGTTTTGTGCGAACAGTTGGTCAGAATGCCCTGGGGCAGAAGGGTTGGTGTACAATAAGGGAAATAGAGCAAATTCGTTAAAATCAGTCTTTTGTAGGAAAGTCAGTATTATGTCCCAATTAGGTCTTGAGCATGCTTGGATGAGAAGAATTTAATTTTTTTTAGATTGTTGGAAATTTGTATAATGGTTGTATTATATACAGTCGCTGAATAACTTTTGTCTTCTTTTGTGATGCAGGTCTTTACCATGGTAACAGTAATTATAGCAACTGTAGACAGGGAGAGTGGAACTTTAATGGAAATAGCATGATGTTCCAGGACTATGCTTTCCCTATCTTTGTCATGAAGGATAAGTCTGAAGTGAATTACCTTATACATGATGTACGTATGGTAGAAATAATCATGTCCTATACAAAAAGTACAAAATAACAGAGTCCTATAAAATCACATACAAAGTCACAACCCTACACAAAATTATGGAAACCTTTGCAAAGTTACAGAACCCCACTTAAAATTACAGAAACCTTTACAAAGCCACAGAACCCCACACAAACTTACAGAAACCTTTGCAAAGTCACAGAACCCCACACAAAATTACAGAAAACATTACAAAGTCACAGAAACCCTACACAAAATTACAGAAACCTTTACAAAGTCACAGAAACCCACACAAAATTACAGAAACCTTTACAAAGTCACAGAAACCCACACAAAATTACAGAAACCTTTACAAAGTCACAGAACCCCACACAAAATTACAGAAACCTTTACAAAGCCACAGAAACCCACACAAAATTACAGAAACTTTTACAAAGTCACAGAACCTCTCACAAAATTACAGTCCCACTCAAAATAACAAAGTTCTGTAAAATTACAGAAAACATTACAAAGTCACAGAAACCCTACACAAAATTACAGAAACCTTTACAAAGTCACAGAAACCCACACAAAATTACAGAAACCTTTACAAAGTCACAGAAACCCACACAAAATTACAGAAACTTTTACAAAGTCACAGAACTGACACAAAATTACAGAAACCTTTACAAAGTTACAGAACCCCACACAAAATTACAGAAACCTTTACAAAGTCACAGAACCCCACACGAAATTACAGAAACCTTCACAAAGCCACAGAACTGACACAAAATTACAGAAACCTTTACAAAGTCACAGAACCAACACAAAATTATAGAAACCTTTACAAAGCCACAGAACCTCACACAAACTTATAGAAACTTTTTAAAAGTCACAGAACCCCACACGACATTATAGAAACCTTTACAAAGCCACAAAACTGTCACAAAATTACAGAAACCTTTAAAAAGCCACAGAACCAACACAAAATTACAGAAACCTTTACAAAGCCACAGAACCCCACACAAAATTACAGAAAACATTACAAAGTCACAGAAACCCACACAAAATTACAGAAACCTTTACAAAGCCACAGAACCCCACACAAAATTACAGAAAACATTACAAAGTCACAGAAACCCACACAAAATTACAGAAACCTTTACAAAGCCACAGAACCCCCACACAAATTAAAATTACTTAGTCCTGAAACAAAATGACAGAATTTCTACACAAAATCACAGAGTCCTGAACAAGATACATGCATATGTTGCAATCCAATATGTAAATTGAATTTTGTGCTACCAACAGTATAATTAAATTTTTGGGGAGTTCCAATACGTATATTTCAAGAAATCAATCCTCAGATTTCAGAAAAGTTGTTTATAGACAATTCAACAAAGGTACATATATAAGGCAGCTCTCTGAGGGATTAATGGAATATTCCAAATTTTGGATGGATATCAAATTCATGTCAGTAGTATTTATATATAATGGCACACGAATAAGAAACAAGATCGTTTGTATAATAACATCACAGATCAATAACACTAAAATTTCATATTAATTTCAGTGCTTTGAGAAGTTTAATAAGCCTCTCACCAAGGGACATCCAAGGGATTACCCTCTCTGTGCTGTGGAATTAAAGGTATACTGTGCAATGAAATGCTTGGTTGAAGCTGTTTGAATAGTTAATTCAGTGTTCCAAACTATGAAAACAAAACGAATGCTCTTTTTTACCATGTGATCCATATTAAGTATAAGATATGACAGATGTCAGGTAATTCAGTTGTTGATCAAGTTAGATTCACATAACAATCTGAGACAGTACTGTTAAAATAATAAGTCTAAAGCGATTTGTCAAATTGTGAATGGGCTGTGTTTCTAGGACAGTATGTCTGGATCCAAAGATTCTGTGACCTGTATCCGTCGTAACAACATGCAAGTGAATCTCAACCCTGAGACCTACTGTGATCCCTTGGGAGATAACAATATTGTAGCTCCCCTGAAGGCCGTACCCAGTACAAAGGATTATCCAGCAAACTCGGTCATAGTGGCAGCTGCTAGGGTAAGAAGGATCATTTTACATAGACAAGGTTCATAATTCTCTTATGAAATTGAACCAAATGTAAGATTCTGTTTTTCACATAATTTCAGTTACAGTGGAAATGACCATGCTTGAGATATGAATATTTGACCTGTTTAGAGAGGGTTCAATTTGTAGAAGTGACCTGATGGTCAGCTTGTACGAAAGTGTTACCAACTAATATATTTGCATACACACAAATCATTAGTGTTTCCTGTGTAGCATTACCTTGTAAGTGAAGAATTATATAACAAAACATAACCAATTATTTCATTTTCAGATGGATACGTTTTCCATGTTTGAAAATGAATACCCTGGAGCTGACAGTCATGTGACAGGTATTGTGGCACTACTTGCTGTGGCGGAGGCCATTGGTAAAGTGAAGGAGCGCATCATCCAGCAAAACAACTCCAAGGATATTCTATTTACCTTCTTGCAAGGGGTGAGTGTTTAACAGTTCAGGGCTATGCCTAAGGTTTAGGAACTGTATGTTCTCCACTGAGTGACATTTATCAAGTATGTTTAAACCTTTCCTGTCAGTTTTCCTATTGGTCAAGTACAAAAGAGTATTGATTAAAAATTAAGTGAAATAAGACAACATGGTGCCACAATATTGGTAATGAAGGGAATTTAATTTAGGTTTGCCGACTGACATGATGAATTTCAAAACTTTTCTTCACTATTACAGACAACAAGAAAATTGATCCAAAGGTTCTTTATTGTATATTGATTGACACAATGTTTAAGTCAGTTTGATTTCGTTTGTGAAATGACTTGTAAGACAGTCCTGTTGAAATTAAGTTGTCTGTCAGTTTGATTTGGTTTGTGAAATGACTTGTAAGGCAGTCCTGTTGAAATTAAGTTGTCTGTCAGTTTGATTTGGTTTGTTAAATGACTTGTAAGACAGTCCTGTTGAAATTAAGTTGTCTGTCAGTTTGATTTGGTTTGTTAAATGACTTGTAAGACAGTCCTGTTGAAATTAAGTTGTCTGTCAGTTTGATTTCGTTTGTGAAATGACTTGTAAGACAGTCCTGTTGAAATTAAGTTGTCTGTCAGTTTGATTTGGTTTGTTAAATGACTTGTAAGGCAGTCCTGTTGAAATTAAGTTGTCAAACTCAAAACCTCAAGTAATCCAAACTGACCAATACAATTGACCAAAAGGTTTGAAATGATTTCATAATGTGAGGTTATAACTTTTCCATAATATTACTATAAAAGCTAGGAATCCTACAGCTGACCTTCAATGGTAGTAACACTTTTTTGTCATCAAGGATTGTACAAGAGACGTAAGTTTCCGGGGCAGTCTGTAACAATGATTGTATCTCTGATTCAGGAGGCTTTTGATTACATTGGAAGCAGTCGAATTGTGTATGACATGGAAAATAAAAAGTTCCCTCAGGAGCCAGTTTCAGGCGAGACACACGTTCACCCTATAAACCTCGAGCACATCTCTCACTTTGTGGAGGTCAACCAGCTTGGTCTTCGTGACAAAGGCAAGTTGTGGATTCACACAGATCCTATCAGTGTGGACAGCAGCAGGACTATTTCTGATGAGGTGAGTTTTCATTATATTACTCTGAATCTATATTTTCAGTTATTAGAAAATGATCAATCATCAGGGTCAAAACTTCAAATAAAAAAAAACTTTCATTACATGTTTCTAAAACGCAGGTTATTATTAGAGCAAACTCTTCAGGTCCAGATTGGATATATTCAACAAAGAATTATGCGTGTCCATTGAGCAAGAGTTTGGCATATTAAGAAGATGTGATTTGCTATTAGATCTGCAAATTTTTAGGTCACCTGACCGAAGGGTCTGAAACTTACCTGAAATGATCGTGACATGATCCTGACCAAAGTTTGTTAATTTCGGGTTGGTCTGAAATTCAACATGGCCGTCATCTTGAAAACACATTTTCGACTTCTTCTCAAGTTCAAAATTTGAAATCTTGTATATTATGTCAGATGACCGTTAAGGCCCATGGGCCTCTTGTTTAACTTCAAATTAGGCTCAGTAAGTGTAATTGGTCCTAAACAAATTATGAGTCTATGCTGCATTCAAGATTGACAACATCATGTAAATTATGCGATTGCTACTTTTCTATAAGGGGTTTATGTACTGGTTTAGGTGCTCTGCCTGCTAGTTCTCTCAATGTGATATTGTACTCAGTTGTTTTTATAAACCATTGGTTTTCTAGTTGTTACTAAAGTACAGGAGTTGTCTTTACTGTATATGACAAAATAAGCACTTATTGTTTTCCCTTTTGTTTGTGTAGATTAATGAGATGATAAAAAACATCACAGATATAGCAGGACAAGTGGACTTAGACCTCGGTGAAACGGCTGCTACCAAACCTCTACCTCCATCTTCTGTCCAGCGATTCCTCAAGAAAAGGCAGTTCCCAGCTATTGTCATCACTGATCATGAGAACGAATTTACTAATAAGTATGAAAGTTACTCTCTATAATTGAGACATTTTTGCGTAACCCAGTTGTACTAATCAGTATGACAACGGCTCTGTAAAACTGAGGCACTTTTGGGTAACCCAGTTGTACTGATAAATATTACAACCTCATTCTGTAATTGAGGCACTTTTGGGTAACCCAGTTGTACTGATAAATATTACAACCTCATTCTGTAATTGAGGCACTTTTGGGTAACCCAGTTGTACTGATAAATATTACAACCTCTCTCTGTAATTGAGGCACTTTTGGGTAACCCAGTTGTACTGATAAATATTACAACCTCTCTCTGTAATTGAGGCACTTTTGGGTAACCCAGTTGTACTGATAAATATTACAACCTCATTCTGTAATTGAGGCACTTTTGGGTAACCCAGTTGTACTGATAAATATTACAACCTCTCTCTGTAATTGAGGCACTTTTGGGTAACCCAGTTGTACTGATAAATATTACAACCTCTCTCTGTAATTGAGGCACTTTTGGGTAACCCAGTTGTACTGATAAATATTACAACCTCTCTCTGTAATTGAGGCACTTTTACGTAACCAAGTTGAAATAATTTTAGCGAACTGTTCATCTTTTACATATTATACAAATTTGATGGAAAATGTATTCTAAACATTAAATGGCTATTGATGGTTATCTTAAATAAAATTGTCTGATTATTTTTCATGTGATGGGTTTTCTATCTCATTTAAAGTTACAAATATAGCTATTATTAGCCTTTCAGTAATTTCAGAACCTACTTTGATCATGGATTTTTATTGATGTTTACCCAAGAACAAAAGAAAAACAATAAAAAAAAGAAAATGTTCCAAAATAACCAAAACAGCTGTCACAGAATGTAGCACCCCTGTCACTCGTTGATTGTCATAAATTTATTTCTCAATATTTTTGTTGATTGTCTTGTCTTTGAATAATCTATGAATATTTTGTAGAATGTCTTTTAATAATTTCTCAATATTTTTGTGGAATGTCATTAAATAAATTCTCAATATTTTTGTGGAATGTCATTAAATAAATTCTCAATATTTTCGTGGAATGTCATTAAATAAATTCTCAATATTTTTGTGGAATATCATTAAATAAATTCTCAATATTTTTGTGGAATATCATTAAATAAATTCTCAATATTTTCGTTGATTGTCAGTGCTTTTGGTCATGTTTATTTATTGTTAGACACAAATTTAACTGTTGCCCTTGTGTGACAGGTACTACAACAGCAGATTTGACCGTGCAGTGACCATACAGGCCGATACATCTGATTATGATATACCTACAGAACAAGCAAAACAACTCACCAAGGTGGCCACCACTGTGGCTAGGTCACTCTTCCTCCTGGCAACAGGCGAGAATGCCACTGACATTGAGGCTGATGTAACAAAGGTATGTAACAATGCGTTTGATTGGCTGTATGTAAATACTCGCTTGAGTAGCTGGTAAATTATTGAGGAGATTACCTAGGTTGAATTATACAATGAATTCATTAATATACCATGTGAAGAATCTCCTGCTTGTCATATTTCATCAGACATTGATGGCGAGAATTAACAAATACATACTGCAGGTTGACTTCATCATCTTTTTTCACTCATATTGAGGCTTGCAGTACTCATCACTTAATTGTGAAAGGTGAAGTAAGAAAAATATTCCTGTTATAGCTGGTTATTTCTGCAAAAATGATAGTTTCACTTATTCCTGAGTATAACACATGTGAATATTGAGCATTGACAAGTCCATTAGTTTTAAATTAGTTTCTATGGCTCGTAAGAAGGTTAAATTGTTTAAGATCTCAAACCATTCTCTGTGATAGGAAACTGTGTAAGATCTCAAACCATTCTCTGTGATAGGAAACTGTGTAAGATCTCAAACCATTCTCTGTGATAGGAAACTGTGTAAGATCTCAAACTATTCTCTGTGATAGGAAACTGTGTAAGATCTCAAACCATTCTCTGTGATAGGAAACTGTGTAAGATCTCAAACTATTCTCTGTGATAGGAAACTGTGTAAGATCTCAAACCATTCTCTGTGATAGGAAACTGTGTAAGATCTCAAACCAATCTCTGTGATAGGAAACTGTGTAAGATCTCGAACCATTCTCTGTGATAGGAAACTGTGTAAGATCTCAAACCATTCTCTGTGATAGGAAACTGTGTAAGATCTCAAACCATTCTCTGTGATAGGAAACTGTGTAAGATCTCAAACCATTCTCTGTGATAGGAAACTGTGTAAGATCTCAAACCATTCTCTGTGATAGGAAACTGTGTAAGATCTCAAACCATTCTCTGTGATAGGAAACTGTGTAAGATCTCAAACCATTCTCTGTGATAGGAAACTGTGTAAGATCTCAAACCAATCTCTGTGATAGGAAACTGTGTAAGATCTCAAACCATTCTCTGTGATAGGAAACTGTGTAAGATCTCAAACCATTCTCTGTGATAGGAAACTGTGTAAGATCTCAAATCATTCTCTGTGATAGGAAACTGTGTAAGATCTCAAACCATTCTCTGTGAGGGGAAACTGTGTAAGATCTCAAACCAATCTCTGTGATAGGAAACTGTGTAAGATCTCGAACCATTCTCTGTGATAGGAAACTGTGTAAGATCTCAAACCATTCTCTGTGATAGGAAACTGTGTAAGATCTCAAACCATTCTCTGTGATAGGAAACTGTGTAAGATCTCAAATCATTCTCTGTGATAGGAAACTGTGTAAGATCTCAAACCATTCTCTGTGATAGGAAACTGTGTAAGATCTCAAACCATTCTCTGTGATAGGAAACTGTGTAAGATCTCAAACCATTCTCTGTGATAGGAAACTGTGTAAGATCTCGAACCATTCTCTGTGATAGGAAAGTGAATTTCATAATATAATAATTAATTTTGAAGAGAATCAAACAAAGTTAATTTAAAAGCATATCGAGTGTCTCTACTTTTTTGAGAAATATAGCTTTATTTCTCTGTACAAGACAAAGTGTTATAACCAAACCTGTAATATACCTACATCTAGGAGTGACCATCCCCCACAAATAATTCAGATTCTTCATTTTCGTTCACAGTTTACTATTAACTAAACTTTGTTAGTTTATTGCAAATTGTAAAAAGTTTTAGTCTAGCTCTAATCAGACAAAGTACAAGTGCTCGGCCAATGAGACTTGGGGCATGTGTAAATGTTAACTGTACAGGTAGAGTTGGTGATATTTTAATAATTTTGGTGTGTTTCTAGAAAAATTTTGTAAATTTTGAGAAATATAGTAATCTTTTAAAACAGCGTTGTGGTTATCAATAGTACATTAAATCCAGTAAATAAAGCATGTTTATTGTGATTGTATGGCAAGGAGAAGGGGAACACATGAGGTAAAAAATTGTGATTCTCGTTGTAATGTCTTTACAACTTACACGTAGTCTTGTGAAATAATTGAATACATAATAGTTTTTGATATCAGTAAATACTGTCCAAATTTATAAACCGTGCATTTTCCTTTCACAGGTACACCATATGCTGTATTGTTTCCTGGTCAACAAAAGCTGCGACCTTTTCCAGGAAATCATTGAGGAAGAAAACTTGAACACTCTATGTGAGACCACACTTTATTTCAATATGTCAAACCTCTTTGTAGTAAGGCTAAAAATTCAATAACATTGCAACTTTGATGATATTTTGATCGGAGTGTAATATGAGCCACCATTCCTTAGTACATTATATGTTGACGAGATGTCAGTCCTGACTGATACTAGGCATACCTTAACAATATCAATAAACTTGGTTAACACTCTATTAATAGTGATGATAACACTGTATTGGTATGTTTTAGTGGAAAGTTCTACACCCTATCCATTCTATGTGGGAGTTACCGCCACCGATAACCATGTGACCAGTCTGACAAAGCGCCTGTTAAGTCTGTATACAGGAGATCGACAGGAGAAAGTTATAAAGAAGGACTGTAATGTTCCAGAAAAATACAAGGTAGGAATATTGTGATGACCACTGCATTCTTCATTAAATTCAGTGACCCAGTGAGTCTGAATGTTTTTTATTGTCAAATGATTTTTACCTTGTTTGCAGTTAATAGTGCGAATTCCTCCCTAAAAAGATTTTTAGTGACCCGTGCAATGTCTGCATTCAGGCAGTGTTTTATATAAATTATAGAAGGGTGATACCTGTAAATCGTACATTGATAGAAAAAACGAACATTATCTGCTTAATTTCAAATGTTAAAAAATGGTCTGATTAGAAAAAATGAAAATGGCAACCATCTTGGATTTAGCAGGTAAAGATAATCAGTGGTATTTTTGTAAAGGAATGTTCAAATTTCTTATCATTAAGAGCAAATGCAAAGATGAGAAGAGAAAAGAAGGCAAAAGATATGAATGAATCTGCATACAGTTTGCAAACAATTTTTTTTCATACCCCAATGAAACTAAAAAAAATTACATCAATGCTTAACTATACTACCGAAGAAAAGAAACGCAAGTTCAGTTTTGGTGATATAACTTTTTTATCCGTAGACAAAATGTTGTGAAATTTGACACATAAATACCTCAGTGTACTGTCTAAATAATCGTCGGTTTAAATTCGGTCAACCATGACCACGGATGACGCTGCACGATTTGAACAGATTTTCCAACAAAGCGTGTGTACGTAGCACTACCACATGCTATCAACTTGAAAACCATACCAAATCCAAGTTTTGAACAGCACACATCCAGTGCACAACATTTCATTCCAAGGCGATTAAAAAGCAGCATGCCGTGAATGTCCGAAGTTGATAGGGGTAGGGCTTTTGCCGAATTCTACAGGGCCAATCACAACATCTCGTCGCCAAGCAATTTGAAGTCCATGAGTCAACAATAGCTCGATTAGTTGGGCGTCTCAGGGCCATGGGAAGATTAGCTGACCGTCCAAGGAGCAGATGTCCACGCCCCATCAAGATCAGGGCATATGTCTCTCACACCTATGTTACCGATTTCAGACAGCGACAGAGACGGCAAGTCATATTGTAGGCACTCATGGTCGCAGTGTGTGTACAAGAACAGTTAGGAATCGGTTGCGGGAGTTCAATTTAAGGCCATGACGTCCCTACATTGGTCCTCAACTTACACCCAGGCGACGTTAATGTCGAATGCAATGCTGCATTCACATGCACCAAATTGGATATGCCCGCTGGAGACTCGTATTATTCACGGACGAGTCTCGGTTCACGTACAGATCAGGTGGGCGTAAACGTTGCTATCGACGTCGCGGTGAGCGATATTTTAACACATGCGTTAAAGAAAACGACAGATTCCGGGGAGGGTCTGTTATGGTATGGACGGGGATTTCTCATGGTGTGAAAACACTTCTTGTGATCATCCAAGGCAATCTTACAGCCGTCCGATATCGGGATCAGGTCCTCATTCCTCATGTCCTTCCATTAATCCAAGTGCGAAACCTTACGATGCAAGAGGATAATAAGAGGCTAGGGTTTGTCGTAACTTCCTCAACCAAAACAATGTCCCAGTACTCAACTGGCCACCCTACAGTCCAGATCTGTCCCCGATCGAGCATTTGTGGGACGAGCTGGACAGGAGGCTCAGGAAGCATGTCAACGTCCCAAACAACAGCTCATGCAGGCCCTTCTTCAGGAGTGGAATAACATCCCACAAAGGACCATAAACAATTTGATGGGGTCAATGGTAAGGAGAGTTAGAACAGCGACTGCAGCTTGAGGTGGGCACAAACGCTATTGATTTTGATCAGGAAATGACGTAGGGTATCCACGTTTTAAACGCTATCCATGCCAATGCCATCTGTGTTAAGACAACAGAACTTGTCAAATTTTAATCAGTAATGAGGAATTGATATAAACATCTTAACAATGATATGATCATCCATAAAACATTTGAAATATTTACCACCAGACAAAAACTTGCGTTTCTTTTTTCCGTTAGTATACATTTTTAGCCCACCAGCATCAGATGTTGGGCTGTTAAAATCGTCTTGCATTTGCCATCCATTCATTGGTTTGAACAATTGTTGTTATCACTATTTTTTGAGAAATATTAGATGGATCTTCCTTTAATGTCATTTGAAGGTTCCTCATGGTTTGTGGTTGTGTTTTTTTTTCTATTTTGATACTGATTTGAATATCAAAATTGTTGCCAGGCAGCCATCTTGGGTTTAACACAGATACATGTAGTTGTGCGTCTTAGAGGATCAGTTGGTATTTACATGAAATATATAATCAATAGGCAAGCTACACTGCTCTCAAACAGTTCTTGTTTTAAATATATTGTCAATAGACAAGCTATGCTACTCTCCTACAAAAGAAAAGACCTTGATCGTTTTTCAAGGTCAGAGGGGTCAAATTTGTTAAAACATTAAAACAACTTCTTCTGACATACCAAAAGGCACAGAAGCAAGGTATTTGGGTTTCTAGGATGAAGCCAGACATAGTTTACAAAAAGAAATGACCTTGACCTTTACTCGATGTCACTGAATTTAAGTTTGTTAAAACCTTTAAGCAACTTCTTTTGACTATCCAAAAGGCAAAGAAGCATGACATTTGCCAGATGGGTTCCTAGGAAGAAGATGACTGACATTTGCTAAGAGAAATGACCTAGACCCATATTGATGGTCCTAGATCAAATTTATGAAACCTGACAAAGATTTCTGTGGTAAACCAAAAGTCTGAGAAGCATGGAAAGGTGTTTCTAGGTCAAAGCCCAACAAATTTTGAGAAAAATTAGATCTGGCAGTTACTTAAAATTCAGGACATACTTGTCACTGTTAAGAGGTGAGTATTAGAAGCTCATTATTGTTGAAATTGGTTAAAATTGATTGGATGTGCCCACTTTGTATGCCAATGGTTTATATGTCAATATATTTGTGATATGAACACCTGATTCTTTCATAATGTTGAAGTGTATATGAATATGTGTTTTCTATGAGTAAGTATAATTTTCTGTATCATAGGTGTACGAGTACACATGGATGGAAGGGCAGAAACAACCTGACAGTGAAAAACGTAATGGATTCTGTATGCGAAGCACTGTTAAGCTCACAACAGCAAAATCTCCAGCCTTCGATCTCACAGGTTTGTTTCCTGATCTGTAGGGTAAGGGGAGATAATTCTTTAGTCCACAATGCCATTCAGCATGACCTTGTGTCAAATCGCTTCTGAGTACCTTATACATGAATATAAACGTTTAACATAATTAAGATTACACTATGATGCTAATTGTGTGCAATATTTCCATGTTAATTGTGTACAATATTTCCATGTTAATTGTGTACAATATTTCCATGTTAATTGTGTGTACAATATTTCTATGTTAATTGTGTACAAAATTTCCATTTTATTGTGTACAATATTTCCATGTTAAAGATGTGTACAATATTTCCATGTTAATTGTGTACAAAATTTCCATGTTAATTGTGTACAAAATTTCCATGTTAATTGTGTACAATATTTCCATGTTAAAGATGTGTACAATATTTCCATGTTAATTGTGTACAAAATTTCCATGTTAATTGTGTGTGCAATATTTCCATGTTAATTGTGTGTACAATATTTCCATGTTAAAGATGTGTACAATATTTCCATGTTAATTGTGTACAATATTTCCATGTTAATTGTGTGTACAATATTTCCATGTTAATTGTGTACAATATTTCCATGTTAATTATGTGTACAATATTTCCATGTTAATTGTGTACAATATTTCCATGTTAATTGTGTGTACAATATTTCCATGCTAATTGTGTGTACAATATTTCCATGTTAACTGTGTGTACAAAATTTCCATGTTAAGTTAGTGCTGAATATTTCTGTAATTTCTTTATGTAGATAATGATATAGATAGTATTCCAGTGGACAGAGAGGTGCGTCAGGATGCTAAGGGCCTGGTGCTAACATTTATCCCCAGTGAACAAATGGAGGTATGTAGAATCTTGTTTTTAGGTTTTTCTTTGTATATCTTCACCACTGACACTCGAGCACTGACAAAATTCTTTCACAGTGTCTAAATTTCTATGAATTGCATTCATAATTTTTAATAAAAAATAACAATTTAATCTCCTGTGGAGTTCAACAAGTCTATTGTACAAGATCTAAAGGTTTAGATATTATAAATCTTGTGGTGGTGCTAGCTGTACACGAAGGGCCTGATGCTAACATTTATGCATAATGATATAGATAGTTTAGTGGTGGTGCTAGCTGTACACGAAGGGCCTGGTGCTAACATTTATACATAATGATATAGATAGTTGTGTGGTGGTGGTGCTAGCTGTACAGGAAGGGCCTTGTGCTAACATTTATACCTAATGATATAGATAGTTGTGTGGTGGTGGTGCTAGCTGTACAGGAAGGGCCTTGTGCTAACATTTATACATAATGATATAGATAGTTGTGTGGTTCACAATAGTCATCACAATTCACTTCTAAAGTTTCAGAGAAAATAGTCTGATTAATTCCTTTAGAAAACTAATCAGAACTGGTCATAAAATGTGTAGATACCTGTACTCTTCAACAAGGTGTTTATGATGACAGATGTAATATTAACATGTTGATACGCTTCACTGGTCAACTGTCTGTTTATGGTGATGGAGAATAAATGGTGACATGTTGATACGCTTCACTGGTCAACTGTCTGTTGATGGTGATGGAGAATAAATGGTGACATGTAGATTTGCTTCACTGGTCAACTGTCTGTTGATGTTGATGGAGAATTTATGATGACATGTAGATACGCTTCACTGGTCAACTGTCTGTTGATGTTGATGGAGAATTTATGATGACATGTATATACGCTTCACTGATTAACTGTCTGTTGACGTTGATGGAGAATTTATGATGACATGTAGATATGCTTCACTGGTCAACTGTCTGTTGATGTTGATGGAGAATTTATGATGACATGTAGATATGCTTCACTGGTCAACTGTCTGTTGATGTTGATGGAGAATTTATGATGACATGTAGATATGCTTCACTGGTCAACTGTCTGTTGATGTTGATGGAGAATAAATGGTGACATGTAGATACGCTTGACTGGTCAACTGTCTGTTGATGTTGATGGAGAATAAATGATGACATGTAGATACGCTTCACTGAACAACTGTCTGTTGATGGTATTTGTATACCAAACATGTCTGTCTGTAGTAGTTTTACTGTCTTAATAATTATAGATTTTCTTAATCAGTTATGACATCATGACATTAATATTTGATGATGTCTTAAATTTTAACACGCCAATGACCAGCATGACTGACACTTTTATATACAATCTTCCAATTCAGTTAATAGAAATAACATTGTATTTGACAAAATTTCATTTAGTCTGTTATGATTCTTTTGGTACAACCTGCACATACATATATTAGCATTTCTATCTGCAACTTTATGTTATTGAAAGGTAGGTAGAATCAATGTTTTGGGGTTGGATAATGAACTTTCTTGCCAAGGCACAAGGTTGTTCCATTGTCAGTCATAAAAACAAGCTTTCCAATGTGACATATTCCAGCTAGGCTCCACAGGTTGTAGAATAAATATTCCAGGATATTTTAGCTTTTTAGGTCACCATGAGACTTTATCTCAGGTGACCCGAAAAACTGAAAAAAAACAATTGGGAAATGCAATAGGTCACCATGACACTTTGTCTCAGGTGACCTAATTTGCTTTTGTCCAGCTTCATTTGTGTGTCCATAAACTTTTTACATTGTTAACTTCCTCTAGAAAACCCCTGAACTGATTGTAATGAAATTTAAAAATTGCCTTCCATGGTCAAACACTGTAAATTACATATGGTTTCCATCCTACAGGGGCCTGAGAAGATTGAAATTTCAAATAAACTTTTCAATATCTAAATATGGTAGGATTGAATATTCTAAATGGACGGAAGGGTCTCTTTAAATGCTTTTAGGAAATTGTGAATATCATGACTCAAGGGTCTCATATTTCCCCCTGGGGAAGGGGGGATTTTTTATGTAGTTTAATAGGTCACCCACTTATGTCATAAAACTTGTACAATAATGAGTTACAACTTCAGTAACATTCTCTTTTCTTAATAAGTCTTAACAATAGTTAGAACTGACACTGGACAGTAGATTCTCCCTGTCATAATGGTCAGTAAGTAGAACTGACACTGGACAGTAGATTCTCCCTGTCATAATGGTCAGTAAGTAGAACTGACACTGGACAGTAGATTCTCCCTGTCATAATGGTCAGTAAGTAGAACTGACACTGGACAGTAGATTCTCCCTGTCATAATGGTCAGTAAGTAGAACTGACACTGGACAGTTGCTGTCATAATGGTCAGTAAATAGAACTGACACTGGACAGTAGATTCTCCCTGTCATAATGGTCAGTAAGTAGAACTGACACTGGACATTTCCTGTCATAATGGTCAGTAAGTAGAACTGACACTGGACAGTTGATTCTCCCTGTCATAATGGTCAGTAAGTAGAACTGACACTGGACACTTGATTCTCCCTGTCATAATGGTCAGTAAGTAGAACTGACACTGGACATTTCCTGTCATAATGGTCAGTAAGTAGAACTGACACTGGACAGTTGATTCTCCCTGTCATAATGGTCAGTAAGTAGAACTGACACTGGACAGTTGATTGGACTCCCTGTCATAATGGTCAGTAAGTAGAACTGACACTGGACAGTTGATTCTCCCTGTCATAATGGTCAGTAAGTAGAACTGACACTGGACAGTTGATTCTCCCTGTCATAATGGTCAGTAAGTAGAACTGACACTGGACAGTTGATTCTCCCTGTCATAATGGTCAGTAAGTAGAACTGACACTGGACAGTTGATTCTCCCTGTCATAATGGTCAGTAAGTAGAACTGACACTGGACATTCTCCCTGTCATAATGGTCATTAGAACTGACACTGGACTGTCTGTCATAATGGTCAGTAAGTAGAACTGACACTGGACAGTTGATTCTCCCTGTCATAATGGTCAGTAAGTAGAACTGACACTGGACAGTTGATTCTCCCTGTCATAATGGTCAGTAAGTAGAACTGACACTGGACAGTTGATTCTCCCTGTCATAATGGTCAGTAAGTAGAACTGACACTGGACAGTTGATTCTCCCTGTCATAATGGTCAGTAAGTAGAACTGACAATTCTCCCTGTCATAATGGTCAGTAAGTGACACTGATTCTCCCTGTCATAATGGTCAGTAAGTAGAACTGACACTGGACAGTTGATTCTCCCTGTCATAATGGTCAGTAAGTAGAACTGACACTGGACAGTTGATTCTCCCTGTCATAATGGTCAGTAAGTAGAACTGACACTGGACATTCCCTGTCATAATGGTCAGTAAGTAGAACTGACACTGGACAGTTGAGAACTGACACTGGACAGTTGATTCTCCCTCTCATAATGGTCAGTAAGTAGAACTGACACTGGACCCTGTCATAATGGTCAGTAAGTAGAACTGACACTGGACATTCTCCCTGTCATAATGGTCATTCTCCCTGTCATAATGGTCAGTAAGTAGAACTGACACTGGACAGTTGATTCTCCCTGTCATAATGGTCAGTAAGTAGAACTGACACTGGACAGTTGATTCTGGACCCTGTCATAATGGTCAGTAAGTAGAACTGACACTGGACAGTTGATTCTCCCTGTCATAATGGTCAGTAAGTAGAACTGACTGGACTGGATTTCCTGTCATAAGTCAGTAATTGGACTCCCTGTCATAATGGTCAGTAAGTAGAACTGACACTGGACAGTTGATTCTCCCTGTCATAATGGTCAGTAAGTAGAACTGACACTGGACAGTTGATTCTCCCTGTCATAATGGTCAGTAAGTAGAACTGACACTGGACAGTTGATTCTCCCTGTCATAATGGTCAGTAAGTAGAACTGACACTGGACAGTTGATTCTCCCTGTCATAATGGTCAGTAAGTAGAACTGACACTGGACAGTTGATTCTCCCTGTCATAATGGTCAGTAAGTAGAACTGACACTGGACAGTTGATTCTCCCTGTCATAATGGTCAGTAAGTAGAACTGACACTGGACATTCCCTGTCATAATGGTCAGTAAGTAGAACTGACACTGGACAGTTGATTCTCCCTGTCATAATGGTCAGTAA